AACGCTATCCTAACCTGCCTTGTTCGAATATATAAGAACTGCTGCACGAGTATCATCCAGCCTGCCCGTCGATCATTTCGAAATGTTCACATGATGGACTGACTCGATTCACCCATATACCCCTGTTATCGATCCGAGATTAGCATTCATATTTTCTTCCATTTACATCTTCTCATTTTATAACGATTAACAATTGGTTAGGGTGGGTTAGGAATGGGTTACAACGGGTTAGGATGGGTTACCGGTAAGTTAGCATAGATTGGAACAAGTAACCACGGGTTAGGATGAATTACCTGTCCATTCGGGTACAGGATGTTGGGACCAAAAGGGATCAACGGAGGACGTCATTTAAAAGCGAAAGTTCCTGTATTGTTTTCTCCTGCGGTGCGTGGTTTTCGAATTACGAGCTTCTCGAAACAAATCTTATACCCCTCATTGTGAGGGGCAACAGGTGGCAAGTACCATTAGCTATCGGCTTCGACCACCAGATGGCAGTACAGGGCTGTTGTACGACTTTGCCCGTGAGCGACCTCCCAACTCGTTCGGTTTCTATTCCCCTTTAAATCGCGATGGTGGTGACACTGTGCACAGGTCTCGGCTTCGCTTAGCTATCGTACGGCATCGTAACCTCGAAATCTGAAGTCGGTTGCCATATTGATAACGGAGAAGGTTGATTCGAGTTAATTTAGTTTGATGTGGCATTTTCTTGTATTCGAGGTGGATGAAGATGAATAAAGAGATTTTCGAAGACAAGGATTATCCTACTCAATGGGCACTTAATCCGTCTACGTATCAAAACATGAACAATGATCAAGGTAAGGGAATTGTGTTGTTAATTTCTCTTAATGTCAAAAGGAGCGGTGTTAACCATCGGTGTTTCCGTTCGTGAAAGTACAGAAAGTTTATGCTCGGCAAGTTATGGGCTGGAGTAACGAAAAAATTCCGAGTCAAAGAATTCTTGGACCATTAATCGTCCTGTCCGATCTTTTGTAAGAATGAGTATATTTCGGTTTCTATCCGACTTTGAAATCGGCGAAATGTTAAGGTGTAGTTTTACGTAATTTATCGTCGGTTTCACCTTCTGATCATGATTTACGATGAAATTTGCTTCGTTTAGTCGATTGGGCAGCCTTAGCTCAACAGTGGATTAAGATGAAGGAAACCGTCGTTCCACCTGCTCCGCCACCACCGACTATTACCTCTGGCCGAGTAGTCGACGATGGCGGGGGAGAAGCTCCTATGGATATGGATACTAAAGATGACGATATGCCACCGGCTCCCCCAGCTCCCAGTATCAGTGGATCAGGTTGTAGTATTGCACGTGACGCTTTGCTTTGAATGTTAACCGATTCGACGTATCGCGTCGATAACCTCGAATATCGAAGCGTGACGGACACGGTGGCAGTATGTATCTTAGACTTTTAACGAGAATTGCCGAGCCAGCTTCTCTATGAGATAACTTGATCCGTGCTTCCTGCGAGGTCGTGACGACCGTTAGTAGATCGTTTTTCTCCCTTATCCGGAACCCATGGTACATTTTTGGCTGTGGTTCTTTAAGCGACTTAATCTTTGTAAACGAAACGATCGACCCAACGATTGCTACGAAATCCTAGGTGCGGATTGGATCCGTAGTTTCCTCGGTGTTGGGTTACGAAGTAAAGTCGCTGCATGAACTGCGATTACGTTGCTTTATCTTAACGTAGAAATTTGTATCCGTGGTGTTAACTTTTATCTAACGCACTGAATAAAGGATCGATTGGCTGAACGATATCGCTGTGTTGTGACGGATAGGAACGAATTTATGTACCGACGCTTGACCATTTCGTATTTATATGGCACAGAAGCATGGAATCAGTGGAATCAGTGGGATCAGTGGAACAGTTCCGGTTCCAGTTCGAACAACTGGGAATGGAGCGGGGTTCCTCCACCTGGTATCTCTATAGCCTCCGATGGAAAGTCGATACCGGTACCGGCTCCTCCCGTTGTACCACCTGCTCCGACGATATCTGGTACTTCGGGATACAATGTACCGTCACCCGCACCCCTGCCACCTCCGTATCCTTTCAATTCGATACCACCGACGCAATCGTATAATCAGGTGAAATATTACGTGTCCGTTGAATTAAAAAAGAGAAAAAAGAGAAAAAAGGAAAAATACATACACCCGATCATTAGTTGGACATGTGTTGTTTAAACCGATCGGATATTTTATTCCGTCACTGTTTGGGTAATCGTTGTCCCTCTTCCATATTTTATTGCAGCTTGGACTTTGATGACGATCTTGAATAATTTAAAGTAGCGTTTCACGAATACGACCGATACGTGTTTTTGTGCGAACAACGCGTAACGTGTCTCTATGGAAAAATTATATTTTTCCTGTTTTTCTAATTTGGTGTTTATTGTGAAGCTGATTTTCTTTTCGAATTAATATAAAAATTTGTCGTATTTCGGTCATTGAACGATGGTTTCAGGTCCCTTCCTTTTGGCCTGGAGATCAGCCCGTTCCGGTTCCTCCTCAACCTCCTCCGTTTGTCAAAGGTATACGTCACTCGAGCAGAATACCTCATGTTCGAAATATGGACATGATAAGAAATCGAGACATCCGAGAAAAAACACCGGAAGAGGATACGAGTACAACAATAGGTAATAATATTAATTTCGTACAGCATTATATAACGATGATTTTTAATGCACGTGTCCGATATTAATCTTGGGATTAATGTGCGTACGAGGTTTCTATGTACAGCTAAAATCCTATGATCGGAAATCAGGAACTTTGCCCTTGTTTCGCAGACGCAGCGAAAAGGAGACAATTGCCTGCCTGGATCAGAGAGGGTTTGGAAAAAATGGAAAGGGAAAAGCAAAAGGCAGTGGAACGGGAGAGACAAGAAATGCTCAGGCGACAGGAACTGGAAGCCCGAAAACAAGCCGAAGAAGAGGCTCGTGCTGTACTTAATCCGGCCAAGAGCAAATTCGTACGTGTTTTATGCCATTTTTATACGCAACTTTATATCGAATCAAATGCAGATCTCGAAAGGAGAAAACGAAAAAGATAATTAGGCACAATTATAGTGGATTCGGGTTACCTTGCCAAACGATCTTGTCTAACGACGATCGGTCATAACGAAGACGCGCGGCTTTGAAAGCACTACGGTAGTAATTTTCCCATACGAGTCAGTCAACGGTCGAAAATGTTGCTTGTACAACCTGAACGTGGATTAAGAACCCCGTGCGGTCTATTTTAACAAAGCATTTTCTCTCTATATCAACACCCAACTAAGTGGCTTCTAGAAACTGACAAAGTTCTCTTATTTCGTAATTTCCTTTCGACCTTTATTGCATGTTTTACTTTCCTCTGTCGCGTTCTTACACATCTCGACACGGACGGAATTAAGAAGCAACAAAGGAGAACAACGATGCTATGAATTTTTCTCTGGCAAAGAATTTATTTATTCGACGTAGGTCGAAGCATAGGTATCTCAATTTTACGTGCATACTTTTTAACGTGATATCACGCGGATACTTTGCCTTCTTTGGATGGCCATTGCGGCTGTTGACGAACTTTGCTGACTTTTAGTCGTAATATCGGACGGAAAAACGGTGTCTGCGAAGGGAAAATAAGTGTTCTCTCCCGCCGATAAATTAAGAAGGAACCCCACGTTCTTGGGAGATAAAGTGGAAGGAAACGGGACGAGAGGTCGGAGCGTTAGGTTCGGGTGTTCGAGTGCATCCAACCCATAGGGTTCGTTCGTTCGTTCCGAGCCCAAGTTTTCCCCATGGCAACTTTAGTCCTGTAAAACCAGGATTCGGATTCCGACGAAGAGGGGGAACGCGAGTTTGAGACGACGAGTCAGAAAGCAGAAAAGGAGGCTGAGAAAAGCTACGAACGCAGCCCGGACGTTGTCAAGCCGAGGAAATCGCGCTTCAGGGACGCGATCTCTCCCGAGACCTCGAAATCAGCGGCTAAGGAAGGAAGTCCCGACGTGACGTCCGCCAGAATTCCAACGCCCCCGAAACGCTCGAGAGAAGAAGTCCTGCAAGAAATCGTCAGTATTTCTCCACGTCTTTGCCGCCTTGTCCGCTCGAGAAGAATACTCAGAAAGAAAACGTATTTATGCCGCAGATGTTGAGAGTGCGTCGATCGCTGACGGAAATCCTATTGGAGGTAACGAACGAAGAAATAGCCTCGACTTGCAGAGAGGTATGGAGCCGAGCACGAGCCAAAGGTACTCCGCCAGATACACCTGCTAGAACTAACAGATCGCAATTTTTCAATTCTTTTTCTTCCACTGACGTCCAGAATCCGATTTTATACAGCAGTCAACGACCACGCTGTGGCTACCAACGACTGCTGCACTGTATATACACGAACCTTCGAGTATTAAACGACAAGTGTTCTTCGATTCGTTAGGCTTAGTTATTTGGTATTTTCAGAATGCCCCGTTTTCGTGCATTACTTCTTTCCAGGGGTAGTTACGTCTGCACCCGCTTGGTCCATTTATGTGGTGATTGATTTGGAACCTTTCGAGTTTGTCGACATGCATGATCGATGCCCCAGGTCGCGTTAGTTTGCCTAGGGCTGTGATTCTGGGGTTTAAGTATTTGGTATGCCAGCGCCTGGAAGGGTCTCGAGCCCTCGAGAGAGAGAGACACTTATCTTCATATTCCGACTGCGAAGCATAAAGTCTTGACGACCGGTAAACGCGTAATCATTCCATTGCAGCACCTTATCGATCGGTGGTTCGCCCAGGATTTTTGGACATGTACGAGTTTAATAACGATGAGAAGCTCCATGTACCTCTGAGAAATTTCAATAAAAGAATCCAAATCAGCTCAAACGAAAGCCCAAGAGACATGGTTAACTCGCGAACAGATTTATTTCAATCCCACTTAGTCGAATCCCGTTATCAGTCGTTCGAGTACATGAAGCTAATTAATGGCCACTCTTAACACGGCGTAAATTGTCAAACATGAGTCATGATTTATTGAAATTTCATCTAAAAGCTAGTACGAGATCGATCGCGATGTCAGTTTCGTGTTGATTTTTCATCCATTTTTACTTTGGTACACACGAGACCCTGTGTTCCAAGATTCCCCGAGTCGGGTCGCGCTGCTTTCTTGCAAATTCAAGGATGATCGCGGTAAGACCGAGCTACGTGTAAGCTACGTAGGAAAGAGTACGTCGGATCTCCTCTTCGCTAGATGCAGGCCCGACGGGCTCGCTTGATGAAAAGGGGGGATGTACCCAGAAAAAGTTGGATTCCAGCCGGCGACTGATTACTAAATCCGTGTGTATTGTAAGCCCCTGCAGGAACGCCCCCCATCGCATCAATCGACAACGCGGCCCCTATTGCTCAGATCACTCGGAAACTTGGTAAGTAATTCATACTTTTTCTCTCCCCGTCGTAACGATAGATGCGTGCGTGCGTGCGAGCGAGCGAGCGAGCGAGCGGATGTAACGCCCTTAAAAGCATTGCCGGCAATGCGCGGCTCTCCCTAAACCCTGTGTCGGCCGATCCCCCTAACTAAATTCAGATTTCGCCTGTCGGATGGAGAGTTCATTGGCGTTCATCGCGTGCGGCCACGGGAGTGTGGCGACTCTTCCAAACTCGCTCGGTGCAAAAACGCAGCTTGACGACTTATCCCGAAGGTGGAGGCGACTCGCGAGCAGTGAGTAACGGAGACTCGGTCTGTTATAGGTCTGGGCATCTACGGAGACAGCAACAGTGAATCCGAAGCGGAGCAGAACGAAGACGAGGAGCACAAGGATAACGACAGCGATGAAGAACTTAAGGTGCGTCGATTTTGAGGGATTCATTTCCACTTTGCTTAACGAGCCGTCGGCGACCGTTTTACCCTCCACGGCTTGTTACGCTACCACTTGCGTTCATCTTTATGCGTCGATGTCGAGTCATTTTTTGCCCACTTTGCTCACTGGCGATACGTAAAGGGAAATTTCGCTTTCAACTTTCCGCTGATCGCAGGAATTGTGTTCGCAGGAAACCCTGAGGAGGCGACAGCAGGCATTTAAAAAGACGGAAGAAGAAATCGAAGCGTCTTTGGCAGCAGAGGAGGAGAATTCGCTTCGCCAGCAGGGTCAGTCGTATAAGCACTCGGAAAATCATACCGGTAATAGTAGCTGCAAAGATCCAGGTATATCCGTGTAAGCAATACGAATCGTCTTCCGGCGAAGCATTCAATTTAACGTTTAACTTCGTACTTTAGTTGATGAGAAAGAAAAGATAGATAGTCAAAGAGAAACGTCGGAAACCCGATCCAGCGGTGGACAGACGCCGCAGCAGCAAAGCGTCACGACCGACACGGCCAAAGCTAGTTCGTTGTCGAGGTCGATAGACTCCGACTCGAGCAGTTTAAAGTCGTCCAGTTCTGATTCGAATCGCAGTTCGATTAAAAAAGGCAAGCAATTGAGCAAGGACGCCGATCGGGGTCGGCGGAAGAAGTCCAAGAGCAGGAGTACCTCTAAAACCGAACGGTCGAGGTCGCGCTCTTCGGATCGCGTTCGCAAGCGCAAATCTAAATCAAGATTTTCCAGATCCCCGAAAAGGTACCGCTCGAGATCGTCCAGCTCTTACAGGTTCGCCGAGGATAGACATAGGTCACGGTCGAACGATCGGAAGAGATTGAGATCTCGCTCCAGAGGCAGGCGAAGGTCCAGACCGCCGACGTTGAGCCGAAAGTGCTCGCGATCGCGATCCAAGGGAAAGAAAACCTCCCGATCGCATTCTAGAAGCAGGAAGAAGAGTCCGCTTAAATCTAGCAGACGAAGCACTTCTCATACGAGGGATCAAAGGGGAACGCGGTCCAGATCCAGGGACAGAAGACGATCGCGATCCGGTTCGAGACATCGCAGGCGATCGCGATCCTACAGCTCGCGGGATAAAAGGAAAAGTCGATCGCGCTCCAAAGACCGCAAGAGATCGCGATCCAAATCTCGTCACTTGGGCCAACGTGATGGAAAGAAGTCGTCTCATCGGTACAGAGACTGAGTGTGTCCGATTTCAAATCAAGGTTGTATGATTCCCTTTTCGAAATCTTAGGTTTAACGTTCGGTCAGCGATACGAGTTCCTCTATCTCTAATTGTTTTTATAACCATTTGTCAGCACGCAATCTTAATTCTGTGTCATACCGCCTTGGCTGAATCTTGGCTAGATGAGAGTTACGGCAGTAACTGCGACGACGTGTAAGGTTTCTTTAAATATGAGTACGATATAATTAAGATAACAGTACATTCTTCAAATAAAATCATTTCTGAAAACCTCTGAGACCTGTAGAGTTGAGTTCGGAATTCTGCGCATGATTTCTTCTTTCCTCGTTATCAGCCGACATTTCCATATTCGTGTTACTTCTTGCACGGCAACTTGAAGGAGACATTTGAAATCGGAATAAAGGCGCAGAAAAATCAACGGACGTGACGATTGTATTTCCACGCCATCTCCAATTTTCACCGAGACGTTTAATAGAAATCGATTGGTCTATTGATTACACTCCTTATTCAGTGGATAGATTCTCTGTGTATTTCTGTTGTACGGATTTCATGCGGTATTTCGCTCGCTGGTATCGTTCTACGAACGTGAGACGTTTTTGTTTTTTTATTTTATCATAAATGTACATTCCTCGTGCGTGGAAAAAGACACGATTGTCTTTTCAAATGATTTTGAGTACTCCGATAAACTACTCACCAAATCCAAGAAGGAACGACGATGATCTTTGGTGGAAGGTTCTAAGGAAACTACACTCCTAAATCTATAGACGTTCATGCACGGTTCTCTTTCACGAGAGGAGAAAGGAGTAACGTTACTCGAGTTGGGTTCCCGAGAAACCCAGGTGAGATCGAAAATAGCAGAAACTAGGGTCCCCGAAAGAAGAACGTCGATAACTCCACAACGGAGAACCGTGCTTGGATAGCACAAGAATCAATTTGATTTATATAAAACTGTACCGGTTTAAAAACGCAAGAACGTCAACTAATTTACGTTCGATATTTACCTATCTTTATTGAATATAAATGAAACATTTACAATTCCTTCTTTTGAGGACGGTCGTACGGTGCAGACTTTGCTTCCGGATACTGATCCGTTAAAAAGCTGCGCAATTCTCCGTGTTCTGCTAATAATCGAATTTTCACTTGGTGCTGATTCCTCAAATACTCTTGTTTCTTCTTATATATTAACCAAGAATTCTGCGATGTATAGAATGGTGGAAGCTTCTTCTTTTGCAATCTGATCTTCCCATCCATCACGTACTGTCGAAAATCTCTGACCTCATCGACCTTCACGTCCTTTAGCTCTCGGACTTCCTTTGGGGAAGCAAGAACATTTGGATAGTAACAATTCTCTTTCCTTATCTCGACCAAATGTAGTTTCTTTTCCTCGGCTAACTGGTTATATGATTTCTGGGAAGATATATTTTTTTTTAGAATAACTTCATTTAAATAGGAATAGCATATTGACAAAGTAACGGAATCATCAAATATTAACGTAACGATTGGCAACAAAAAGATACGTATACACTTGTACGTCTCTGGACGCGGTATAAAAACTATTGAATTAAATCTACGAGACATCTCTTTACCTGCTGTAGTAGTCCAATAAAGAAAGCCTTCACCAGATGTTGAAGGTTCCTGTTTCCTTCCACCTTGGCGTATAGATCCTTGATACCGATCACGTCGCAACAAGATTTTATTGCTCTGTGGCAAACTAATCCATAACCCTGCGGTTTTTTTGCCACATATACCTTTGTCTTTCCAAACTGAGCATAAAAATCATGCATCACTGCAATCACAGGACAAAATTGATACCTTTCGTGTCGAAATAAAATTACCGGAAATATACTTCGGAGCTATCGTTTGGTCGAGTGAAGCGTACCTGTATGATTATTATACAAATTAATGTACATTAATCTCTGAGCAGCTCGAGCTTTAGATGTCCTAAGAGCTCCTTTTGGATCGGGCGATTTTGCCAAGGAAAGTCCCACGACTCCGTTAGAATTTCCGGTAACTACGAATGCACTGGTTCTTCTTCTACGACCAAAAATACCTGACATATTGCATACTACTTTGAACTCCAAAATTCTGGTGTCAAAACCTTCAAACTTATCTGAAACAATAATTTCATAAAATTCCATTATTTGGAAATGTTATGATAGTGCAAACTGTAGTTTATACCAATCTATATGGTGCAGAGACAATAAGTACTACTGAACCATTATTCATTGTATTAAGCTCACTGTACGTTATATCATGTACCTTCTCCAACAGGTTCGGGAGGTCCGATACTTCTTCCTCCTAAGTGGTAACCGGACCAACCGCGTTCTAAAGGTGACAGCTTTTGAACTTTACGAACACTTAATGAATCTCTTAATGAATTAAGCTTTTGATCCCTTTCTGGATTTTCAGGTAGTTTATGTTGAACCACTAATTCCCGCCCTCTCACCACCGAAGTTGTAAGACCGGGCCATACCATGTTAACTTTCCCAACACCGATAACTTGACCTCTGTTCAGGTTGCGTATAGGTTTTCTCCCTCTTCCTCTACCACGTTTCTTTCCAGCGTTACTTACACTAGTTACACCTTTCCATAACTGATCGGCTGAAACTGAAAATGTAATCGTATTTGTGCCACTGCTATCTCTGTTTGACGTAGTAACTTTAACCGTTAAGTTTTGAAGAAATCATCTTACTTTTATTAAAAAAAGATGTATTCCGATGGCACAAGAAGACCAGGTTATGTGGCTGTAAAAATCTGTCTCTGGTCAAGATCTCGCTGCATTTTGTTAGACCTAAATTAAAGTACATCGAGTAGTCTTTCATATTTAGCTCCGGAAAAATAATACATTATGTGAATTCAATATTTTGTACTCGTGCACTCTTTTCGAAAAATATCACCTGAATTTACAATTGGAGAATACTTTGACGTATCTAATATTCATTACGTCTTAGCTTATCTATAGCATAATATACAAAACGTTAATACATCTTTATGCTAGGATTTATCAAGAAATATCGCTCTGCTTCAATTAGAGGTTATACTTTCGAAAAAGAGTAATGTGCCATTAATCCTGAAATTCACAGGATACATCAGAAAATTAAATTGTTTTGTATACTAAGTTTGGTAAATACCGGTCTTTGAAACTTGTACATGTTTTAGTGGATGTAACATAACACTACAAGCACGGAGAACTTGACATGCCATCGCCGAGAAATTGTTCCGATTTCTCTTAATAATTACGGAATTCCATACTCCTCGAGGATGAGTAGAGCATGAGATATATTAACGGTATGGTACATACAGTAGAGAGCGCTTATATTCAATTCTTCGCATTTATCACCGAGTCGGTGTCCTCTAGTGGCTTTATGCCGAACCTATTCCACGTTTAACGTGGACATGTTTCTTGTTACACCACAAATTCAAACGTATATACTTAAATTCTACTTCAACGTGTTAAATATAAACGTTTCGGTTTGTAATTACGAGAACAGGTGCACAAATGATACAAGAGACGTTACAGATCGTCCTTTTCTAACACCAACTTCAATTTTTCTTTACGAGCACGCGGTTTTTAATGAACAGTCTTCTTATAATTCGTTGCAATTTAAATTTGCCGCCGACATTTTTCCTAGCACTACCTCTCGTCCCCAACGGCACCATATCCGCAGGGAAGCCACTAATGTCCACCAGTGAACATCCATGTTTTACATTCCAACCAATGTCTATATTCATACACGTAAAATTAATGCGTAGGGCGTTTGCCATTGGTTGGAACTTCAGATATCTTCAGCTTGAAAAAATGGTATGTCGATGTTGATAGCTTGTAGACAAGCGATTGTTGGCCACATTCACGGCAATCTACTTACTTTCTACTGAAAGATGGCGGTGATGAGTGCGCCATGTTTTTTCTGACGTTCGTGCATTAGACATTTCTTTGAGGATTGTAATTTGTATGAGCAAGATGGCTGATGATGATCCATGGTTATTAAAAGAAGACGGTTTTTTGAATATAGAAACTGAGTGCAAAAGCATAATCTATCATCCTAATTTAAACGTTGTTCTAATTACTACTGGCAATGCACAAGTGTACGTTTTTGATGTCAATTCAGGAGTGATTTTACAGCGATGTTGTTTTTCTGGTAAGCATTTCGTAGAGTTGAAACGTTAATTTTATTAGAATCTTTGGTAATATGTCCTTTGAGGACATTTCTTGCCACATTTGCAATATTTCTGCAACTTGGCAATGGTCAAGGTCGTTTATTACCCACTGGAGGAATCTGTCGTCGCTTTTGGATTTCCCTAAACCCTATTGTACTTCTTCCATCGTAAGAATTTCTTGTCTCTCGTGGTGTTGGGACGTATCGGTTCTCATTTGCAAATCTGTCATATGGCTACATATTACGTCGTGTTTATTTGTGAACACTGGGAAAGATAATGCGCTAATTACACCTTTTCCTTTATAATAAGTTCCACCGATTGTGTCCAATTTATAGTGACAGTTCCATTAGAGAAAATATATAATACCGTGATGCATGGGTATAAGAACGTAACTTTTGTTATTGTACCAGTAGACCGACCCATTCGAAACTAAAGCATTTCATGGAGTTGTTTTAGCATGAATGGTGTTTATAACGTCCTGACTTAACTATAGCTATGTTGTGCGAATAAACGTTAAGTGGATCCTTTAGGTGGATTTGTTATTTACTGTCTTTTACGTGTACAGTCGTGTACGGGTGCTTTGAGATTATTATTTTATGTTAAAGGAAAAGCTGATGGTAAATTACAAGGAGTATATTTAGCCGATGGTACAGACAAAATTTTATATACCGATGGGCGTGCCATTGGGGTACGCAGTGACTATAATGGCGTACTTCTGTTAGATACGATATTGCAGACCCCTGTTTCTCGCGGTGAAGACATTATTAAGCTGGAGCTCCTTCTGTCGGAAGCTATATTGTTGCATCAATGTCTCCGTTGCATTGAATTACCTGGAATTGATCATGTACAGGAAGTATTACAAGAATTATCTGGTAAAATTCTCATGGCCCAAGCTAATCAGAAAAAGGGAATTAAAGCCCAAAAGGTTTGTTTCATTTTTTTCTATTATCCGTTATTAAAATGTCCGACTATAACAGACATTATGAGACCATATTTTGGGCCAGTAGTAAGCACCTCCTACTTGAAAAGAATTTTATTCTTTCAGTGGAACACGGTATGTTTGGAATTACCACATGGAACTTTAAAGTTAGTATGCTCAGGTTTGGTAGTGGAATTAAAGAAACGTAACAGGTATATTTCTGCGTTACCAATTGCCTCGGCTATCAACGAACGATTAAACGGCCTACTGCCAAGCCTTGCGTTAGAAGGTGGCCCGGCTGACAGGGAATTAATGTTTAGCGAGGCAGCTCGTCGTTATACATTCTCCAAGTGGCCGCACATGAATTACAAGTGAGATGTATACAAATGTCTAGAATGCTGAAAAATGAATATCCGGAATGACTACTTTATACGTTGATTTGTCACTGAAAATATTCTCAGAAATTATGTTAACGAATTTCAGATGGGCACTGCCCGATCAAATGGCACAAGCTGGTTTCTATCATCAACCCAATTCGACAGGAGATGATAGAGCAATGTGTTTCACTTGCAATGTATGCTTGGTGTGTTGGGAACCTACCGACGAGCCATGGTCGGAGCACGAACGTCATTCACCGGCGTGCCCATTCGTTAAGGGCGAGTATACTCAGAATGTACCACTTTCCGTTACATTGGCTACCGCTCCTGCTCGCCAATCCGAGGACATCGTAGACGTGATAAGCACGACAAATGTTTCCGGCCTTGTGGCCACTGCCTCTCACAGTGGCTTTGTAAATGTTTGGAATATCAGCAACCAATTCAAAGTAATTATCTTTTTTCACATCCAATTTTTGTACTGAAAACAAGTCCAGATGGGTTGATATTAATAACGGCGCTTGTAATTGTACTTTCGTAATCGGTAATTAATTATTCTTCCTTCTGTTTTTTTTTCCAGCAAGAGACATCTTTCTATGTTTCATTCTGCGAGCAAGAAGGCAATAACAAGGAGTGTATACAATTTTACGCAAGAAATCCGACAACATCCTACCTTCCCAGTCTTTGTCCGGAGACTGATCCTTTATCCGATTACAAGCCATCGAGTTCTCATAAATTGCAACTTACAGCATTATCCATAGTTGGGAGTTCTAATTCAAGGAAAAAGGAAGTAAACGGTACCTGTTCCGTTTTACTGAATCCTATCGAACCAGCGGAAAATAAAGTCAGACCTTGCTTAGTGTGCGGCGTGTCGATTGGTGTTAGTAATCAAGTGCAAGTAAGAACATTAGAAAACGTATGGGCAGCCTCGACAGACTTAGCCCCCTCGTCATCCTTGGTGCGTGCAATGAACAGTGCAAACAGTGCAGCCAGTGATACTTTAGATATAATGAAGGTTGCCGATAGGGGCTCGTCGACTCTTTCTCAACATCTAGTATTGTATGATTTTCACCATAAGTCGGTCTCCACGCATCCTGTCAAGGAAGATAGCACGAAACAAACCAAGTCCAAGAAAACGTTATCGGGAACTGGCACCAGTGCTAGTTCTAACGTTGGACGCCAGGAGAACATGTATCAAGAATTATTTCTTGGTCAGTTTTGGTACGAGGTTCCAGTTATCGAGGATTTGGACTCCGAAATGGTCGTGGGCACGCATTTCAACGGTGTGTATCCGACTACTACTGTCACTGCATCGTCTTCAAATGGGATATTCTCAACTCCAATAGGAATTACTGTACCGTATTCGTCGAATCCCTTCGATGCCAATTTCAATCCCATTAACTCTTCGGAACAGTTTGCTTCGACGTCCGAAGTTTCTGGCTTAAACAAGAAAACCTTTGATATAATGAAGGGGTCAAAGAGTGAGCCAGTCGCGGTACAGGTTGTCGGTATAGATGCACCGGACTACCTTAGAATAGCGTACGTTACCCCACTAAAGGATGGTAAGCACCTTTACGTAGCTTTGTGCCCGACATCGGATACCGATTTCAATGATCCTTCAACGTTTTCCAACACCAATCGGATGGATGTTGACGAAGAGAGCGAACTTTTTCCACCTAAGAGTTACGTTTATTGGGATCAGAATGAGACACAGTCTGGAAAATTGATCAATGGCGATGCGCGTCACTGTGCGTGCACTGGGAACGCGATATTACTCGTCTACCTCTTGGACTTTTCGGGAAAGGTCGTTAAATTGGTGCCACAGCCCATAGTCAGGAGAGAACTACCGGAGGATCAGATGCCCGTCGAACACGTATTACTGCCGCTGCACGAGAAGAATAAAGTTAGCTACGCGAGTACTGCTTCGACCGTAGCTGCTCCTACCGGGACAACGGATGTTCAAAAGCCTTGTGGTCAAGTGGCCTTAGTGTGTAAAGACGGCGTCGTGAGGCTTCTGGATTTAAGTACCCTTAAGACTGTCAGAGAAGCGAGATTGGATGGAAGGAAATTCATTTCTGCAGCGTACTGTACTAGTAAGGGATAACAAATATCTTATATATATAAATGTACACATTAGATTCCGTTACTCCTTCGGCTCTGTGACAACGCGTTCATTATTTTAGGCCTAGAGAGATTGTGCGTTTGCACGAACGACGGAGTCCTTCATTTTTTTACCACCATGGAAGAAGACGAGTCTGTGGAGGAAAAAGAGGACGCTGACGACATCAACATGATTTCGGAAGCTTCACGGTCTGGCAATGAAAGCACTGCTCCGAGTACCTCCACCTCTTTAGCTACTTACCAGTACGTTGTGCCAGTATTTTTTGTCGAGTCGACGAGTGTGTGTGTATACATATATATATATATGTTTCAAATGTCACCTTTCTCCCAGGGAGCAGATAATAGCGCACAAATCAAATTTGACATATTCGGATTTGAGAACGCTTTATGAACTTACAAGATTTGGAAGACATTCGCCAGCGTATTCGGCAACTGTACCGCCTTGTTGGAGTGAAATGATGCAAGCTCAAAGGCAGCGGCGTCATCCGCAACATCTTCATCAATTAGAGTACCAACATCACACGCGCACGTGGCGTTTGCAGAATGACGCGTAAGTTTTAGCCGAAGCGCGATTGAAATGTGACCAATCGGGTGATCATCGACTGGTGATTTAAATTGTTCTTTTGATATGTCTTGAATAGAACCACATGGGACGAACACGTATTCGAGCTTACTTTACCTCGAGACGCGCCAGGTAGCGTGGGTCATGTCGACGTTCGATTCAGTTTACATTCCCCTTGTTCGGAGCTTCCAACGATACAAGTCACTCTTCTGAAGCAGAATATAACTGGGATCGGGCATCACAAATCACCTCTTACTCCGGTCGATGAGAAAATAGATTTCAGTTTGGGGATCGAGCAGAGAGGCGATAATCCGGTTGTCACGGAGGAGTATCAACGCCAGCATAATACAGAAGTTTTGTGTGGTCCTATTAACTTGCAGTGTTGTACCGATCTCTCTGATCATTCTGGGTGTGTCTCCCTTACGAGTCCAAAATTGTTTCGCACCAAGGCAAGGACCCTGCTCGTTCACATCAAGGCTTCAATGGATTCCCTAAAGGATAGCGTGAGTAACTGCGAGATAAACCCAGTATCTGGAAATTAAAATTAAAGAAAAAAAAAAAAAGAAGCATTAATTCCAAGCTAAGCAATTGACCGGTTACAGGCTCTCGCTAGATGTAGAGTCAGTGCATTCGATTCGAAACCACCAACGTCTAAAAAGTTGAGGATAGACGAAGCTGGTCCATTTTTGCCTGGAGCAACGGTGGAACGACTCGCAGCTAGTGCTAATAAGAAGTTCGAATATTATATCGGTAACGTGATATCTATAAGTTATGCGTGTAGTTGGTAGACTAATCTCTTGATGGGAAGTTCCTCCTTCGTCGACATTACCGAGAATCCTTTTACAATTACTTTGATAGGTTGTGACTGGATCCACGAGATTTCAATAACAGTTAGATCACTGCATTGTACAAATATTCCTAATGAAAGGTCGCAAAGGTGCGCAATGTTGGAGTCCAAAACTTGCATCGAGAACTTGTTGAATATAGCATGTCTACAGACAGCCGACAAGTAAGTGAATTAAAACTTGAGGTTATCCCGCAGCAGAACGTTACGTCTCATGTAATGATGCGTTCAATACAGGTCTCCTGTAATCCAATCGTTAGCTTTGGATATTCTAATATGGATTGCAGCAATAAGACTTACTAGGCTACGAACTAGCGAAAATAGCGTAGATTCAAAAAGGAAACAATTGGAAGTAATACGATGTGTCCAGGGACGACTCTCAAATCTATTACGCAGTGGTCTTTTGTATGCAGGAAGCAGTATAGCTCACAAATGCGTGAAACTAATTATTTTATGTAGCGAGTAAGTTATATGCGTGACTCCTTTCCCGTTATGACATTTCGGAGAATGCCTTGCAATTACTTAAATTACATTCTTACTTTAGGGGTCTTCATAATTCGGACGATTCGTCACCTTACTCATTCGATGAGGCAGTGCTTGCAGTTTTAGTAACGTTGCTGCCTTCAATTTGGGGCGTGCAGTGGGCTGGATCTTTGCATTGGTTGTCCATCCTCATTACCAGATTACTCCCTTTGGATAGAAGTCACAGTATCGCGCAGCAGTGCGTCACTCTTGTGCAACAGATTGCATCAGAAATGTTGAGCCGCGTCAATCCTTACCACCTTTTACTGGCCACAAGGTATGGAGATGATTTGTTTCTCTCTTTCTCTCCTTTCTACTCTCTTTTTTCTCTTTTTTCTCTTTTTTCCTCTTTTCGTTCTCTTTTCTTTTTTCCTAAGGAGAATATGTTGTCATATAGCACTGTTCGAATTTTTCATGGATTAACGTTAACGCAGCGAGAAATGTGATTAATCCAATTCTGATTTCAGATTTGGATTGTACAGTTCTCCATTTGAGACGGAGCTCTTTGATTTAGAGCCTCCGATGCCACCAAAATTCAGCTCGATACCTTTAACTTATGCGAGTATTGCAGCCGGGGATCAGATTGGGGCATCGGTAACCTCAAATAGCGCTCTCTATCCTCAAGACTCGATCGATTTGCGCGATCTCCTTACTTTGCCGGCGTGTGCCACCACGGAACTTGTCGTTCCGGGAAAATTGAAAGTTCTTTGCGCGAATCACAACATGAAAGGACTGCTTGAGGTGATGGTATAAAATGTACATTTGAGCGCAGTCTACTGTGTTGCATCATAAAGCACAGTTTCCAAAGTATTCGACGTTACGAAAAGTACCCATTTCATTTCAGGTAGAGCCGCTTCACTTTACGTGTCACGCAGCTTCCGACGGTACGAAAATGGAAAAAATTGATCCAGCCATGAACACTGTCAATATTGGGACGACTTTGTTCGACAGCGCAACCATAAAGAACAGCAATGCAACCGACATTAAAGTCCTTCACCATGTATACGTAAGTTTCATCGCGCGTCCGCATGCAATAACTTCATCTCTAGTAAATGAGTAAATAACGAGCTAAGGTCATGTAAAAAATTGTTCATATACATTTAATACTTTAGGGAGAAGATGCCACCTTTCCATGGGATAGGCTATTATGTTGGCCTTCCCAACAAGTGCTGGTTGTCGAGAGAATGCACTCTGGAGCTCGTCGATTTGTCATTCTTGATTTTGGGTCACCTGTACTACTAACCGACTTGATGGTTCCCTCGTGCAGTGATTTGGTGTCACTGTCAATTGACATTTGGGCAAAAAGCGAAGAGAGCGATGGCACGCGTCTTATAGTTGCCGGTGACATCGGAAGCAAGCCACTGGTAGTGAGTGATCTCCAGCCACCTCCAGTGTGCAGATATCTTAAGGTACCCGTTAAACTTTGTACTTGCACGAGGCAACTATGATTTGCAATTTGACTCAGTAGCGAAAGTAAATGTGACATAAACCATTGAAATCAGATCACAACGATAGGCCGCTATGGGATGTCCACGACAAGATGTAAAATTCCACTTGGAATGTTTTATGGACACATGATCATTTTACCAGGAGAAACTTACTCGGAATCAACCAACTCTCAACCGAAATTTGACGGGATCAATGACTCCTCTTTGGAAGATGCGGTCGAATCCCAGTGCACTATTCTTTCCACTCTCGCAGAAGACGTTCAATGCAGGTATTTTGATAATTTGTTAACGGTTCTGCGATTTGCTATTGCTGGTATAGGGGGGAATCCAATATTAACTAATTAAAGATAATTCCTTTCGTCGTTTACGTGTAAATATACTTGTGATGTTCCATTCTTCATTTCAGATTCAGTTTAGCAACGGAAAGACTGAAGAGTCTCTTGGATCCTTTACTATCGACTGAAACCTCAAATGTCATGCACATGCAACATTTCCTGCACCGCGGTAAGATATCGAGCGAAAATAAGGAACATTCGTCTAGTAAAATTCTTGCCACATATCATGTAAGTACTATGGATGAAATACCCATTTTTATTTCTGCGAGTATATATAATAAAATTACGATCGTTGGTGCAATTAATCGTTTATATTGTTAACGTGCTTACATGTGCATGTCTATCCGTGTTGATATCCGTAGGAGTGCATTATGTTTCAACATCAACTAAACGTCGTACGCAGTGTGTGGCGACGGCTCGAAGGAAGAAATGGATCTCAGAGTATACCAAAAACTTTGCTATTAAATGTCCCGAGTGACAAACTTCGAGTACTCGGGGAAACCATGTTGGACATTCTTCTCTACGCGGTGTACATAATTGGTCCTGTGCCTAGTGTAAGTTATCCGCATTCAACTACACTTGTTCCGCACACAGAGAATCCTTCTAATCGGAATTGTTTAACTTGCAGATACCATTGTCTTTGAGCGAAGTATTTACACCATCCACTTGCGAGCGGTTTTTTCATTCTATATGCGTAGTTACTCCAGCTCCACGTTTACAGCTTTACGCTGTGGCTACGTTGGCTCGCATGGCTGGTCATCAGCCATGGTGGGGTGATTTTTTGGCCAATATGTTGGTCAACCTCTACTCGGCATCGTCTACCTGCATCTTTCCTCAAGATAGGTAAGGAAGGCATCAAATAATACACCAGGCAGTTCTCAAGTGACAGAACGCCGTAGAACTTAACGCGAGATATTAACCACTTTCTTTTACGGTGTTTCTTGTGTGCCGTGCAGCTGACCGTCCGTTCGTCTCGTTGCGTTTCTCACGCGTTGACTTATACGTAGAGCTCGATCAATTTTTCATCGCATTCGAGAAACTTGACGTCTAATCTGCGCTGATTTTTAGGGTTTTCATTTTGCTAACATTTCTTGGACGGAAGTCATTGATCGCTGGACCTAACAAGTCCTCGGTAGTAGATGCGATGGTTCGCACTTTGGGCAAACTACTGGCGCCACTGTCCAATGGCCACACATCCAGCTCGAACCGACTGGACACAACCCTGATTGGCTGGGTTCTCCTTTTCTTATCCGTGTGCTTAGATACAACTGCGACTCATTCTTCCTGTATCGAGGAAAGCCACGAGAAGAATAGGGAGCAAGGTACCTCAAATATTAATGACCCCACTCGTTAAGCCGTTACCTCGTTTACTCGAAACGTTCGATTTTTATAATCTTATAATTATTAATCCCGTGACATGTCTGGAGAAATTATTCTTCAAGGCCGAGTAAATGAGTAAATTGGAAGGGAAACGCTAAAGGACCGTTCCTTGTTAATTCGTAATGATTAACACTTTCGGGGTTTGTAGCCTTGAGTATAATCGACTACGCCAGATGATGTGGCAACTCTGATTACTTGAAATATCTCATTTACTTTAACAGTCGGCAAAATGTGTTTTAGACCGCGTGTGAACAATGAGGCGACCCGTTTTACGAACACCCTGTAAACAATTGTACATATGTGTGTGTGTGTACGTATATATATATATTTATTTATTTATTTATTTATTTATTTATCTAAAAGGATTCTCCTCACGGTGGGAATTTATCCAAGGAGAGTCGGCGATGCAACGGAAATTCATGAGTGCCAGTCGATCGTCGGCTTCCCGGAATTATCATCGAAAGATACAGAAACGGCTGATGCATCATAAACAACATCTTCAGGATCTAGAGCAGGCTAAAAAGGCTTTCCAAGCGTCGTCGCAAGTGCAGGTTTGGGTGCATCAATCGGAAGCCCGGAAGTCATAACGTTCGGATCCCTTTACGTAACTCGGACATTTTAATTTTAATTTTCATTTTCATTTTCATTTCAGGCGTGGTCGGCGCTTTCATCTCAAACGGCCACATTGTCCAACAAACTGGAAGCTGCGTTGAAGTCGCAAGAACGTTTGTTCAAGAAATCGTTGAAGCATCATACTGTAAAATACACGCATGATTTTCATTGCGTTAGGAGGAACGACGTTTCCCGAAATTCACGTCTTCCTCTGCAGCCTACACCTAGGTAGTACTTCCTCTTCATTTCGATAGAAATATTTATTTAATATTTGTCTGCTAATTTCGACGGTGTATCACACTAATTAACGCGTTGATTGCAGTAGGTCGGATGGGACGGATGTGGACATAGACTGTTTGACCAATTTGTTGTATCAACACGTACTGCCAGTAGCGCGTGGCCTCATTGCTCTGATTTTAAACAATGCATCTAATGTGGACATGTTTCTTCTAGCGTGTAAGGTTAGTTTTGTCATGCGTTGGCTCGTGGTAATTATGTCTCCTAACGATTCACGATGCGATCAGCGATCAGTAAAGGAAGACGTAAAACTGTGTATCATTAAATGTCGTACTTTGCATACCAGGTAGTTGCTAGGCTAGTGGTATCCACGCGCCCTGCAATTAGTTTGGGTGAGCTTATGACCGAGGAGCAGCTGTTAAGATTAGTCAGACTGGCCACTGGGACCTCCGATGCCGCATGGTCTTCGCACGCAATCTCGTGTCTCTTGCAAGATCTTTTGGAAGGTAGGACGATTTTTCGTAATCGCTCCGGAGGGTTCGTCATACTTTGAACCGTATGAAATCATTCCGGTTACACGGATTCGCGATCCGCTCGAGATCTTTATACCTAACTACAAAGGGCGTTTTCTCATACTTGACGTCTCGTGCAGGTGGAAGATTGTTTCCAAGACCTTCGGTGCCTCCCGAGGAGAGCCCCTCAGAGGAGAGTTTCGAATCCTTCGTCAGCGAAGATAGCAGAGTGGTGGAAGAAGATCCTGTGGCGGGTACCAGTTCTTCCGCTGCGGCCTTGGGAGCCGAAAAGGGCGACGGCGAAGTCGACTGCGACGAAGACACGCAAGATAGCGCTGCCATGACGCTGGGCACCGTTTCTAAATCCAATGGTTTCAATTTACCTTCACTGTTGGAATCGGATGACAGCGACCTCGAGGACTTTTACGATGACATCCTCGAACGCGGTAGGAATCTATTGAAGAAGGGAAATACTGCGACCAAGTTACCAGCCTCAGCTACTTCAAAGTAATTTTATACATTATTTCAACGTATGGCATAGGTACTTCCAAACATCTGTGTAATTGTAATCTGAGTTTAGCAGTATTTCTCTGGCAATGGATGCAAGGTTGGAGTATGGCATTGAAGCAGGCGTGGAAATTTCGTTGAGAAGACTTTCTACGCTCGGCGCGTATAACTTACCCATCAGTATAATTGCGACCGTGCACGTGAGTGAAATTATACTTCTAATGTACATTCAATACCCGGCATTGAGAAAAAAATTTGCGGCTAAATGAGATTCTTAACAGGCACCTGCAGAGCCAATTCGTCCCTCACAGTCTACATCGAGAAACTCAAGTTGGAGCGACAACAGTTCCGATGCTTGGAATCCTATCAATCCATTGCCATCCAATCTGTCGATGCTCACCAGATGCTTCGACGGCATCTTCACAGACTTGTACTTACAGGTTTGCTAACAATTATTACAATTACATTGACGTGTCGATGTGCTATCGTGTAAGTTAATTTGCTTGATTGTAATAGGCTTCGGGGACTAGTCTGGAACTAGTTTTGCAACTGTGGCTCACATTGAATTTGGATGCGGCATCTGGGTTTTCAAATTGTGCTGCGCAGTTTGATCCATCTATAACGCCTGATATCCCCTTCAATTCTGCAGCTCTTTCTGGCCTCGTATCGGCACTGTCTTGGTAAAAATATATTATTTCACTTACGATGTTATGACGTCTCGTTATTAAGGGTTCTATCTACTGGGAAAGTAGCAGCTTTCCGGTTTACCGTCTAATAAGTTTTTTGTTAGTATTGGATCATCGGAGATAACGAAACCTTGATCTTTATCGCGATGCGATTTCGGTCAAATAGAATTTTCTTCGTTTAATGAATTCAGGTATCCTGGTGTATCGCTTCGAGCGTGGTATCTAGCGTTACAATGCTTGACGCTTGCCAGCAATCAACCGACGCAAACAGTGCCAGAGCATGCAGATGTAGCTACGGATGGATTGCTCGGAGGCATGGCAAGCTGCATCGTCAAGGATAGAAGTATAGGCCCGATGCTTCTCCGATTTTTGTCCGGTAATGGCTTAAACGTGGAAGCCACCGACAAGCAATACATTATGGTAAGATATTTAATATCTTGCGTGCACTTTTATGCTATGGAATTAAAGAAAGGTAAATGTATTCCTAAATTCGATAGGAGCAAACGACTCTATAGCCAAGTTAACTTTTATGTATCGCGTTATCTTCAGGCTGGACCCACGGTTTGTCAGGCATTGCAAGACTTTTTGGTTAGGCTGGAAATAAGATGCGACGTCAGGACACCGAGCAGTCCCCTAGGAAATGCTTTGAAGGATCTGCTACTCTGGGTGCTGTACCAACTCGTACAGCCAGGTGGCGCGCTGGTCGGTCGGCGGGGTCCTTTGGATGCTCAGTGCAAACTCATTACCTCCTTGATTAATCTGAACTTTACGAATGCCGATTTGGGAACGGTCATGAGCATATCCGAATGCGTCGGAGTCTTGGTTGCTACGTACATCGGCAGATCGGGAGGTGAAGAGAGTACCTTCTTTTACGTTGACGTTTGAAACGGATTTTTATACATACGACTAACGCGTTTGCAGTCGGTGTACAATGCGGAGGAGCCGGGGATCCAACTCCTCAATCGGGAAGTTTCGGTGGTTTATATGCTTCCGTCTTTGGTGGAGATGCAAGACATGGTCGGCCAGCCTCCTGGAACACGCTGGTTGTCGCGTTAATCAAGTTGGTCTGCCGTCTCGTTCAGACGCCGCTCCCGAATGTAAGTTATTTTTGCGGTACCTTTTCGTGGGCGATTCCAGTGCGTTTGTCCGTTCGTACACCTTGTTCGTTCACTTGCTTCACCGAGGCATCGTTTATTACCGATCATTTCTATCCTCGTAGTCCCGCTGTTCCCAATCGGAAGGTGCAACCGAAATGGAAATCGGAGACGAGGCCCTGCGCCCGGGAGCAAGCAGTAATGGTTGCCAAACGAGTATCGATACCTCTCAAACGGATGAATGTAAAGTGGCAGAACAGCAAACTTGTTTGCGTCCGCAGCAGACTGGCCTGAACGTGCCACACGTACCTTGCGTGGCCGACACCGGTAAAATGATTAATTACCCGCGGATGTAATTGAAATAGTTCCATTCAACGTTGTGCTCAATTCGCGTTACAGTGCTGCAGCACGAGCCGACGATGATGCGACTATTGGCTGCTCTGGGACATAGCAGTGGCTCGTCCTTGGCTATGCTTTTAGGCGAAGGTCCTGGAACAGGAGCAGCCACGGAACTTGGCGACCCAGCTTCGGTTCCAGATGCGACCTTTCAATTGCTCTCGACGCTCGCGCAAAAAGCCAGTAGCCCCATGTTGGTTCTAAACCCGTTGTATCGGTACCTTGCGTCCAGTGAGTTTCGCCATTATTACCTCGATATTTCTGATATTTCTACACTCGTATGCAAAGTACCGAGTCTCATGCCGATTATTTTTAGCGCGTGGCTTGGATGGTTCGTCCCGGCGAGTTAATGTCATGCAATTGTCGGAACCACTGTTATGGTATATACTGAAGGTACTCGACAACGAGGCTTCCTTGGCAGTTTTTACGGCCATGGGTGGTGTAAGAGTACTGTGCGAGAACCTTGTAAGGTCGAATAGTTCCGGTTGCGGAACCGGCCCGGTTACCGCTGGAGTAATTGCTCTCGTAATGCAACATCTTTCGAACGTGCCTACCGCGACACCCGTAGTCTCCGCCAGTAGCAAGAAAACGACGAACAATTTGGAATCTTACGAGGACGGTCTGATGAATTTTGCTCCGCTCGGCACGATATCCTGGCTCAATCCTACGGCACAACCGGCAGACGTGTTGATACAAAGTGCTGCACCACACCGCCGTGCCAGGACAGCTGCGTGGACGTATCACTTTTACCAGGACGAAGCTTGGGTTGATTTGACCATAATGTTGCCATGCGCGGTTCTGTTGCGAGAAGTAGAGCTTCAGCCACATCTCACGTCGCTCTCTAGTAAGGGGCTGAATATAAGTTTCAACTTGAAGCTCAAGTTTCGAGACACCCTAGGAGTTTAAATACATCCATTGTATTCCAGCGTGTCCATCGGCAGTGGCTTTGGAGATTTCGCGCGAATGCAACACAGCCATGATGCCTATTTGCCCTCCGATGCCTACGGCAGGCTTAACTTTCATTCGTATTACCTTATCGAAGCCTGAAATTGCCACCGCTGTGCTGGTTCGCCTCTACAAACCTCGGGATTCTACCAGCATTGGTTTGAGTCAGATTCGTTTATTGGGTACAACGGCTTTCGGCGAGATTAAGACCAATAACGACACGATAGATGAAGAGCAGCTGACTAAAACGAGGTAAGCGAAGCTCGGAGTGGCGCTCGCCGTTGACAGTATCGTTATTTAGAACAATGGTTTCATCGGTTTTAATAATAATGTTACCGAATTCAAATAGCTTGGGGTGGCTTCGTCTCATCCATCAGTGTTTATCGGTGAGCACACTAAACGGAAACCTTATGGAGGATGTTCTGAACTCGGCAGCTTCCGTGGAAGGATTGGTAGATGCTTGTTGTAATCTCTTGTTGCTTCCCGCTCCGTCCCTGTTCACCTCCAACCTGGAGAGGGTCCTTCTGCAATTGGGTCTGCATTCCGAAGAGTTGGGTCTCCGGCTTATTAACTTTTTACTCGACAACAGGTCGACCCACGCGTTCCAAGGTAATTAAGTCAATTCATATTTTTCCCTTTGACGTGGGAATCTCAAGTGATTCCTCGTAACATTTTTGTGACCGTTCGCAGTGCCGGGAATGAATCAGGAGACACTGACTGTCCAGCTAGTTGTTGAGCTTTTGCAACAACTCTGCACTGCTAGAAATTCTAGTACCGAGGCTCGTATGTCCGCCGTGTTATCCTGGCTCTACGGTTCTGCAAGAAACGCCACAGCCCACACCCCGGGCACTGCCAATTTCGTTTCTCCGCCAGCGGTGTATATTCACTGCATATCCGCTATCGTCTGGAAAGTCCATAATCAAGAGGGACTTTCGTACGATTTGCAAGCATTGCTCAGCGACGATATCTTTAAGTGAGGCATTTTTCCCTTCAACCAAGTGCGTTCACTCCAAAAGGAAGTGTCAGAGATTTAATTAATGACCGTTCCCTAACAGCGCTTTGTATCGATGGACCCTGATACTCGAGGCACACTCCGCCTTGAAACAATCCATTGACGCCGCCTTATGTGCATTCAGTTACGTTCGTCCATCGTTGTTTCCGTTGCTCCTGCAAAGGGTGCACCTGTTGATGCCGAACCTGGCTCCTGGTCACTCCGCATCCATTTCCGACGACCGGAAGGGAACCGAGGGCCAGACGGATGATAAAAAAACAGAATTCGATGCTGCGGAGGGACACTGTCGTCCTGTATTCCTGGAGTATCAGAAGTTACACCTTACGGAGGGCCAATTGCTTACGGTCGCCGCTGCGGCTTCTTCTTCGTCTGGTGTTCAACAGCTCATAGACTCGAAACTCCCGGCATTTCTCGTTGCGTTGATCACAGGTACTCTTCTAGATGTTTGTGTCGATTACTCATCGATCTTATCTTTCGACTTTAAGACTAATCTCGATGACTCTGCACGTTTAAACATCTCGTTGTCAATGAAACGCATAATTTGCAGAATTCTGCGACACGGAAAAGTCCAAATTACAGCAACAACAAAGGAGCACATCAAACGAGACGTGTCATGGCATTAATTCTAGAGGCACTGCTAGTATGACGGACAATGACAAGGCCGAGGAGTTTACTCGACAATCGAGCAATTATTTCGGTAAGTCTTGGTTGTTCTAAATACGTCAAAGTCAACGCAGTGAATAACTTGGCTAGGTCAACACCAGGGCAAAAGGGCGTAAGTGAATGAATATCTTATCTCGTAGGTAATCAGTGTGCAACGGAACCAGAAAGCATCGCCATGGTATTAGAATTCCTATCGCTTGTTTGCTCAGAGGGCAGGATGAGAGACTGGTTGGGAAATGAAGGTCGAGGATTCTGGCTGCCGCTTTTGACACTTCTCAGCAATCGTCCTATCGAGAATCCTTCGGTAACTTCCAGGTACTTGCACAGAAATACTCGACTCGTCGCAATTGAAGCGTGGGAAGGGGAAAATGCGCGCGCGTAGTTGAGAAAGAAAAGTATGAGAGAGAGAGAGAGAGAGAGAGAGAGAAAAGGAATTGGCTTGACAGAAGTATTATTTAACGGCATTGGGCGCAATATCGTCTTACTATGTTTTTGTTGCATCGGAGAATTAAATGTTCACAGGTGTTCGAGACGAATCGAATCGTATACGAGTCTGGAAAACGCTACAATCAAATTCTTGGCTAGGTGTTGCTGGTGCCATCCAGTTAATCAGAAATTATTGGCCGAGCTGCTCACCGATGTCATTTCACAACAGAGAATTCCCCCGAGTAAGTTATTCTTTCCTGGTTTAACACAATTGCCATGTTTGATACGATACACGAGGCGTTTATTTTTCAAACAGACGTGCGGTATCTCCACGGTATTTCGGGGTTCACTAGAAGATTAATACTTCAATTGTTACTGGAAGGAGAAAAGGTTTTAATCGCTGTAACATCAGACGTTCCGATGAAACCCACCGATAATGGAGCAAGTCAATGTACTCCATCTATGCCTCCACACCCAGCACACCCGAATGGTCATTACCACAAGTTACTCTACATGTCAACGCAATCAACCGTCGCCGACATATTGCAACAAATATCTGGTATGTACAAGAATCGTGTGCAGTGCAATCCTTCGGTTTAAATATAAAGGAAGGTTTTTCAATCGATCGTCACTTTTATGTACGGACGTAGGTACGTGGTTACTCATGCTTCTACCGAGCAGTCGAAAAGGAAGCGAGGCAAATAAAAGCAGTTCCAATCGTTCACGGGAACTTTGGGAATCCGGGATGGCGTCGGTGGTAGATACCTTGAGCGTTGCGGCTGGAAACACAGCGAAAGACAAAAGAGCGAAAGAAGCTTCAAACAGGTCTCAAGCCCGAGGCCCAATTTTGAGGAGACCTCGCACAAGCATAGGTAGGACGAAGAATTCTACCCCATCGGTTGTCGATGACCGATGGTTGCGCGCGTAAAAAATATATTTACGTAATATCCCAACGTATTCCCACGTCCAACGCTAACAGATGGAGTAGGGACAACGTCAAAGAGTCACAGTAGCGGCATGCAAGCAAATTCGACAAACTCGAAGGCTCAGCAATACTTAATACACGCATCTAAACCAAATACGCCGCTGCCGCCGCAATTAACGATCGCTCAACTTTTGGCTATCACGGAAGACGCTGGGGTCTCCCCATCCGAGCCGTGCGTGTACCTGTTCCTGCGTCAACGCAACAAAGACTCGAAAGGTACGCTCGTACAAATTGCTACGAATCGATGGCGGTTACCTCGGGCTCGTTCTATTTCAGAGGAGCCGGCCAGGTCGAACGGCAGCGAGTTGCTGAACTACAGGAGCATCGAGTGCTCCTTGGGGGTCTTCAGCACCGGAGGGGGCTTGGCGGTGCTGGCCAGGCACCTCCCGTTGATATGCCCGGATTCCGGAAAACCTTCGCCCGTCGTCGAGAAGTCTCCGTCGACGTCGCAACTTGACACGGGATGGGTAAAGGTCGAGGCCAGCGACGACGTATACGAGGACGTGGAAGAAGCAGGAGTCGCTGGAGTATCGAAGACGTCGCCTCCGGCCCCGCACGTGCCGCCGCACTCTCTCACGGCGTTCGGTCTGTTCCTGAGGCTTCCTGGATACGCCGAGGTCCTGCTGCAGGATAGAAAACGCGCTCAGTGTCTGCTAAGGCTGGCCTTGGGGGTGTCCGACGACGGAGAAGGAAGGGACATGTTGAGCTCGCCTTTCGCGGCTTCCTTGCCAACGTTGCCGTTTCAAGTGCTGAAGCAGCTGCTCGACGCGACGCCTCCCACCACTGACGACGGGTACCTCCTTCGCCGCATCAGCATCGAGGTCGGGGCCGTCTCGTTGCTCCTCGATTGCCTGGCAATTTTCACACACCAGACGGAATACAACGAAGGCACCGAGCAGCGAAACGGCCATGGCGGCGGACGCAGCGACGACAAGTCGCACCTATACTGGGCCAAAGGAACTGGCTTCGGCACCGGCTCTACCCAGCAGTCTTGGAACGTCGAGCAGTCCTTGTTGAGGCAGCGCTTCGAGGAGGAGCACGTAACCGTGCTGTTGCAGGTCTTGGCCAGCTACGTCGGCCCCGAGGGCCAGCCACAGCCGGATCTGCCAGCCCCGTTCACGGACCTTTTGTCTCGCTCGTGTCTGCTCCCCGCGCTGTCGTCTTATCTCAGAAACGACTCGGTCCTCGACATGGCGAGGCACATCCCTCTTTACCGGACGATCCTGCAGTTGCTCAGGGTCATGGCCCTGTCCACCCAGCTGGCTCCTCTTCTTCTTCCACGGGGGAGCATATCGAGCGATCCCTCCGTCATCTCGCTCCTGTCGAACATGAGAGACTGCGTCGACACGTACATGAACAAGGTCAATCGTACTCGCGGAAATAATTTCAAGTCCATCGCAAAGGGTGCCGACGACTCCGAGCAGGACGAGGGTTTGGCTACTCTAATACCGGACATTCAGGAGAGTGCCATTATCGTGCAGGGTGCCACCGCGAAGTTGGCGGGACTTGGAGAAGAGTCGACGAGGCCAAGTTCCGCGGCTCCCGAATTACCGTTGCGCTCCATCGAGCAGCGTTACTTGGAAGTCATGAAGACCCTTCAGTTTGGTTAGCCACTTATACCTCCTACAGCTTACCGTTACTGCAAAATGCGACCTACAGGGTGTAACGGAATCAATGGTCGTAGCTCGTTCGTCATAATTGTTCGAAAAATAGCCAGCTAGACGGAGAGAGCACGCCGGTCGTTGCCTTGCTTCTCCGCGGCCGAGAGCCGATTGGCTATTTTTCAATTCGTTTTCTTTTACACCCTGTATTTTCTTAATCCGAGTAACACGACCTCCATCCACTTGCAGATACGTACGAAATGATAACTGAGAATTCTGAGGGTGGAGGCTACAAGTTCGTCGTGTCTTATCATTTCGAGTCGAATATGAGAGCGGCAGGTGAGAGGAGTCATCCAACAAGGGTGAAGAGACTAGCTCAGGAAGCCGTCACCCTTTCCAGTGCGCTACCTCTGTCGTACAGCAGCAGCGTCTTCGTCAGGTGCGACGCGGACAGGTTGGACGTTATGAAGGTACATTAGAACGGCTTTCGAGTAAACTCGGTCACCGCTGACGAAATAACCGAGGAAATAACGTAGCGCAGAGGAAACCCCCTTCGATACGATGAACGGTGACGGTGATTTATATAAGTAACGCGCAATAATCTTGTTATACCGAACTGACATAATCATTTTCAAGGTGTTAATAACCGGACCAGCGGAGACGCCGTACGCCAATGGTTGCTTCGAGTTCGATGTCTACTTTCCTCCGGACTATCCCAACAGTCCCATGTTAATAAACCTAGAAACAACTGGCCGACACACGGTTCGCTTCAATCCCAACCTTTACAACGACGGAAAGGTGTGCCTTAGCGTTCTAAACACCTGGCATGGGCGTCCGGAGGAGAAATGGAATGCTCATACCAGCAGTTTCCTTCAGGTAAAGTCTCGTTGGTTGTCGGTCACGAGTGCATCACTCGACGTCGTCTGCTTCATCGTTCTTCTCTCTCAAGGTCTTGGTATCCATTCAATCCTTGATATTGGTTTCGGAGCCGTATTTTAACGAGCCAGGATACGAGCGATCCCGCGGGACCTCTAGCGGAGCCCAGTCTAGTCAAGAGTACAACGCCAACATCTGTCAAGCCACCGCAAAGTGGGCGATGCTTGACCAAATACGTAATCCCTGTCCGTGTTTTAAAGAGGTATCGGCGACCCTAGAGACATTCTCGGATCGAGGAACCCTCCAAGGTTGACCCCCGGCTTAAATCTACTCGTTCTTCGCAGGTTATACATACCCACTTCTGGTTGAAGCGACACGAAATAGTTGCTCAGTTGGAAGGGTGGATCAGAGACATGGAGCTACACGGGACCGACAGACGATCGGCTCGTGCCATTTCCTTAAACGCTCTAGCTTTGAGGGTAAGGGCTGCCTAATGGTCCTACCTAATGGTCCAAAGGAGTCCGGTTTGCTGACGATTCGAATCTTTCAGAGGCACTACAAGCTCCTGAGGGAAGAACTGAACAAACTGCCAACCCCGGAAGGTCTGGAGGATCTAGCGGAGCCCCTCCCGTCGCCAGGCTCGCCGTTGGAATTGTGCGGCACTTCTGGGACAACGCCCACGACCAGTGCCCATGGCCAGGTCGTACTGGCCACTTCGGTGGGTACCATTTCCATGCCCTCGATTCCCTCGACCACGTCCGTCTCGAGCATAACGTTAAGCAATGCCGGTAGTCCGATCACGAACGCTAGTGCCAGCAGTCATGTACACCATGACATCGACACCGACGTCGAGATGGAGAAGATGGTCTCAAAAGTGTGTGAATAGTTGAACGGTGTTAATGGAGGTTGTTGGACTTTTTCAAGAGTCTATTGTTAGCGTTACGAGCTGTATAACGGACCGAGCGCGAGCCGACCAAACGTCCACCCCGACGTTTGGATCTCGCGAGAAACAGCAGCCGAGAATCCCCTGAACGGTGTAAGGGGGCTTGTCTTGCCGTGGTTGATTGCAGGACGAGCGAGCCGGCTTTCTTACCGTTACCGAAAGAACGCCGTGCCCAATGGAAATTTCACGTAGCTGCTGCTATCGGATATGTATTCTAGCCCGTACTTTCCCTACTAGAAGTATCGATCGTTATACCACGTTTAAGATACATGTTCTCGGTTTATTGTAGCTGGTACTCCTACGCGGGAAGTGATTAAACGACTCCTCGTTTCGACGCGCGTATGATGCGTACAGGTAGAGACAGGGGCGGGGGGGGGGGGGTGTATCCATAAGAAATGTACGCACATTGGAATCCGATATTTTCACAAGCGGTCGTAGTCGATAGCGGATGACCGGAGGCATCGACCTCCATCGATAAGAACGTTCGACCTTTCGACTTGACCTCTCGGCGCCGAAATCGACTGTAGAGACGCGACCGGTCGAACGTGTATTCCAAGTCCACTCGGGTTAAAATTCGAGTAACTCGAGTCGATGAAACATTCGACTCGTCGCGTCATTGATTCGGTCGGCTACAAATGACATCTCTCGTGATTGAATAAAAAGGTGAACGGGCGCGTTGCGGTTTCGGCATAATCACGAGTACCGGTCTTTGGGATCGCCACATATTGTGAGTACGTGTAAAATATTGCAAACGATAGGATAATCGAGAGAGATACTTATTGTACGCTTTCAAACTACGGGAATGTAAACGAGGTGAGACATGCATGCGACGCAAGAAAGAACAACTTCGGTCTATCTATTCTGTACCTAATAAAATAGAAAGTAGCGGTGTGTACGTATCCTGATAGGCTGCATATCACCCTAAGCACTGATTGTCCCGAAAGAATAAACGATGCGTTTTTTTCTTTTTACAACATGTTGATTCTAGTAACTTAATCGGAATATTCGACGAACTGCCGACGAATTAGAACTCGTCCGGGTTTTATTACCGAGACAACTCAGAACGTTGATTCTTCGGTAAAATCATATTCAGTGCTGGTAATCTGCGGTTAACCGTGAAGTAACGATTACAGGGTGATTCTCGTTACCAATTGCCGACTGTTGTAAATAATTACTGATCCTATACGTGTTTATAAATCTAATGAGTACTGATACAATGCCCGTATACGTACTACGTCTGATGCGTGAGTGCGATTCATGAGTAAAATGCACGATTTACGTGATAGCAAATGTGCTAATAACTATTTATAATAAATGATTTACTGGCGACTGCTAATATAATTTATGCTTTAGCGTCAGACCTGACGTCGACATGTCGCTATTTTAAAGTCACGAGTTGCGGTAAGAACTTTTCGTTTGGTCGGAATTTATACATTGAAATATAAACACCTCGAATATTGTTCATGAAGTACCTTTTTTACGTGAGTATCTTTAAGAAGATTTTAAAAGTTAAGTGAAGCGTGAAACTTACGAGAGGACGTTACTTTTATCCGCAGGTTCTCGTTTACTTTCAGTTGTAGCAATTAGGGACTTTGTAGATTGATCGATTTGTCGATACAAAAACATATATATTGATTATTATTATGCAGTTCACGGTGTCAACTGCAAAGGTCATTAAGCTATTTTTAAATAATAGCAAAAAAAGATCGCTTTCTCAATCACAGAAATTCGGTGGAGTTTCCAGACCTCCTATGTGTACACTGGCCAAAGAATACAGAAGTCTGCGGCATGCATAGAACTGGGGTTAAGAAAAAACGTCACTAACTGTTTAATAAGTTAAGTCCCAAAGCTCTGCATCACGTCGACTTCGAGGCAACAATGTACTTTAAAGTTTTTTTTTCATCTTTCGCCGACTGGTGCGATCCACGTCGTTCATGACTCACGTGCTCGGGGTTTAACGATGTTATTGAAATTTCGTTAATTACCATTGTTTTACCGTGAGCCGGAATGTTTCAGGACAAATGTTTTGCAGTAAAGTTACCAATGTACGGGATAAATACTTGAACCAGAAATTTCTAACTTCCAAGCTCTCGGAAGCTTTAAAAAAAAGTTAAGCTAGCTTCAACCCTTAAAATATTTGCCCGGGAGAATTTCATGCTACGAGTGTTTTTCAAGGATCAGGAATAGGCGATTAGAGGGTTTGCTAGACATGTTCGTCTAATTAAACGTACTCATTGTTATCGTTCTATAAGTTGCTTTATTACATTAATTATTTTACAGTCTATTATACATCATGTACCGCAAGTACATAAGTTCTCGAGCTCGTGTTTTACGTTACGTTTACGTTACCACCACCAGGCTGCACCATGTACACGAGGAAGCCATTTAATGACCGCCAGTGTATAAATAACATTCATAAATCTATCTCGTTATGAATATAGGGTCTTTTCCACCCATTCCTCCATTGTAAATGTTGCAGAGTTAGTACTATCTGGATCTCTTTCTCGGAAAATATCTGTGGAACAAGAGAGAAATACACTCATAAAGACTTTTTAAAGGGGTACATCAATTGCTGAACTGGGAACGATTAACTAGCTTCAGGATGAAGGCAGTGCAATATCTGCTAAATGAATCTCGCGGAAATATCACGGTATTAAGTGAATGATAGGCAACCTAATTATTATACAAAGATATTTTGGATATAATAATAACAGAATTGTTGCCAGCATCGATTATCGTTAATGGTAGCACATTCGGTACTGTTACGTGGAAATGGAGTTAAACTTTTTTCGTGAAATTATACACTGTTTTTGCAATAATCAGTTGAGCTTATCTATACGTATTAATTATAAATAGAATCATTTTCTACATGTTCTCCGGTAAATAGGCATTAGTGGGTGACACCGATGATCAAGTTATTATTCACGTGTACTCTTGTGATTTTCAAAGAATATTTCGATACTTACAACATCATGTCACCTTTCCAGTTATCTCGTAACTATTAGTGACAAAGTGCACCTTTATTCAATGATTTCAGGAAGGTAGTTACCTAATTACCGATTAACATTTTTTTTTTAAACGGTAAATTGTATACTGTACGTATACTGTATATTCGTTTACATACCTATCATCGTTTTGAGACGGACTGCGCACATGATGAAATCATCGAATGCGATCATTCCGTCCTTGGTCCCGTATCGATGTACCAAAATATTAAGTATGTGATTATTGAGTCGGTAGCCGGCACTGTTCAGGGCTTGCCTCAATTCAAATGCACTCAAAACACCCGAGCCATCCCTGTCGTATAATTGAAATACGGCCTGAAAAGGTACCCGTAGTCGTTTATAAATATTTTATACTAGTTCATATATGGAACAGTTTAACCCATTCCAAGATAGCTCTTTTCTCTGTAGATATCGACATTTCGTTAACGCGCATAATGCTTTGCTCTGAATGGACTAAAAGCAAAAGGAGAAGAAGTAAATACCCTCCAACTCCGAATATCAGCCCACAATGTCTTGAACTCCTCAAAGCCAAGTTTCCCTGAATGATCGACATCCAGCATGGCAACCATACTACGACATATGTCCTTGCTAAATCCTTCGTTATGGGTTTCTAGAATCGAAGGAGATTCTTCTTACCGTTCGAGCTCACGGAATGTTTGACGAACGTTTGTTAAATTGTTTAAATTTCGAAGGCAGGAAACAAACTATTATGTTTAAATCGGATAAAACGGTTACTGACTTAAAGTACCTTTTCGCATGGCATAGTCCAAAATTTCCTTCAGTTCCATCCAGTCGACCTCCATGTCGTCACCTGCAAGCTTTCTGAAGAAGTCACGTACCTTTTCTTCGTTTCGGTCCGGTTCGGGTCGTTCCTTTACCTGTTACAAGCAGCCAGGAAATCATTTTTCACTTGCGTACTTCCTAATAATCGTAGGTCTTGAATATATAAAAATGACAAGACTCACCCTATCGTCGATTTCACCAATTCCCACCTCCTCGTCATTTTCCCTGGAACGGACGATACGTTTGAGGAAAGGTACACGACAAATTAATCGGCTGCTTCCCAACTTACTCTCTGTACGTTGATTAAGAGTCAGCGCGATTGCATACTAGTCAAAACTAATACGTACTCCATGTTGTTTTTGTTCTCGGAGAATATCCTCAGTAAGAATTCGCCTTCCTCGTTCGGATCAAAAGTGCTCGGTACGATACAGTATACGCCAGGCGGTAACTTGAACCGGCAACTGACTTCTCGTAGATTTATAAAAGACGGTGATCTAGCCACAGATGCATTGTACTTAAAGAAATTTATATCCAAAGGCTTTGGCAGTCTATCGGGATACTCCAACTGTTAAATGGGCAAGAATGCGGATTAAAAGTAAAGTAGATGGAAATGTGCAACGTGTCGTATTGGTCATTGTAAAATATATTCCGCTGCAGCTTATGAACTTTCTTGAAATATCTCATGAATTTTTATAACGGCACATTCGCGTACATGATAGATGGCGAAACCGATGGTAAGACAGTCGGCGCCCATCCTTCTCTGAGCTCTCCTATTTTTCTGCATTAATGCAACGATTACTGTACATTTGTCATCACCTTCATCTGGATATTCCAATGTGACACGGTACTGTGGATTATGCCAAAAAGTTTCTGAAAAGGATGTTTAATCGGTATTGCTAGTTATCGAAATGACGAGTTGATTACGAGTTGCACACGAGAGGTCTTGACGACGCAGGCGGTAGAAGAAGAATACTACATGCGTTAACTATATGAATCCGCGTTTACCTAAAAAGTTTCGACAACCGCCAGCCGTTACACCTCGTACCCACTCTCCTTCGAATACACTCATTTCCCATTTCTTTTTTCCAGCATTGAGGTCGTCTTCCGTCAAAGAATCGGGATTTAAATTGCAGATCTCCAACCTAGTAAAGTAGTGTTTAAAATCCTGGAAGGACATCCAAAACTCGCCGTCCATGTCGAATGTCAAACCTAGCTCGTCCTTCTCATGATCTGGAATGAATCTCCACTCCGGTGATCTGTGGAGCAAAAAAATGCGCAAAATGAAGTCTAAGAATTTATTATCAAAATTGCTTGTAACCGTTTCACGCGAATCTAAACCGTTCTCCTCGAGCATTATGCGTCATCGTTAGCTGAAGTTCAAGTATTATTACTTGTTACCACCAAACTGCAATATCAATGAAGAATAATCTCAACTTACTGATCGCTCCATGGACCGTTCCATTCGGCTTCGTTGCCCCAAGGGTTTCGCAGTCGTAGCAAAGGAATTTTCCCAATTTGATTCGGTGTCTGAATGTCTACGTACTTAACGCGGGTAATACTGTAGGCATGACCCCTGATCAATCCTTGGGGTGTTTCAGCTTCCAAAATATTTGGATCTGGCTAAATAAATGCAATGCAATTTACATACGGTGCAATACGAATTACTCAAGTGCAAATGTCTTTGTAAGAGCAGATAATGACCTCGAGCGAGCAACCCATCAAAGAGTTCCTCTCGTATGCTTTAAGCAGAATGCCAAACAAATTTGGAGGTGTTTCGTCCATCTCGTACATTTCGGTAACTCCTCCTGTAAAATCCTCCATTGCTTCGCAGGTGGTTCCACCTTTGAGAGCCTCGTAGGAGCCGTGAAGTTTCGCGTAAGCTTTCTCAAGTAAAGCACTCCAAAATTCATTTCTCTCCGCGGAGTGTAGATACATCAGTTCACCGTTATACGTCGGTAACCGATCGTCGATTACTACGTCGACCCACCTGCCATACTGCCAAAACCTGGAAATTAAACAAATCGAATTCTTGAATCGATTACAAACATAATAAGCATAATGGAGTAATGGGGTCCATGTCAATTAACAAACTGCCAGGGTTTATTTTTTATGCCATTTAAAATAATTCCAGATAACGACTATTAGTAACTATACCTGAAATGAAATATTCCTGCATAGTTTTCTTCAAAACTTTGATCTTCAGGTACTATTTGAAAAAACAAATGAGGATGCATAGTGAGATTTGCGACAGCAGCTAGTAACCAACAATCTCCAAGTTCACCCTGTTGAACGTCGAATCTTGAAAATCCTTCGACAAAGAGTCGAGGGTCATCCGCGATTTCCTGTTTCGATAATAAAGAGCACTGTATTTAGCTTAAACAAAAAACCTTCTTAATAGTCACGCACTACCTTTTCACACCATAGAATTTTTCACCGACCATATTAGAAACGCAATGCATTACAAAAGCCATTAGACCGTAAGAAACAATTTAGCATAAATAATCCATTGATATTCTGTACCATTGGACGTCTCCAATCTATATATCTGTCAGGTCTGCGTGAGTAGTAAAGCGACGAATCTTGTGCCAGGAACTCTGGGTCCTCGAATAGAGTTCCCGTTTCTAGACATCGTTGCCTCAATTGATTAAAATCTTGAACGGCAGCGCTTAGCCTTATACCGGATCCTTTCTCCCCTAACTGAAACAGTTAAAGCATCATTGGATATTACTTTAAGCCCGCTACATTATCCCAGGGAAAGTTGTCTACAATTTAACCGGTACGCATACTCGTCGAGTTCAGCACAGGATGCGATCGCACGATCCTGCCCGTGAGCAATCTCCCAACTCATCTCTGTTAGGAGCTCGCGCACTCGCGATGGCGGTACCATCTACCAGTCGCCGTTGGTGGCTCACGTACTCGTCATGGTAATACCATGCGGCAGTTGACGGTGGTGGCTTACCTACGCTTACCGACACTGCTCGCTTTTGATGGTAAGGGAAGAACAGTCGTGACGCTCCATTTGACTTTATCTACTTATCTACTACTGTTAAGTACATTGCTGCCTCGAAGTCGACGTGATGCGGAGCTTTGGGGCACGCGTCGGTGTCGCGTACGGAACTCTCATGCAGCGAATATGCATGAGTACGATAGAGTGCACTTAGAGTCCCGTAGAGTTCGGGCACACTACGGGACTCTACGGGACTCTAAGTGCACTCTATCGTACTCATGCAGATTCGCTGCATGAGAGTTCCGTACGCGACACCGACGCGTGCCCCAAAGCTCCGCATCACATCGACTTCGAGACAACAATGTACTTAATAGTAGTAGATAAGTAGATAAAGTCAAATGGAGCGTCACGAGTACGTGAGCCGCCAACGGCGACTGGTAGATGGTACCGCCATCGCGAGTGCGCGAGCTCCTATCAGAAATTCGTTGCGCCGCCCTTGGGGGTAAAAAACGGTGAAAGCTAACGTACGAAACCAGAGGGCAGCACCGAACGCGATCCCGCGATCTCCCAACTCGGCTTTTACGAGGAGGTCTATCTATGACTTTTTCACCCGGCTTGCGGGCAGCCCAGCCGCCGGAGAATTTTTTTTCGCAATTGCGACCACAGTAGCTCGACGAGGAAGGTTGTTCTCTTCAAATTGATCTCTCGAGTGAGCGGCTGTGATTTTTTACAGAGGAAATACATGGTTTGAGACGAGTCGGCGGGATCTCGGGGACGAAACAAATTCATTGACCCCGTCGAAAATCGCTCGAAACCCCTGTATCTCCCCTGAAAAATATCGCAGCCCCACATTCGAAAGATCGATATGGAGGGAGGAACCTTTCCCGTCGGCCGTCTGGTTGAAGCGATGTACCTATCCTTGCTTCGACAGCTGCAAAAATAATTGCGTTCTTTAGGTATCGACCGAGGATAAAACCAGCAATTTGCATCAACCCGATGAAACTCTGCGTAGACATTTAAGAGCCGCACTTAATTTTCTATGAATACTATGGAATGACAAATAACGGTGATAATTAAAGTCCGCAATCATTTTTATTTCCCGCAATCATCGTTGCATCGGGATACGTACCTCTATCTTCCCTGCCTCTTTCCGAACGAATTCCGGCTCCTGGATAACGCTCGCGTTCCAACCGTACCCGAGATGAGTGTCCATTCCGAATCCGTTTTTGCCCCTCTATACGACGAAAACTCGAGGATCGCTCTAGATTCGGTACATAACTACCAACACATGTCTCTGGAATCGTTGCACGCCCTTATGGTTGCACGCGCGATCTCGAACAAGGTCAAGGCGGGTCCCGGGGTGCGGCGGCCGTGTAACGTACACGTCACGGACAGGTCGGTAATCGAAGACGCGATCACTCGCCGTATGACGTTGACGTTTCGGGACTACCGGGACTACCGGGACTACCGGGACTACGCGCGATCGAGCCGTCTCCCCGACTGAGCTACACGAGGCCACGAACGGTCGTATGTATGTCGACCCGCATGGCTACGCGGCTGCGCCTCCTCTTCCACTGTCATTCCCCTCCCCCCCCCCCTCGCCCTCCCGTCCTGCGCCGGATGGCGCCGCGTTCAGTTTTACATCAGACCGTAAGTCATTTCCCGTACTTTTGGCCGTTTTAATAAGCATAAAGATGTCTTTTTACGTAGAAAATGTATACGATTGAAGTTAAAGACAATATTTGGATGATTTCCGACGAATCGATAGAGTAGACGTATTCCCAAATCCAAGCCCGAGTAATAACGAGGAGTTCCCGACAAGCGTTTCGCTCCGGGTAACTCTTTTAAAGCTATAAATAAAGGACGTGGAACACGCTGCGGGCGCTCTGGAGCTCGAGCTTATTTTTCAACTTGGCATACGGCCAGAATCCATCGGGTCCGCGGCTGTTCCGCGGCTGTTCCGCCCGAAACGTATTTGTCCCGGAAGACAGTCCCTCTCCGAGCCTATCGATGGGCTCGCCATCGGCGCTACTTCCCGAAAACGAAACCAAATCGGTGCTTTTATCGGCGCGCTTTATCGCAATCTACGCGAGGGCGGGGACAGGAACGAAGGGGAAAAAGCAAGTCGGAAGTTCAGACCTTGAAGACGATGTTGCCTGGGTGATGTACGTCCCCCGATCCGGAGAGCCCTCCTCTCAGAACTCGGGAAAGGAGCTTGTATCGACCGAGGGTCTCCCACACGTCCAGAGGCAGTTCCAGCAGTCCCGGACTTCTGCGAGAAAGAATACCCGTCCATGACGATACGACGAATTATTCGGTCTTTGTTTCGTTCTCTTGGAAATTCTGGTACGAGTCCGGACGAAATCCCATACCCCTTGGAGAACTTGTGGGTCTTGACGTTCCCGTCGTCGCCGGCCACGGTTCTGGAGTAGAAGTACGAATAGGTCGGCATTCCTTTCCGGGGCGGTTCGCACGAGACCGGCAGTCTGCGGCAACTGCGGCAACTGCGGCAACTGTGAAATGCACGCGTATGGGCGCAATGCACGCTAATATCAATATATTTAGACGCCGGTCCGCGGCGACTGCCCGTTTGCGTAGCGTCATGCCTCCGAAAATTCGGCTCCGTCGCTGTACCGCACGGAACAAGAAGGAACAAGAGGGAACAAGAGGGAACAAGAGGGAACAAGAGAAGCGGGGAATACGTAGAAACGCGCTTACACGGTCGAATTGCGGCGGGGAATTCGGCATAAATAAGCACGCTGGAGGTTATCACCCAAACGTTTCGGAAAAAAACGAGTCCCGACATTGTCACCGTACCGTCCTAATCGATGCCTCTCCTCCATTGTTTTCTTCGCTGCGGTTTAGCGATCGCGATATCTCCGCGCCGAATTTACTCCAGGCTTGCGAGGTAAATGGTGTCGATTGAGCTAGATGGTTTCGCCAATACTTTTCCTCGATACACTGAATTTACTCGATACACTATTTACACGAAGGACAACTTGCCCATAAATCTTACAAATAGTCACTCTACGGATGTTTCGATATTTTACACATAAATACATTATAAATACCATGTAAATTTTGAAATAAATACCGCGGCGTTGCAGCTGCACTGACAGAAACGACAGAAACGACAGAAACGACAGTTTCGAGATTAGCGATCGCTGAGCTCGTGCTCGTCGGTTCTCTTGGAAAGGTACGTTATACAAACATCATAGGCCGGTTGGAGGAACCATCGCGGTTCCGCGACAGCTTCCCTACGCATCGTCCACGATCCCTCCGATCGGCCCGAATCGCAGAGTTCGGTGCCTGAATATGGAGAGAAAGGGGCGATTAAAGATCCCGCCCGGGACCGAAAGTCCGTTCTCACCGTTTTCCATCGTCGTCCGCGGCACCGACTCCTCGACGCGCTCGGAGTCAAATCGGACGGCGGCGGACCCTCAGCAAGAGCACTCCTCCTCTCTCGGCCACTCGTGCCCCATGGAATCCTCCAACGGAAATATTTGGTAACATTAACCCGAAAGTTCTTCCTCGGTGCCGTCATCGGGAATCGGTGAAGAGGAGGCCGTTACTTTTCGGGGGTCGTTGCCGGCAGATGACGACTCCAGGGGCTCGACCCGCGAGCGTGGCCCTCCCGGCCGACTCTGCGTCCTCTCGCGAAGAGCGTTGGGGTCCAGACTCAGGGTCGCTTTCAGCGGTCCTTTCCTTGGAATGCCATTGGCGCTCGCACTCGTGGTGGGATCGGAGCTGGAGCCTGCCCTGGGGTCCGCCTCCCCGTTGACGCGAACGGGATCGCGGTACTCTCCGTCCCTAGGACCGTCGTTCGCGTAGACCTGCTCCTTCGCCCCGGGTTCCTCTCTGTTTCCCGGCCGATTCTCCTGCCGACTGTCCTGCCGGACGAGACGAAGATGAAAATCGGTTAATCGGTTAATCGGTTGGTGGTACTCCCTCGCGGCTGGATACGCGCTTTCGACTCGGGGTAAATCCCACCGCGGAGGGTTACGGACGCGCCAACGACCTAACGAATATTAAACTGCCACTAGAGTGCCCGTCAACGTCGGCCGATATTTTCGTGAAATTTCTATCCGCCTTACCTCGAATTCGGAACCTTCGTCGATCGGTCGGGTCGTTGGTCGACTTCGGCTCGCCAAGGGCGCCTCCTCGTCGTTCAGGACGCGTTGTCTCGACGAGGATCGAATCGCGCTCGATTCGGTCGATTCGGTCGATTCGGTCGATTCGGTCGACTCGGTCGATTCGGTCGATTCGGTCGATTCGACCGGTTTGGCCGGCTCGGCCGGCTCAGCCGGCGTTGCGTGATAAGACACAGCCCGAAAGTCGGTTCTCGGTTGCACGTAACCGTCCAGCTGTACAGAAATTCCATATTAACCGCGGGTAATATTAGTTCCAGTTTTAATTTGATATCGCCTTGTTCCAACTAGATGCAGGACCTTGAATTTACTGTAAGTCTCGCTGGGCTTCGCGTCGAGAATCGCGCAAAGATCAACGTCGTTTGTCGCCGCGACGTCGGGGACAATTACACTCAAAGTTTGCATCGTAACATTTATTACAACTTGCCAAGCTCTCCTCCTGTATGGTTTAGCGTACCGTAGAAACATTAGCACTCACATTTGTCTGTACATTAATACATTCTGTTTCCGGATCGGGCCTCATTATGGTTATTTCTCGCTCGCAGACTGGCAAGATGTCGTAGTTCGGCATTGGATGGTTCAAGACATCTGGATCCTGCGGAGCAACGACAAGTGTCCCGAGTAAACGGGTGAGAAAGAATCGTTCATTCCGGTCATCGTTAAGCAATCGTTATTTTTTCGAGTCAATCGCCCTCCGTTTAATCCAGAGACGAGGCATTAGATAATATCCCGGTTTAATTTCCAGTATCTCACCTGCAGACAGTAGCCTATCCTTTCGACAATGGTCGTAAAGCTTGGTCTGTCTTCGGGATGAGGATGCCAACACCGAGTCATTATCCCATAAATGGGATCCGGACATCCAGCCGGTCTTTCCAGCCGTCCGCCAGTCGTCACCATTGACATGACCTCCCTATTGGCACATCCGGTGTACGGCATGTACCCGAAGGACATGATCTCCCAGAGTAGAACTCCAAACGCCCTGTAATTGGAATTGAAACAAGGATGAGATCATTTCTCTCGCGCGACTCCCATGAAAATTGTCCCCGTCTGTCCTCTCCTTGAAATTCAAGAAGATAACACTATCAACTTACCAGACGTCGGTTTTCGTCGTGAAAATGCCGTCGAGAAAGCTTTCCGGAGGCATCCATTTAATGGGCAGCATGGCTTTCCCGCCTTTTCTGTAGTAATCGCTCCTGTAAATGTCCCTGGCCATCCCGAAGTCGGCGATCTTGACGATGCGCCCTCTGCCCTTACAAGTCAAAAGACAGTTTCTTGCGGCGATGTCTCTGTGGATGAACCGAGCGTCCTCCATGTACTTGCATCCGCTCGCCACGTCGTAGGCACACGTCACCAGATCTTGCATAGTCAGTGCCGTTGGCCGATCCTAAGTCGATTAAAGAAAATTCATGAAACTCATGCCCTGGATTGGTCGTCCAGGAATCTGATCAAGATAACCAACATATTCAAGCAGACTTGAGAAATCGGAATTTGCTAGCCGTATCGATCGATCTCACTGACGTTCTCACTGACGTTCTCACTGACGATAACTGGAAATCTTTTAACCAGGCGCGTCTGGGGACATTGATCGGAATTAGGACAAGATCCTAGACTCGAGAAACGTTATCGTCTTACAGGACGTGGCCTCTCTTCGCGCAGAAAGTTCTTCAGGTCGCCACCAGCCAATAGCTCCAGCACGATGTATCTCGGATGCTTGTCGAACGAAACACCGATAAAGTGCACGATATTCGGGTGGTTGAACTTGCTCATGATGAGTGCCTCCATCATGAAATCAGCCTCGGCTTGAGACGTCGATAACGATGGCAACGTCTTCACGGCCACTGGGTGCTCCTCGTTTCGCCTGTACTTGTACACACCTTGAAACACTTCGCCAAAGGCTCCTTGACCCAGGGGCCTAAGTAAGACGAAGCTCGTTATCGTCACCCCGTTCAACGATCGCTTAAAAATAATTCCCATACTTTACTAGCGAGATGCTGTCGCGGGGAATCTGCGGCAGGTCCTTAAAGCTGTACAGATTGCCGGCAAACTCGTAATTCGGATTGAACTCGGTCATCATGTTATCGGACACCACTCTCAATGCGGTAAGCTCCGTCCCGTTGCCGAACATGACTTGCCTGCGTCTAGAGAGAGCTTTCCGGTGCTGGTACCGGTTATCTACGAGCAGTCGGATACGTGGCTTGATCGGAAACGCGCTTCGAGGCGTCGGTGGTACTTACACAACAGTAAACACAGTCCAGAGAAGGCGAACAATAGGCCGATGCTCACTGCCACGAGCAGGATCATAAACGTCCGATGAGCGACGTCCGATTCGTCGGCCACTGAAAGAGGATCCAGGAGCGTGGGAGTTGGTTCATCGGTGTGTTCGATTGTTCGATTCGAGGCTTACTCAGGGATTCGAGACTTACTCAGACAAGAGCGCGAATCGTTGCCCAGTCGCCAGCCCGGAGGGCACAGACACCTGGTGTGGCCAAGGTGTCGGTCCATAACTGCGCACCGGAAGTCGCATCCGCATCCGCTGATGGCCGGAACGACGAGGGCCTCGCCTGGACCCTGGTTCGTCCCTGGCAGGAAGGCGACGTGCAGGAGCTCCGGACTGGCGTACGAGTAGCCGCCCTCTCCGTTCCCCGACTCTCGGTAGCCCGTGCTCCCTCCTGTCGTCCATCCAGCCATCCCCTTTCAGACGTAGCCGGATCGACTTTTGCCCGCCGCGAACGGACCGAAGTAGGGACGTGACGAGCGAGATCGGCCTGGCCCGTGTAAGACCGACATCGAGCAAGGTCGAGCGAGAACGCGAGAACGCGAGAACGCGAGAACGCGAGAACGCGAGAACGCAAAACCGAGACCAAGGCTGACTTTGCTCACCACCGAGATAGGGCTACCGTGATTTACCGATGTAACCGCCGCCGCCTCCCCCGGTGAGACAGCCTCCACCACCACCGCCAAAGCCACCGTCTCCGTGGCCGCCACTTGAATTGGCCAGGTCTCCGCATCCAACTCCACCTTGTCCGCCCAGGACCAGGGGCATGCCCTTCGACGCCTCGGCGGCCGAGGTATTTGTGGCCGCATCGCCGATCCAGCCTCCGCCGCCGCCGCCGACGTTACCTGGAACGGGTCGTCGTGTTCGGGTTGCTCGTTCCTTCCGAAGGGACGGCAGCGAGCGAAAGTCGAAAGTGCCATACCGCTCTCGGTTTTGAAGGCAATACCGGACCCTGGGCTTCTCCCTGGAGGGGCACCTCGACCGTGCTGGATTCCGTCGTCGACGAACTGACCCAGTCCCAGACCTCCTCCGCCGGCTGCTATCAGCAGCGGTTCTTGCTCCCCGTTTGGCTTCACCTGTAACGACGAATCATTTTTAAAGTCGCCACGATGAAGCCGGGGAAAAATTAAAAAACATTTTTCACTTCACCTGGAAAACGTAAGTGGCTCCGCCACCACCACCTCCGCCGTCTTTTAACTTGATTTTCTTCACCTCCCGCACTATGGACGTAATTCTCGAGTTCTGAAAGCCAGCTTTACTTGGACGCTGGCAAAAGTGAGTCTGTAGTCCCAGACTCTGAAAGTTAAATTCAACGCGTTAAATGGCTAGTCGAGATGCCATTCGCTGCGACGACGCTCGACCTCGGTCCATGTTCCCCCCCGCACTTACTTTCGGACATGCATCCGTTCCAGGCTGCCCTATCATGAAGTAGAGTTGTTGTCCTTTCTCCAATTCGATGACGCCTCGCACCGTGGCACCTAACGTACTTCCCATCCCGCCGGAGCCCCTTCCGCCGTGTGCTCCCATCCCGATCAATCTGACCGGACGATCGGATTTTTAACTTCTTATCTTATCCTATCGCTTAGGACCAACTGCTCGTTTGCTCAATCACTGTGGACTTACGTATAATATCCGCCGCGCGGGGCGGTCCACCTTTGGATCCCCTTCAGACTCAGGACCGCGGCGTCTTCGTTCGAAGACGAAGACCCCGAGGGGGCCGACATGGACGTCAAGAGCTCCACGTCGGTGCCGTTGTGTCTCTCGTTGCACTTGTCCCCGGTAGGACCCATCCTCCCGCGAGCACCGCACGTAGTGATCCTCACGACTGAAAGGAGGAGTCGATTAGAAAGTTGGAATTCCCCGTGAACGGTGTCCATTGCGTACCCGTTTCATTGACGAAGTCGGCATGCTGCTTCGACTCGTGTTCCCGCTCGATTACGGGATTGTAGTAGTTGAAATCTCCCACGATTTCCGGGGGAACACCTACGGACGAAAGAAATGAACTTCCCCTCGGGGAAAACTGTTTTCCGGTCTTACCGATGCCAAAACACTCAGGGCTCAGAGAAAAGTCATCGATGGCCACGTCGCTCTTGGAGGTGTACCCCTTGCTCGCCTCGAACTGCAAGAAGTACCTGAAAGGACAAGTTACGAGTGCCTTCGAGTGCCCTCTAAGATCGAGGGGGGGGAAACGCCGGCTAATCCGGTTACCTGTGCCGTATGTCCGGGAGAGGAACTGCCTGGTTGTACCAAATGTCGTGTCTATCGCCGTAAGTCCACCACAGCCTGTCCAACTGATTCTGATGCGGCTTTACCTGGACCACGTACAATCCGAGGGATCCACTGTGCGTCCCGTACTGATGGTAGAAAAATCGGACCTACGACGTCCGATCGTTCGGTTGCAGGGCGTCGAGTCGTCGCAGGATTTTTGCAGGACATGGCGGAGCAAATGGAGAATTAAAGGATTTTCTCGCGCGGCCGAGAGCGAAACGAAACCGGAACTCAGGCCTCGGACCAGGACTCACCTGGCAAGACTGGAAGTACGGATTCGTAGGGTCGCCGCTGTAGGGTGGGGTAGGGTTGAAGAGGGGACTCTCGATGGTCCCGCGACTCCCGTAGTCGGCCCGCTTGGACATGTCGACGAAGGCGTAAGTCCCTGCGCGACGAAGAAGCGAGATTCTCCCGATAATTGATCGGTCGAGGATCGGTCGAGGATCGGTCGAGGACCGGGGGAGGGAGGCGGGAGGAAGGCATTACCGGTGCGGTTCCGAAAAGTGTGGTCGTAGCTCGGGCCCGTCCTCTCCGTCGGCGTGGGTCCGCGATGCAGCGTCCAGTTGAGCGGCCTGTCCGGGACGTTGGTCCACCCGCACCATCCGCTCTCGAAGTTGCACCGCGCGGTTTCCGGCATCTTCTCTGAGGGCGTCCGAGGCGTTACTCCCGATCGAGGTGGCACCGAAGGTAAAATGGGAAGAGAACCCGGGGCTTACCACAGTCCGCGACCTCGTCCTCCCCGTCTTCGCAGTCGGCGGTCAGGTCGCAGACTCGGGTCTTGTTCAGACAGGATCCGTTGTTGCAGCGGAACGCGTCGTCCGTGCAGACGGCTCCGACGGGCGTCGACTCTGGGGGGAGACGGGAGACGAAAAGGGTAAAAGTAAGGTCGGAGGCCGCGGTCGAGGTCCCGCTCCCACCTGGGAAACAGTCCACCAGGCGAATGTCGTCGACGGCCAGGCTGGAGTTGGCGAAGGGGGCGACGACCTCGAAGACCAGCCGGTACGGCTGACTGATGGCGCCCAAGTTGAAGCGGGTCACCTCCCACCTGCAAGGCGACCCCGAAACACGTTTCAGATCACGACCTGGGGGGCCGGGGGGCCGGGGGACCGGGGGGCGCGTACTCACGTCGCGCGGTCGTTGCCCGATCGCTCCGCGGCGACCCAGCTCGTGCGGTTGCTCGTCTCGATGACGAGGCGGACGGCGCCGTTCCTCATCTCCACCTGGTGCAGGGCCAGCTCCAGGAGGCAGCGCGTGCCGGTGCGAGGGATCGGGCCCGACCAGATCTGGCCCTCGCCCCTGCCGACCAGCCGCAGAAAGTGTCCTGGAACAGGAAGCGTCCTGGAGCCGTCTCCCCTGGGCTCTCCCAGGAGGGGCGACCAACCGTGCTCCAGGCCGGCGGCGTCGAAGGCGGGTCCGCGCCGACCCGCGGAGCTCGCCGGGACGCGGACGAAGCCGGGCCCGGTGCGGTTCCAGCGCCAGTCGCAGGTCTCCTCGAAGTCGCAACGGCCCAGCAGCGGCGACTCCAGCGCGGCCTGCAGCTCCGAGATCCCCCTGGGCCGCGCGCCCAGGACGCACCAGAGGCCGACGGCCAGCCCGAGGAGGGCGGCCCCCGGAGGCATCCCTTCGGCCCCTCACGGGACCGGCCGCCGCATCTCCTGCACCGAGAGAAGCACGCTCGGAAACCGCCCCGAAGCTACGCCGGACGTACGTCGACACCGAGAGGGGGAGGCGGAAGCAGCATCCCGATCGATCGCATCTCGGCGCTCCCACGCCCTCCCCTCGCCTGGTCGCGTGCCAGCCGCGGACCAACCGCGACGCTACTGGCGCGCCCCCGCCGGCCGCTCTATTTCGAGGCGCCCGCCCGGACCAGCCCGGACCAGCCCGGACCAGCTCGGACGAGGGGATACGCGGTAGCCAACTTGTATACAGCGGGTAAAGGAACTCGTGGCTATGGAGTAAGTTCTAAGAACCGACGTTCGTCACGACGACGAAGGGCAGGAAAAATTCGATACGACTTTTCGGCTCCATTTTCCCGAAAGACGGAGATGCGTAAACCGCGGGCATGGGTTCCGTAGCATCCTGTATATTCCCGCTCGCCGTGTACCCCCTCGTAATTCTCCATTTCCGTACCTCTCGAGGCTTTCCAGCGAACCGAGCTGAGAATGGAACAAGCCGGCGGTACGTGCAAGGAGAACGTTTACTGGCTCCAACGCGAAGCGCCATCGGATGGTGACAGCCTCCCGTCTCCCGGTAACCGCGGATTCGTCCGATCTCGACGTTCCGTACACGTCCGCACCCTGCCGTTGTCTACCGCTGACTGCCACTGACTTCCACTGACTGCCGGACGTCGCCGGTAACGCGTTAGGAAGAGCTTCGGCCGAAAGCGAGTCCGGCGCCATCTGGCAGCGTCGGCCGCAACTAGTGACTCCTGTGGTAAGAGGTGTAATTGACGTGTCGGGGCATGTCGGGGTTTCCTCAGGTTTCGGTACCGTTACATGCGTTACCTTCGATCAGTTTGTGCGGTTTGTGCAGGTTTCCGCAACTTTATGCCCTCATGCCGTGATCAGCCGTAATCGTGGACCGATGGCGGAACAGCTCGCCGAGTACAGAAGGAAGAAACGGCGTAGAGCCGTTATCGAATCCGTGAAAAATACCCTGACGATGATTTCCTCGAGGAATTGCGACTCGGTTTCGATATCTCCGATGCAGGTAAAACTTGCTCGAATAATCGCGACCGTTGGTCTCTCGGCTTATCGGTACCGGATGGCACGAGTTGAACATCGCGCAACGTTTCGGTTGACGAGCACGACGTAACATTAAGGATTCGAAGGTTACAGGACACCGAAGACGCGGAGAGTATTCGAGTAGACGATGGCCTGGATTCGATGCCATCTGAGAGTAGGACGATCGCTTGGATCTTTTATCTCCTGTATACGCTGCTCTGGACCACGCTCTACGCGATTGCTCTAAAGTTTGAATTCGGGGCAGTTTACTTCGTATCGAGCTCTTTGGTGCTAATGTGGCGGAATATGCGATCGGGCCCAAAGAAGAAAGGAGAAGTCAGCGCTTATTCGGTGTTTAATCCAAACTGCGAAGCCATCGACGGCACGTTGAAAGCGGAACAATTTGAAAGAGAAATTCGATATGGAGCGATGACCGTTCGTTGAGAAAAATAAAGACTTATTTAATATTTCACATTTTCTTTTGAAAAACCATTAAAATATAAATTGTCGACGCCAGGAGTCTTGTATGAATTAAAAATACGCGTAGTTTCTTCGTGTACTCTCGCAGCTAACGTACGATATCTAGCTCTCCGATGAAAAAACTTGTAACCGTAAGACTCGTAGATCCATTTATTCAACTTTTGTATGCTCCGTTAGACCGTCTCCAACATGACGTTTGCTAGTTCGAAGCAGAGTTGCATTTTATCGAACCTCGAAGAATACGAGCTAGGCGATTTCTGAGAGGAAAGGTAAAACCATGCCAAATCCGTCCCCGAACTAAAATCTTTCTCGGGGCATAACAGGACTCGATCCAGCTCCATTAATAAATCATTGATCATCCTGACGTCCAGCACCCTGAAATCAATCGTATCCGTATATCCGTAGGCGACACTTTTCCACGGAACGCGGAAACGATGCCACTCACTTTGACTTCTCCGTCGTATCGACCCGATAATTAATTCTTTCGAGATTAACTATCAAGTTGGTCACGGCTCGACGAAGATTCTCTACGGGCATCGAGACAATTGATTTATGGGTTCGGGTGTTAATCCGCGATCGGAGAAATTGTAGTCACGGTACCTCTTGCCTCTCGAGACGCGAGTGGATTCTCGTCTCGTAAGACATCGTCGATACCGTCATTGAGAAGTTTTGGATCCCACTTGAGCGTCAAACTCTCGGACAGGCTCCACAAACTCGTGCCAACTATTTGAGCCATGGTGGCCCACCGAGTTCGATCGCTCCGACCATCCTCGTCTCCAACCCTCGTGCCATTTTGATCGGTCTAGCAAAACGAGACGATTAAGTCGGGTGAAGCGTCATCGATCCGAAATGCGGGCAGCCGCACCGGCGGAATTACATTACTCCCGAAGGCTCGCTCGAAATAACGCGTATCTTACTAGAAACGCAAAAACGGCATGTGGCATGTCGGTCCTCAATCTGGGAAGGTAGAATCCTCTTCGCCTGAGGGAATCCTGTAGCGACCTTAGGTCATCTGCCGCCTCCAGGACGGAGGCTCGTACCATCTCCGAGCCGGAAACGATCAACTCGCCATTTTCTGAAAGAAGGACGAAAGTCATCCCAACTGGCGGAAGCCCTCCGCTTTTGGCCTTCGGGTACTTATTCGAGGAGGCCGCGACGACAATCGGCTGACCTTGCAAGTTACGGCCGTGGAGGGCAAGGTACGCCAGGACCCTCGATCGCACGTAGAAGGGCAGCGACTCCCGGCAGCGATCCGAGGAGCCGGCGAATACGCAGAAGATCAGAGTCCGACGAGGTTTCCAGTCGTAGTCGACGGAAATTCGTTCCAGGGTCGTCACCAGCTTCACCGCCACGGCGGCGCCGTCGCCGCTCGCGGACAACACGACGAATCTGTCTGGATGGAAAGTGCAGGTCGGACTCGGTCGAAGGCGACTGCCGGCGAGCAACGATTTATCGCGGTGCCCGGAGTCGCGCCTTACCGGGTTCTCTCGTCCCGCGCACCGTCGCGGTGACGCAAGAGTTCGCCCGAGTCAAACGGCCGAGGAACTCGAAACCCGAGAAGATGCTCTCGATCCTCGGAACGTCCTCCGGTCCCGAGGTCGGCGGCCTGAATAAAACACGGATTGCAGTTCCCCGCCGACCGCCAGGGCCTAGGGGCAAGTGGAGATGCGCGACGAATCGGCTCGCCCCGTTAACCCCCGGAAGAATTAACTCCGGCCGAGCCGACGAGACGTTCGCCGCATCGCCATTTGTCCTCTCTCGGACTTGTACGCACGCGGGGAGAGGAGGAGGACCCTCGCTCAAGAGTCTTCGAAGAAGCTGCCGCAGGTGGTCGGTGCTCTCGAGGTCGAGGCGCGTCCTCGCGGCCCTGACCTCGGCCGCCCTCTCGGAGGCGAAGCGGCCCAGCAGGAAGCCCCCGAGGAGACACAGAAACCCCACGGAGAATAGGAACGAGAAGCACATTCGCTTCGTCACGAACTCGCTGGACTCGCCGAAGCCCCGAGCCGTCTGGAAGCTGAGCACTTGGTGCATCTTCCCCGGCTCGGCTCGACCGCGTTCGCGCTTACTTTCCCGAGAGGGCCACCTGGACTTCCGCGGGACCGAGCCGGCGTGTAGCCTCTCCTCGACTCCTGGTCGCTCCTTCGGAGACAGCGAGGAGGCGAGAAATTTCCTCCGCGGGGCGCTTATAAATAGTCTAGCTTTCGATGTGTCGTGCACGTGCAAGGTTATTTAACTATAGATTCCCTAGGGGTTGCTAAATATACACAGTCATACGTAAACGTACTATCGAGCTTATGGGACGCCGATACGCTTCCTCGTGTACGTACGAAATGCTCGCTCCCCAAAAATCCGCACGCACGGTTTTCGTAGATCCAGTCGATGGGTCTTGTCTCGCGTTGTCGAATGAATATTAAACGAACGTGGACACTCTCTAAACCTCTTTGTCGCTTGGAGTCGAAAGATCTTGCAAAACTTGAACTTCGGGGTAATGATTCGATATCTTGACTGGCGATTATGCGAGAGCGTAGGAAAAGGTTTAGAGCATTAGACGTTGCCTCGTTGTTCCTCCCGGATAGGAGCATTTTATTCCTCGCGGGTATTTGCCCAAGGTACTACCGTACGCCACTTTGATTTCTAGATGCGTTAACCCTCGTCGATGCATCCGCGACTTTCCCGTGAATTCAAACCCTACAAATGGAAATCTGGCATTGGCATCGACAAGAAAATCGCCTGTAAAACGTCAACTGCCGGACGTTGCGGATGCACCTTAACTCGCGTCAGGACGATTGGTTTCCCTCGAGGTGATCGGCGCCGACGCGTGGCGTGTACGCTCGTGGCTCTTCAAATACCTCTTCTGGGCGAATCCTACCCCGCAACGCTGACAAACGTACGGCTTCTCTTTCGAGTGAGTTCGTCCGTGCCGGGTGAGGTCGTTCTTAACGCCGAAACGTTTTCCACAGACTTCACAGGGGTGTTTCTTCTCACCGGTGTGGATGGTCAGATGACCCAGCAGTTGTTGCCTCCATCGAAAAGACTTGGGGCAGAAAGTGCATCGATGGGGGAACTCGTCGGTGTGGGTCCTACCTGCAACGAGTACCTTTAAACTAAACTTTACCGCCGTAACGGTCCAATTCGCGAGATAGTCGCCTGACCGTGTATGTAAAGAGATGCCTTGGTTTTGAAGGTCTTGCCACAAGAGTGGCATACGTAGGGTCGCTCTCCGGTGTGAATTCTCCTATGGTCCTCCATGGCAGCCTTCATGGCAAAACCGCGGTCGCAGATGTCACATTTGTGATTCTTCACGCCGCCGTGAACGTGTCTCAGGTGGTAATAGAGGCTCCCGGTCTGACCGAACTGTTTACCGCACACGTGGCACGTAAAGGGCTTTTCTCCCGTGTGTATCCGAGTGTGCGTCTTCAAGCCCTCGGGTGTGCGGAAATTTTTCCCGCAATCCTTGCATTCCGATCGAGTCGCCTCGGGGCCTCTCGAGGTCTCCGTTAACCTCGCGGCTCGACTCTCCACCTCGACGTGGTCATCGCGAGCCGTGCCGGACGGTCTTGGAAGCTTCTTGGGGCCGCGTCTCCCCTGGACCCGGTTAGACTCGGCAATGCCGGTGGGGCCCTTCGATCTGGAATCAAAGTTGGAAGCAAAGAACCGAATTGGTCGTGCTCCGTCCGGTCTCGGTTCGTTATACCCTACGGGGCGACGGTAACCGAGCCGATATGCCCGGTTTCCCGGGGATTCTAGGAAGTCGACTCAATGGCGGACGCACAAGAGATTGCTACTGCCGGGACGCCGGGACCCTCGGTCATCTTGGTGGTTTTAGCATTTCTCGCGTTCTGGCATTCGACCGACTCCACCGATGGCGGAGTTCTCGGCTCGCACTCGACGCGAACCGTCAGGGGTCTCCTTTTCAGAGTCCTTTTCCAGTCACGTTTTCGAGACGCTCGCTACCGATCCCTGGCCTCGACTCGAACCTCGAGATGTCTGGTCTTGGCGTGGTTGTTCAAGTACCGCCTCTGTCTGAAGGCAAGGCCGCACACCGTGCAGACGAACGGCTTCTCTTCCGAATGCACGAGTCTATGCCTTGCCAGCTCCGATTTCACCCGGAACCGCTTCGAGCAGATCTCGCATCCGTGGTTCTTCTCTCCGGTGTGGGTCGTCACGTGCGCCAGCATTTCCTGTCTCCTTCGAAACTTCTTCCCGCAGTAGGTGCACGGGTGCGGAAACTCGTCGGTGTGCAGTTTCGCGTGTATGTAGAGCGACGCCTTCGACTTGAAGGTCTTTCCACAGCAGTCGCAGATGTAGGGTCGCTCCCCCGTGTGGGTGCGACGATGGTCGTCTCTCGTCGCCTTCGAGGCAAAACACTTGCCGCAGATGTCGCAGGAGAATTTCTTCAGCTTCGCGTGAACGTCCTTCAAGTGGCGCGACAGTCCTCCGGAGTCGCGGAACTGCTTGCCGCAGATATGACAAGTGAAAGGTCGCTCGCCGCGGTGGATCCTCATGTGCCTCGAGTAAGAATCCTTCAGCTTGAAGCACCTGCCGCACTCCGAGCACCTACGGGTCGCCTCTTCCTTTTTCTCCCCCCTCGCCCCTTCCACTCGCTCTTCCCCGCTCCTTCGGTCGAGGGCGTCGCGTGTTCCGATTTTCAGGATTGTCAGGATTTTCGCTTCGGCGGAAGTCTGCCGGGTCTGCCGGGTCTGCCGCGTCTGCCGCGTCTGCCGCGTTCCGCATTTCCCGCCTCCCCCGTCTGCGCTCCCCCCGCGATCCCGCGAATTCTCCCGGTCGGGCGTTAGGGTCTCGTTCTCCGCGTACTTCTCCTCGGAGTCCGATGTCGGAGGATCCTGCTCGGGTTCCATCGCGGTCCACCCCGACTCGGTCTCGGGGCTCTCTCTCAAGGCCGACTCGCTCGACTTCCTTCTCCTCCTCTTCCTTCTTCGCGATTTCCAAAACGTACTCTGCGCGTCAAGGAATACTTTATGGGACCTGCAAAACAGTGGAAGCTTCACTCCAGACCCGCGAACGTCCGATAGGGACTTTCGAGACTTAACCGGTGGTTCATGCCCCATTTGTTTCTCTTTTCGCTTTTAGGACTCGCGGCTTACAGGTTTAAGCCACGCGCGGAAACGATCAAATTGCGCCCTTAAAATGGCTCGCAAGTTAGAGTTATCCTCCCTAATATTTGTCAAGGGTCTTGTCGACGACCGCTGTCGTCTCTGCGACAAATTGATTCTCCGTGTATATGTGTATTCGTGTATAAGTATGCAAACGTTATATATTCGCCCACACGTATGCCAGCAGTAGAAACGCTTGCAACAAGTTTCCAAAGAGTTCCCCCATATCTAGTCATCTGCTTTCGATAGAACGACTTCCGAAGCAACGAGTTTTAGACGATCGTCATTGCATCCCTTCGAATCCAATATCGTGTCCTCCCCGGCAGTGATAATCTTTTGTGCGTAGATGTAAACAATTCGGAAAAAAGAAACCATTTATTTTTTTTTTTATTATTACTTTGAAGACGTTCATCGAGGGAAAAATAGTCGGGTAAAAGAAAAGAATCATTTATTCCTCTCGACGTGCTTCGATTTCAACGTTCCATCGGATCGGTTTCTAGTTTTTACCATTCAAGGTATGCCAGCATCAAAAAGCAGGGACCATTGCGTAAAAAGTAAAGCGATAAATGAAAAAACCTACCTTTCCGGGTTGATCGTAACCAATTCTTTTACCACCTCCCCCTTTGAGACGGATTCCTCGGGCTGTATGACAAAAAAAAGAAAGTACAAATATTAATATTATCTATCGTAAATTAAGTGACAGATAATGCAACATCCATAAAATAGTGACAATTTGCAATTTTTATCGTTATAACGTAACCTATATCTCTGAACGGAACTTAATTGTACGGGAAAATTTTTATTGTATAGGATACATTTACCAGGGGTTCTCCTTTGACAGATGTTTCTTGTAACGTCGAATTAAGGTTTGCTTCTTCATATGCCGGAATAATAATCGTCGAGCACAGTACCTAAAAACCATTCGAGTTTAGAATCATATTTAATAAAATAAACAATTAGTTAACCTATAAAACCAACCTCTTGGTCCTTTTCTATAAGAGCTTGCATCTTTGTCAATCTTCTCTCTGCATCTATGCAACCTTGAACTAATTTGTGCCACGATAGGAGAGTTATTGCACAATGATAACACAATTGTAAGGGTAACGTATCGCTCGTGGAAACCTGTAGAACCGTACGAAACGCTTATCATAAACTTGAATCGTTTCTACTTCAAGGCAAAATGCTTAATTACTGATAGCAGCGATACTAACGCGAATTGGAAGGTACCGGTGTATTTTGTTACACAATTGATGATTAATCCCTTCTTCTTCAAATATTTGAATTCGACGTTTACTAGCATTAGCACAAACTCTGCACATCTCGGTCCAGCTGGAAACCGTATCGGAGCATGTGACACAATTATTTACATCACTTTCAAGTACTTCCGATGCTCGGTCGTCGAGTCGGTCCTGGATATTCTTCATTATAAAAGATTCTCTCTCGCTCTTTTCTTTGTTGTCGCTCACACTTGGCACAACGTTTTTCACGGTTTGCTTCGATACTGGATCATTAGTGCACGATTCCAGTATTATAGAATTCGTCGGATCCATATTTTCTGATCGATTCAATGTCTCGCATCAAATAAATCCCGTTGCTCGTTTTAATCGTATTCCCCTTGTTTTCATATAAAGTATGTACACTCGCGTATAGCCAGTTTAGTGAAAAAAAAAATTCGATACTGTTCGATACGGCACAACCCAACACAGAACGAGTTGCGACGAGTTGGGACAAGTTGGGAGATTCCTCACGAGTAGGGAATCGCGCTGGGGTCGCGCGATCGTGTTCCGTTCTGCCTGGTTCTGCCCTAGGTGGAGACAGTGCTGCCAGCGGATCTTTTCCCCCCTCAACCCCTCTGTGCCGACGCAAGCAAATGAGGGGGCTGAAGAACGAGGGAAGGGGAAGATGGAGAAGTCATGGTGGGGACATCGGTAGCACCGAATTGAGAAAGTAATCTGGTGTGTACGTACCTTACGTAACGTGCTCCAAGGTACACGCCTTACATATGTACCTCTAGGTACCATAGATCGTTGCTTCGTAAACTGCCGATACATGACATAAACCCGATTTCATTACGCTCACTACGCTTTGCTTATCGATCTCGAACATTACCAAGATTACCAACGAAGCTTCATCGACCACATGTATACATATGTATAACATAATTGCAATTAAAGTGGCGAGGAAAATTTGAACAAGTTTCAACGATAACTCTATTTCAATATATACGGAATAAGAATAAAAATGAATGAATCCCCCATTTAAATGGTTTAATATATGTTCTATCGAGGCTCCGATCTCCACGCTTCGCCATGCACGCGATTTGTCAATCGACAGTAGCCGGCAGTATCCGATCCGATCCTAATATTTACATCTGGGCCTGCCAGGTATTACCGGATTAGCCGACCCCCGTGGCTTTTTGATTACGCAGGCCTCGTTGCATCGGGCCATCTGCCCCATAGAAAAAGAGCCCCGTGTATCAATTACATTGTTGTTACTAGGTAGCGAGAGATGTGGTTACGGATAATGGGCTGGGATAAGGGCAGGCACAATGGGCAGGTACCGCGAAACGGGGAGTCGTCCTCTGCAACGCGATAGCCATCAGGTGTGCAACTATGCGTTTAATTTGGACTCGCCGGTGAAACGGATACCCGCCAATATGTCGGGCACTTTCCTCCTATAATAGCAAGGGCGCATCCCAGGATAAGCTTCAGTCGGATCCCCGAAAATGACGGAGACGCAGAAGCCGCGCCGAGTCTCCACGGATTTCAGTATAGCTCGGATCCTATCGAACGACCGCCCGACAAGTTCCACCGTTAACCAGGAAGCTGATCAAATTCGGACTCCGGGGCCTCCCTCGCGGCTCGAGGACTCTCAAAACCTGGACCAACGATCGTCTTCCCTGACGAAGGCCCTGAAAACCGAAAGCACCATCGGTGAAGACGTCGCGAGGTGTTCCGGCACCATGGAGAAGCACTTGCCGGCTCGATGTACTTTCACGGGGAACGCCGATCCGAACATCGCCAGGGATTTGCCATGGCTGAGGTGCACCAGGTACCACCCTCCCAGGCTCCCCAGGAAGCCTTCTTCGGGGAGGAACACCAAGCGACGTCCTGGCACGCACCCCAGAATCCCGTTCACGGCGCTACAGTTGCAGATCTTGGAAGAGAGGTACAAGGACGGAGCTTACCTGGCCAGAAGGGACGTCGTCCATCTCTCCGCCATCTTAAGACTTCCTCAGAGCAGAGTGGGTACTTTTTCTCTCGCGTCCAAGCTCCGACGCATCCGGGAGTATTCGCCGTGAAACCTATTTACCGTTCCACGTGTATTCGGCTCCGTGCTTAAAGAAACGAAAGTTACGTATATAAGTGCAACTTTGGAAAACTTACTTACGACCAAGTTTATACAGTAAGTATTCCTATGTGCGACGTCTCTTATTTTTCACTTCTTTGCTTTCTTCAGGTGAAGATCTGGTTCCAAAATCGACGCGCCAGAGAGAGGCGGGAAAATCATCTACAAAGTGGCGCCGTGAAGTGAGACGCTCTCCCGCTCCTGTAAAAAGTTGCTTCTTCTCCACGCAATGTATGCACGTCCGACACTGGACAAACCGGATACGTAAATCGATCTTTAACCAGTAATTTCGCGTAAAGTCTTCGTGCGATCGCAAAGACTTTCGGAAAACTGCGGGACCCGCGGAAGAACGACTCGCCTTTGGTGTAATAGACAATTGTTATTATCAGGTATTTGTACAACAACGGTTCCGATCTATTTCACAGTAAATTAGAACAATTACTCTCCCCTCCTTCCCACGAATAGAACGGCGGACACTACGCGGTGGTGAAACATACGACTGGTATACGTACGCTCGACGAATTAGGACTCGTTAAATAAACACCGTTGAAGGCCTCCCTCTCGAGTCATCGGACTACTCACCTCGGTAAGGGCGCGCAATCGCGGATGTCGAGCCCGACATCCCCCGCCATGACGGCCTCTACGTAGAATTACGCATTGCGTGGTTCGACGGCGATTCCTCGCTAAGCCGCAGCTCCCGTTGTGCGTGCGCCAGCTCGTAATCGCAAATACTGCGACGCGATTAACGTTAACGATATGCTAAAACTGGTGCGTTGAAATAAATACCCGCCGTTGGTGAATCGTCAGAGGGTGATTATGCTTTCTCGACCAGCTCCCACGCCGATCCATTTAACTGGAAGAATGATCGAACGATGAGACGCCACGTGGTTGCAAAACGGTACGATGCGCACTTTTCGAACCAAGGTTCGTTTTTTATTTTTCGATCACCTCGTTAAGTGTAAAAGAGTGCCAATGAAAATGGCGTAGTCGCCTCACCTGGTATCTCCAGATGATCCCTTATCAACCGCACGTACTTCCGCGCGTTGGCCGGTAATTTATCGAACGATCTAACGACCTCCGTGTTGGATTGCCAACCTTCCACGGTCTCGTATATCGGCTCGACCTGGCTCAGGACGGATGCGCTGCTGGGATAGAATTCCATCTCCTCGTCGTTCAAGCGGTACCCCACGCACACCTTGATTTCCGCCAGGGTGTCCAGGATGTCCAGCTTCGTCAGGCATATGGAGGTGTACCTGGAGATGAATTAAGATTCGTCGCGTATCAAAAAGTAACCGTTCTCGCTCTTAGAGTCCCGTGTACCAACCCGTTGACCATCGCTGTAAACTTGAGAAGGGTCAGGTCAAGCCAGCCGCAGCGCCTCTTCCTCCTGGTCGTCACGCCGATTTCGTGGCCTCTGCTCTGCAGCAGTTTCCCCGTCTCGTCGAGAAGTTCCGTGGGGAAGGGTCCGTCGCCTACCCGCGTGGTGTAGGCCTTCACCACGCCCACCACCTCGCCTATCATACTCGGAGGTAATCCCAATCCCGTGCAAACTCCGCCTATACTGCAATTGGAGCTCGTGACGTACGGATAGGTGCCGAAGTCGATGTCCAGCATCGCTGCATTAGCACCCTCCACCAGGATCTTCTGGCCCTCCTTCAGAGCTTTGTGCAAGAAGCACACGGTCTCCTTCACCAGCGGTCTTATGCGCTCGGCGTATCTGAAAGGGGACATTTCATTAATTAAATCGAACGTTAATCTCTCCTCGCTGCAAGAAATAATTCCTCTCGATACGGCGTAATCGTAGAGGAAACAGAACGTAGTCCTTATCACCAAGCGGGGAAGGTATCGCCGAGATAAGCAGAGAATACTTGAAAAATTCGATAGTATCCGTTCTTTAACACCGTCTCGGACGTACTTAACCTCCTTTGGGTAATATCCGACAAGGTATTCGACTTGAATTCCAATTTAAAAAAAAAAAAAAAGAAAGGAAAATAATACATCTACGTACCCTTTGTACATTTCGAGTTCAGATTTAACATCAACGTGTAAGGCAGGGAACATTCTTTGGTAAGAAGCAACCAGCGTCTCAAACTTTTCCGAGAACTTGTCATAATCCCCGAGGAGGTCCGCAATCCTGAGACCGTTCCTGGCAGCTTTGCTGGAATACGTAGGACCGATCCCCTTCTTGGTGGTTCCCAGGGACTGCGTTCCCTTTTCCAGCTCCTGCAAGCCATCGACTTGTTGGTGGAAGTCAAAGACGATGTGAGCCCGATCCGATATTATCAACCTCTCCTTCCAGTCTTTCAGACCCTTGGATTCGTTTTTCTCCAGCTCTTCGAAGAGACCTGGCAAATGTATGACGACTCCGTTTCCTGGAAGCACATTAAATTCATCCGACTGCGATTACTCCTTTTTCCTTGGTGACAAGCGGTGCCAGTGTTGACTTATTAAATCAATGCGTTTACAATCTTGGCAAGGGCAAACGGAGGATTAGTCGATTTATTCTGCGGCGAATATTGCGGAATTTTTACCTATGACGGACTTGCATCCTGGATTGATTATACCGCTTGGAAGGAGGTGAAAGTCAAATGTAGCTCCTTCTACAACTACCGTGTGACCGGCATTATTTCCACCCTATAAAATTGCAGTAACATTTGAAATGCAAGCAATGGCAAACATGTTAATTGATCGACAGCGAATTACCCAATCCCCATGTCCCTATGCAACCCCCGATGAATGTCCGATTAAAATCGAGTCTAACGGTTAGTGTGAAAAGAAACGTGCATTCCATAGCGTGGACAGTGCGGTGTGTTATCTCTATACGGTCTGTTCGATTACGAAGCAGATTGTACATCCTATTTCTTACAACACGTATCCTCGTGGATAAGACGGTCTAAGAACCCATTCATCACGGAGTAACAAATTAGTCTATTTAATCACGAGCATATGGTCGTTCTTAGATTGTTTAGTGCTTGAGGAACTACACCCTGACGGCTATCTCAGGATGTGCAGAGGAACAAGAGCGATGATTATTCAAATTATCACCGCTCTTGTTCCCTTCTATCGACACTGTCATAAATATAATGTTCTTATTAACATAATTGTAAAGATAGCAGGTAATTTCGTGCTAAATCATTATTATTAATCAGAAATTTAAGGCACCTAATTGGCACCCCTCTTGCGCGCAAAAACAAGTTGAGTCTAATACTTGGGAAAAAGAACTTGGCACGGGTGGTAATAAACTCTGGCCAAAAGTACTAGGAAGCGACTTGTAAATAAATGTAACCTCGCGAGTACATCTATACATAAAAAGTTACATCATAATCACAAGACCCGCACAGTCAGGCGTTAAAAGTGTCTTAATTTTTGGAATGTCACATGCGATGCTTAAAAAGAGATTCGAACGTTATATAATAGACAAGCCTCCAGGCAGATGTCGCGACATAAAACACCTCTGTCTCTCCAAAATCACCCGTGACTGCCACCTTCTACTACTATAAATATGACCTCTACGAAAGAAACATTCTCAAGGTCGAGTACCAAGTAGAACAAAACGTGAAATAAGCGAATCTACCAAAAAGGATCCATGGAAACAGAAGTCGTACAGTTTGAAATCATTCCGGAGAAATAATGCGATTAAGTAAACTACAAATAAGTAAGCATCCAGAGAAGGCACGCACGTGAGGACCCCGTCGGTGCTTCGAACGTCGAATGACGTTCCTGATCTAGTGGGATGAAAATAACCACGGAATGGGGAAAGAAGAGACCGGAGGGAAAGAAAATGAGAGACCAGGAAGGACTGACGAAACTCGCTTGCAGTGGTTAAAAATGGGTAAAGGAACGGTATAAATAGATTATTTCACAGGATCATGCGCTGGGGGAAACTGTCGATCAATTTAAGACGAATCGAGGTCGAGAGGGTGTTTTGGTGTACCTGACATCTGCAGACGATGTCGGCGTCGGTCGCGAGCATATCAACGACTTTCCCCTTGCCTTCGTCGCCCCACTGGGCGCCCAGGACGACCGTGACCTTGTAGAGGGAACCCGGGATGGACGTTCGTTGTTTCTTCCGCGGGGAGGTCGGATTCCCGTCACCGTTGGCTTGTTGCATCGAGTGCTGCAGCAGTCTCGGGCAGGCCGACATTGTCAATGGTGAGGACGGCCACGAGGTCTCGCCTCTTCAACCGGGATCGACCGGACTCAGCCGGACTCGACGGCCTGGATAGAGCTGACGGGCGCGACCGCACGTCTCTTCCGTCCTCCGTCACTCCCCTACTCCTGCCTACTCCGCACCCTCCGCACGCTTCGACAATTGCGATCGTCGATTTATCATAACCTACAAACGGACTCCACGGCAATGCTACCAACAGACACCAGCATGGCGGCGCGCGCGACGCGCAGCGGAAGACCGCCCACTTCCGCGCGGACCGTTGATGTCACCGCCGAAATCACCCGAAATCAACCGAAATCACCCGAAATCCAACACACGATAGCAAAAAGAAGAGCAATTAGGGATGTTCGATTTTCTTAGAAGAATCGATTCAAAAAATCGAAAATTTTTGTATATATAATTAACACAAATTTAATTAATACATTTTTACGTGTCGAAAGCCATCCATGAAAATGAAATGAATGTTGAATATAAATAGTATCTGTACCCTTTGCAGGTTTAGGTGGATCACCTGGAAGCAGCTGATTTGGCAGAGATGAGTTAGGAGATTGCTCATGGGTTGGGTCGCCCGATCCACGTTCTGTGCTGTCCTCGGTGGAGGATGTGGGTGGCTCGCGCACTTGACACCCGATCCCCCCCAGTGGAGACCCAACTCGGAGATCCTCTTCATCTCTGTGATAACAAACATTCCTTAACATCGTTTAACATCTTTTACCAGCAAGTCCAGTAAGTTCTGCGGCGATGTTAGACGATGTTGACCCATGATGACTTGAAAAAAATCTTAAAGTACAAGCATGTAACCTTATAGTAACGTAAGGCACTGTCTATTTAGTGTACTTTAATATGTTACAATATCCTACAGGAAAGATTCATAAATTTCGAGATTATCAGTACAAAATATTAATAACAAGATGAAAAATTTACGATCACTCAGTATAAGTCTCAAAAATGTTAAGAATAGCCCTGATTAAGACAACAGAAGTCACCGCAAATACACATTTTCTCTTTCTACTTCAGGAAACACTTTTGGCTTACTTGGTCTGCGTTTTACATTTGCACCTATTTTCCTGCAAACTTGTGCATTTCAAATTTTTTTTCCAGAGAAGTAAATTTTTTAATTTTCATCAAATGTATCCAAAAGATAGTAAAGCAACTTTTTAACTCTCTGCACATGGTCCGTCTACTTTAAACATTTTCATTAGTATAGCATACAGTATTACGGAAGGCCTCTTCACTCTAGACATATATATAACTGGATACAGAGTTGTCCTTTCGAATGAGATATATTTTTGGCCAACATTGCGTCCAGATATATACATATCGATACACCAAATACAATTTACAAGCAGTAGATTAGACAAAAATGTGCCGAGATGGCAGTGCTATCTAGGGGAACGATGTAGTAATAAAGCTCCCCACAACTTATATTAGGCGATGTAAATTATTCGTGACTTCAGGGTCAAGTCTATTACTTACAAAACAATTGATTTTTACATACCCTGCATCTTATTCTTTTCTAAATTGAGATACGTGGCAAAGCGCTGCTTTGTCCGAGCAGTTTCCAGTTTTTAATTTGCACTTGATTGTAATTGCCATATTTACGGGAATAATGAGTTAAATCGATTGTTCAATATATATTCCTGTACACACATGTCACCGGAGCGTTGTCACTATTCTGTACAAAGGTCAGAAAAACACTGTCCTTTCAATTTAAGAAACAAATGCTGCTTCAAAACAATTCCATATTATCCACATCAACCCCAATGTCAAGGAAGTCGTCACTGTAATCCTGAACTTGTCGTTGTCCTGTTGGCTGTTCCGAATGATCAGGATCATCCGTTACAGGGCTAGGCGGAGGATTGGAAACAGTACGATCTGAATCCAATGGAGTCCTTTCCATACCTTCGCCACGTCTAAGTCTTGCCTCTTCTGCTATTTGCCTTGTCGAAAACTCGGCTCGAGTTAATAGGGCTGGTAAGTCCTTTTCAGACCCATCTAAAAAACAAATCATAATCGTGATTAAAGGTTTTTCTGATATTCTACTCGTGTTAAAAAATGTATGCATACTTTCAAGATTTCTCATGAGATCTTGAGTTTTTTTCCTTCTAGCACATGCATCCACCTTCTTTCTTTCTTCATTGTGCTCTTTTTTATCAGTGTAGAATATTTCGCGAATTTTTTCTTGAGGAATGTGCTCATCATTTTTCACCAGCCACAAATAAACACCACCAGCAGTACGTCTGCGTGATCCATTCATGATTAACATCCCTCCATCCTCTTCTATTTTCTTAGTCTTTTGAAAGAAGTCAATCGCCATGTCCTTGCCTATTATGTCTACGATTCTTTCTGGGAAAAAATTATGTACATTATAGAATATACCTAATGGCAAGAGAATAGGAATTAATAACGCTACCAATTAGTAATATATTTACTTATAAGCAGATCTTTCTTCTCATTGAGTTTACTCGTTATATCAGCAGCAACATCTTCATCTGTAGAATCTGCCGTTATGCTTAGATCGGATATGATTCTGACCGATCCCCGTTGACTATCAATATCCATAGAATTTCTTCTTTTACCCAACCTTAACTTTACATTTCTTCTATCAGAGTATGTCCTTTTATTTGTCAGTCTTTGCTCAACTTCCTTCTCTTCTTCTGAACTCACATTATTTGGTAATTCCGTATCGCGAAGTGTATATCTAAGAGTAAAATCATAATTCTCGACACTGCGGCCTTGACAAATCCTTTTGGTTACGCCGCAAGATACCAAGTCTTCTGTCAGCGACTCCTCCTGTACCTGAGTGCACCAGACTTTGTATTTGTCATTTCTTGACGTCCGACTTTGTGATTTAGTCCTGTACCTCTTCAATTTTATTTTGGGCTTCTTAGCCTTCGCATGACCAGAATCTGAATCGGAATCACTCTCCGATTCCGTAGTATCGTCTGACTCGTCGCTGTAACGCATCTTTAATGGTTCTTCCATTGGTTTTTCAATATGTGGCCTCTGCAATATCTTATATGTCTCGAATGCATCGGCTGGCTACAATAAAATCGTTAACAAGTTAATACACACGCATTGTGATCAACTTCTATAATTTTTAACGCATTTATCACTCTGTGCACAGTGAAGTATCGATACACAGTTTCAGAAAAATGCTACGAATAACAATTGAAAATTACAATTAAGCCATAGTTAGGGAGAAACAAGGTTAGATTACTGTCAAACTTCAGACACTGGAAAACCGACCTCATCCTCGACGATTTCCCCGTCTTCCAATTCGAGAGGCTCGGCCTCCATATTTTTTCAAAATATAAATTAATAAGAACGAGCGAGTCGCCTTAAAATTGAACAATGTAAATCACAGAATGAGAACGCAGTACCCGATTTAAAAGCGGCCTAGGATGGGACACTCTTAAAATAACGGGAGTACTCGTTTAAGCCTGGAACAAAAATAGGAAAGATTTGAGAGACGCCGTTACAAATATGCACATAGTTCGGAAACATAGGTTATGTGATCATCGCTAAAACAGTAGTCACTTAAATTACTCCACAAAATTGCATTTTCTAGGCATTCCGATGATGGATGTCATATTTTCTTGACGTTTTGCAGAAAAGGAGTCCTTCAGAAGTTGCAGTGAAATTGCAAAATAATTCGAAGTTTAAAACAATCGCATATAAACTCCAAAATCATCTAGATGCGCCTTTTGGTGGTTCTTGTGTGACGTCTGCCGAGAGGCGCCACGATTGTGGAATCATTACCATTTACCTGGAAAAGAGCCGCCTGCATTCTTCACCGAGGACAGCACAGAACGCTATTACGCGATCCTGTCCGTGAGCAATCTTCAACGCATCGCTGCTGTTTCACGCCATATATCTTTTCTCGAAAATTTCGTTGGTCCATCTAGTAAACAAATGACTGATGATTTCCTCTTTCTATCCCAACATCATGGCCGCCCCCAGGACGAAAGAGATGTCGGAAACGATATTAACGCGGTGAAATGTGGTGAATTATCAATCGGATATCATTTCCGCGGGGAAAAGTTAACGAGGGGAATTGTAGATCCCAAGTCCGAGTAACGTATTTAGCTACTGATGACTTGGAAATACCAAGATTCGTTGAGTGAACCAAGCGAATGTGTCTCGTCGATCATTTGACAGGTACACTCAGTACTCGGTGTTTATCAAAGTATTTCTTTAGAAAGATACTTTGATCGTGTCTCGATGACGTGAGACAATGATGCCCATAAAAGATAACCAGGACGTGGCGTGCTTTCTGGTGACAAAGCACACGGTTTGGAAAGGAAAGTAAGTCTAGTTCGCATTTCTTTTTGGTTAGATTTAAACCGAGATTCGACGTGATAATCGACTCAAACCGGCCATTGTATCGAGTACATCAGGATCATTTTAATTGCGTTAACATCCTCGCTTTTCTGTTAAGCTTTTTCAAGAGTGCACGTTAGTTTCTCATCTGGAGTCCCAGTGTCGTTCACTGAGATGCCTTTAACTTCTGATAAAACTGCATTACTGATACACGGAACATCCTACTTGTTTATATTACAACAGTGAGATAACAATGTCAATTACTAAGAATTAATATGGATCGACGTGTACTGGATGGCTTTAAATGTACCATACCAATGTTATATTTTTAATTATAATGTCCTTGTACATTAAAACATTTGTACCGTATCAATTGAAAATGCGGTGTTTAAGGACAATTTGTAATAATTGTACATGTTTAAATTCATTAATTGCATGGTTATTTATGTCGCGAATAGCGTAAATGTCAAAATTGAAAAATTAAGTATCCTGGATTACGGTTAAGTAACTTATATAGGCGACAGCACTCACTGATAAGACTTTACTCATTCACTGATAATATTCACATAATTGATATTGGTACTAGCAGAAGTATGATATAATAACGTGTAAGGAACCGTTGTTTTGGTATAAGTGAGATAATAAATATTTTAATTGACATGTCGCGATCCCATTACAGGTACAAACGTATCTTTTCCATTGGATCGATGGGGATAACGACGTATAACCCGAATAGTCTAGATGTAACTAACAAATGGGAGTATTCAGATTTCATAAGTGTCCAGCCTACAAATAAAAATCAAGTGGGGTCACACGAATTTAGCATAACCATGCGTAAGGAGCGTAAAATCGATACCATGAGGTTCAGTTCGGAACACAGGACGCATTTGTTGACGGAAGCTCTGAAGTTTAGAAATCAGTTTGCCGAAAAGCCGAAAGAAACTCTGGTGAGTCTCTATCTCTTTGATATCGTTTAAACCAGCTCGGTTATAAATGCAGCTGGCCAGTAGGCATCGCACACATAATTTCTCTTATCTTTCTGACTACATAAATGCTCCCCAACTACATACAAATGACAGAAGGGAGCTAGCTGCTATCTTCACTTTCTGCTTCCAATATCCCCCAACTTGTTGCATTAGCGAGAGCTATCTATCAATCCTCTGATACTTAATTTTTCTACAAATATTAGCTCAATTTAGTTAATTTAATTCGAGTTCCATTTGAACAGCTTCATTAAAGTTAAATAAATTAAACCGTGAAACAATTAATGACAATTAAAGCGCAACTTTAAATAATAGGATATCAATGTCATTTTTGTAGAGGTATCCTGCTTATAAACATCACTGGTCCGATACCAGATTACCAGTCGTATTGGAGGTGACTTCGTGCAGTCTAGATCAGCTAGATCCAGCGACGAACATGGTGCTCGCAAGCTATTATTATAAAGATTTCGAGGGTCTGGCCACGATGAAGGATTATCCGGATGGATTTGTAATAGTATATGGAGGATTTGGGCGTTTGCATTTGTTCGCCTCGATCCACTGCGAGGAAATTAAGAAGAACATATTACAGTCAGCCATGAATAACCTGGGGATTAACGTTAAGGTGCTGAGAGAGCCAGTCAAGTTGGACGAGTTCGTTGCTCAGAGGTTAGGAAAGTTCAGTGGAGACGAACATATAACTAGTGTTGCCGAGTTCACTGTACATAAAGTTTCATCGAGGCATCAGGAGCCTCAGAGAAGAACCCTGTGCCTCTCGGATACTTGCCTACTCGAAAGAGACCCACAAACGTACAATATTTGTACACTTAGGCCACTCGCAGACATTTTTGCTCTGGTTCGAGACTGTGCTAACCCACAACTCTTCACTATACAATATCTGAATGGGCAGACCCGAAGCTACATGGCAACCGATAGGGATTCTTTATTGGCCTCTTTACTTGACGGTGTAAGAGCTTCTGGCAACAGAGACGTCCATGTCAAAATGCATCCTGTAGCGAGGGGTAAGAGATTCGGACCTTTAAATCTGTCCGTCGACGAAGAGGCTGAAATTAGCCACGTAAAGTTTGTGCAACAACCGCCTGGGATTCGACCTTTCTCAGAGATTTTGGAGAGGTTCAATGCAAACGTTCCTTACAGCGGACTTAATTACTCGACTACACAGGATGTAAGTGTCAACTGACTTACTCGTGATGGACGTACCGACAGGGATGGACAGATTTGTATTCTGTCTCCGATGTCTGATTATTTAATTAGCCGCTCATCGAACAAGTCTCTTCAGACTTGGGTGCACTAATCGAATACAAATCTGGTCATGCCTGGGGACTGCTTTCTATCCTACACCTATAGTTCATAGAAGCAACGTGGACTTAAGTTTCTTGAGTTTCCCTTGAAGATTACTGGCCCCTTGAATGGACTGTATGCACGTTGCAAATTCAAATTATTTTCCACAGGCCGCTGAGATTATTCAGGAATTTTCAGAAAAATTCTATATATTGATAACCTGGCTCACTTGATAGCACTTCTCCTAAATTATGTGACAGCGATGTCTTTGTTTTCTAAATCATGGAGACCGCTTGTCTTGTAAAAACTACGGACACATTACAGTTCATTGAAGTTGCTCGGATGGTCGACTTTCAATATTGTTTTGTTTTTGTCCAGGATTACAGGCCACTTGAATGGACTGTAACCACGTTGCAAATTCAGGTGCACAGAGTTACGAATAACTATTTGCAGGGGATCTTTACTGAGAACAAAGATAAAATAATCTTGGGAGCTCTGAACATCCTCGTCAACAGGGACCTGGAGACAAACAGTGAGCTCGAAGCTCAGTTTCATGCCCTGCGGAGGTTGGTGGCCACAAAGGTCGGATTCACGGCGTTCACCACCTTGCCTGGATTTCGAGAAGCCATCGGCACCAAGGTTGTCAAGGCCCTGAAGAGACAAGACTGCGCTGTCACTCAGGCTGCCATTGACTGCATTTGTGCCTTGATGCAGCCTATGCATGACGACTGTGATTTGAGACAAGAACAACTCAATAAAAGCAGCTTGCTGAGCAACAGCAAATTCCTTGAAGGCCTCCTCGACATGTGGATAAATCACATCGTAAGTAAAATTTCATCCCTTTGAAGTGAAACTTCTCATGTTGCGGTGCAAGTTAAAAATGGAAAACGTATTAAAACGTGGAATTATTTTTTATAGCCAATTAATATTTATTTTCACCTTCGAGTGACAGTATCGTAAATATTAATTCGAAATTAATTAAATAGTTTGTTCGTGGATGTTTCAGAATCATGGAACAGGTGCTCTGGTGGTTTCGGCAATGCTCGATCTTCTGACGTTTGCCTTATGCGTGCCATACAGCGAGACTACAGATGGCAAGCACTTTGACAATTTGCTCGAAATGGTCGCAGCAAGAGGTAGATCTCTGTTCAAACTGTTCCAACATCCATCTCTGGCGATTGTTAAAGGTGCAGGCTTGATAATGAGAGCGATAATCGAGGAAGGGGCTCCAGAAGTGGCCGCAAAGATGCAGGAACTCGCCTTGGCCGAAGGAGCACTTCCCAGGCATTTGCTCAACAGTTTGTTCACAATAGGAAGTGATGGTAGACTGTTGACCCACAGGCAATTGTGTAGACATTTGGTCGGACTTTGGGTCACGGGACACCCTACGGCTATGGGGTTGCTGAAAAGAATCATGGTAACTACCCGGTTCCCCTTTGAGGGAATCATTACGAAATTGACCATTATGGCGTTTCTTTTCAGCCGGTGGGCTTGTTGAACTATCTGGACTCTGAAGAAAAAGTGCCCGACTCGTTCGTAGAAGAGGAAAGGTTGAACAATCGGGACAATCTGAAGATCGCGATCGACCACGCGATCAAGAACAAGAAGAGTCCACAATGGATCATGGTAGAGAGGCAAATGCGAGTCGTCGAGAAGCATCTGGAGCACGCTCTTCAGCATTGGGGTGCCAAGGTCGGGATCGAGAGGCGAGAAAAAATCAAGGAAAGGCCCATAGTTCTGAGAAAACGCAGGGAGAGAATTAAGTCCGAGGCGAACTGGAAGCTGTTTTATTACAAATTTAATCAGGACCATGCGCTACCCCATTTGATATGGAACCACAAGACGAGGGAGGAGCTGCGAACGGCCTTGGAGAACGAGATACGCGCTTTCAGCGCCGATAAGGACCTCTCCGGTGGTACTTTAATCGCTTGGAATCACAGAGAATTCGAGGTTCAGTATCAATGTTTATCGGACGAGGTCAAAATCGGAGATTATTATTTGAGATTGCTTCTGGAAAAGGAAGACAGCCCGGATAGCCCTATAAGGAAGTCGTAAGAGCGAGTCACGCGGTAGAAAGTCCATTATCCAAATGTTATTCGTATAATCCTTCCATTAGAAGCCAAAATAATAATACAGACTTCCGATTAATTATTTTTTACGTACAAGAACTCGATGTCAACGGCCTTAATCGGGATAATGGACGTTCTACTGTACAAACTGTGTCATAAGAAAAGTATAAGACACGCTCATAGGGATACCCAATCACCCCGTAATGTCATGTTCCAGGTACGAGTTTTTCAACGACCTGTACCACAGATTCGTCCTGACGACGAAAGTAGAAATGAAGTGCCTTTGCCTGCAAGCAATGACGATCGTGTACGGCCGATATTACGAGGACATCGGGCCCTTCTCGGACACGAAGTACATAGTGGGCATGTTGGATCGGTGTTCAGAGAGGATGGAACGAGACAGGCTCGTCATGTTCATAAACAAGCTGATATTGCACAGGAAGAACGTCAAGGACATCATGGACCAGAACGGCGTTCGGATCCTGGTGGACCTTTTGACGCTGGCTCATTTGCATACGTCCAGGGCGGTCATACCGACGCAGACTAACGTGATCGAAGCTGGTCCAGACCAAGAGCGGGTCCTGGAGAAAGAGTGGTACTACAACGACAATGACCGCCAGAAGGGCCCGGTTAGCTTTAAGGAACTTAAAGAATTGTACTCGTCGAATCGGGTCACTCACAAGACCAAAGTCTGGGCCCAGGGCCTCGACGGTTGGCGGATGATCTCCCAGGTTCCACAGCTCAAGTGGACCTTGGTTGCTCGGGGCAGTCCTGTCGTTAACGAGAGTGAGTTAGCCACGCTCATTCTGAATATCCTTACTAAAATGTGCGAATACTTTCCGAGTAGAGACGCCGACTACGCAGTGATAAGGCCCCTGCCTCGCGTCAAGCGGCTCCTCTCCGACCTCCAGTGCTTGCACCATGTCGTGCAACTTCTGCTCACCTTTGACCCGGTTCTCGTCGAGAAAGTCGCCATCCTCCTCTGCGAGATCATGAAGGACAATCCCGATGTCTCCAAGATTTACTTGACTGGCGTTTTTTACTTCATTCTTATGTACACCGGATCTAATGTACTACCCGTCGCCAAGTTCCTGCAGCTCACTCACACGAAGCAAGCATTCAGGGGGGATGATGTAAGTGTCGGAAACTATCCATGCTGATACATTTTAGAAATGGAAAATGATTGGAACTAATGGACGTCTTCCGCGTTTAGAACACGTCATCGGACATTATGCAGAGAAGCGTCCTTGGTCAGCTGCTGCCGGACGCCATGGTCAGCTATTTGGAGAACCATGGAGCGGAGAAGTTCGCGCAGATATTCCTCGGAGATTTTGACACCCCCGAAGCGATCTGGAACGCGGAAATGAGACGGATGTTAATAGAGAAGGTGGCGGCGCACATTGCAGATTTTTCACCGAGGTTGAGGAGTCACACGATGGCCAGATACCAATACATAGCCATTCCGGCCGTGAGATATCCACAGCTGGAGAAGGAGCTCTTCTGCCAGATATTCTACCTGCGACATCTCTGTGATACCGTCAGATTTCCAAATTGGCCAATTTCCGAGCCGGTAATTTCAGAAATTTTCTGGTCGCTCGAGGAAACTTCTCCCTGAAAGGTCATACCTATGGCCTTTTCGGCATTAACGAGTCTTTCGTCCCCAGGTGAAGCTCCTAAAGGACGTCTTGGACGCTTGGAAAAAAGAAGTAGAAAAGAAACCCCCGGTGATGACGGTCGACGAGGCTTACAAAGTTTTAGGCTTATCGTGCGGGAAGGAGCACACGGAGGCGAACGTGCGAAAGTCGTACTACAAGCTAGCCCAAATGTATCATCCGGACAAGAATCCAAAGGGCAGGGTAAGCTGGACAACCCATTTAAGAAAATGTCAAGAGAGAATACAAGAGATAGTCGAAGGTTCAGAATTATTAGAGATTATTTTTAGGACAAATTCGAGGCAGTCAACCAGGCATACGAGTTCCTCTGCAGCCGCAGTTGCTGGACCGTTAATGGTCCAAATCCTGACAACATCGTCCTCATCTTAAGGACGCAAAGCATTCTCTTCCATAGATACAGCGAAGAGCTCAGACCGTACAAATACGCCGGTTATCCGCAGCTGATAAAAACGATCAAGCTAGAGACGGACGACGAGCGTCTCTTTTCAAAGTCTGCTCCGCTTCTGGCGGCTGCGAGTGAACTCGCTTATCATACCGTGCACTGCTCGGCCTTGAATGCCGAAGAGCTGAGGAGGGAAGGTGGCCTTGACGTCCTGCTGGAAGCGTATACCAGATGCGTGTCGGTCTTAAATAAATCGAGCAAACCGGATGATGTAGCCGTGCAGGTGTGCATGCACATCACCAGGTGCTTCGCCGTTGCCGGCTCGTTTAGAGGTTGTCGAGACAAAATCGTCGAGTTGCCGCAGCTCGTCAAGGACCTCTGTAGGATCCTGCACTTCAAGGTGAGGGTACAGCCTACTCGCTTTGAAACTGCAGAGTTGTAATGAAATATCCGTTTTCTAGCATTTAACGAAGCTGTGTTCGGTAGCCACGGAGTGCATTTCGTCTTTAGCCGTGGACAGCATCCTGCAAATGCAGCTTTTACAATCCGGAGCCCTGTGGCACCTGCTACTATTTATGTTCAATTACGACTACACCCTGGACGAAGGAGGAGTGGAGAGAAACCAGGACGAGAATAGGCAAGAAGTTGCGAATAATCTGGCGAAACTGGCAGTCAGCGCTTGCGCTCGTCTGGGAGGATTCATGTCTGGGGAAAACGAGACGCCCGTAAATCCCATCACGGTCGCTGCTTTGGAAAGTCTCTTGACTCCTTATCTGACTAGACAACTCGGTAGCGATAAGCCAGAGGAGATCCTGAAGACGCTCAATTCAAATTGTTCCAATCCGTATCTGATTTGGGATAACGGCACCAGGGCTGAGTTGAACGAATACTTGGAGACCAAGAGGCAGGAGAAGCTGAACGGAAATGGCGACTTTGAACACGACTTCAGCGACTTCAAGTACAGTGCTCATAGCGGCGAGCTCGTAATCGGTGAGATATTCGTCAAGGTTTACAACGAACAGCCGACGTTCCCAATAGAGGTAAATTCCTGGATTAGAAAGCAAAGGGGTAGATTCGATTGGCAATAAATCGTTAATAAATATTTCCAGAATCCAAAGGGCTTCACCATACATCTGTTGGAGTTCCTAACAAACTCCTCCACGTATCTGGCGTCCGTGGTAAATTCTGCACTGTCGAAGAAGGACCAAGAGAATCTCAGACATATTTACATGGCCCTGGAGGCTCTTAGAAACGTGATTAAAAATCATCCAGGAGTTGAGATACAGTGCATAGGGCATTTTAAGTTGCTATTCGGGCTTCTGACTTCCGGCAGCTTTAAGCCGATTCAGAAGGGAGCCCTCGAAGTCATCAACAACGTCACGAAAAATCAAGAATGCGTTAACGACATTGCCGCGAACGAAGTCGTGGTCCACCTGCTTCTGACTCTGAACAATTTAAAGGAGTATCAGCTGTTAACTTTGGAGACATTACACGCACTTATGAGCACCACGAAAATTGTGAAAGATGCATTAGCTAAAGGTACATACGTGTGATTTACATGTAAGGGAGTTGTATGTCACATTTTTAAATTTCATTTCTATCTCTTCAGGTTCTGTGATCTATATCCTCGACCTGTTCTGCAATTCGAGCAACACGCAGGTGCGCGAAGCGGCAGCAGAGCTGCTCGCAAAAATGTCATCTGACAAATTGGCAGGTCCGAAAGTGAAACTAGACCTGTCCAAGTTTTTGCCCAGGCTCTTCAGCGAGGCGATTCGCGATGCGCCGAAACAATGCGTCCACATGTTCGAAACAAAGCACGAAAATCCAGAATTAATCTGGGACGACGACGCGAAGAACAAGGTGTCGAAAGTCGTGGCCGAATTGAAGGAAGAGTAGGTCCAAGCGTGACTAATGATCACCTTATACCCTTCCGATTGGCAGTAAAAATTTAAATAACCGTTCCAGGTACTATGCGGCGCAGAAACGCAATCCCAATATCGTCCTCAAGTTGCCAGAGACCCAAAACAACATCGATCTTGCAACAAACGAGCCCGTTGTTGCCGGAGTGTACCTGAGATTGTTCGTAGCCAGTCCAGCTTGGGCTCTTCGGAAGCCTAAGGAATTTTTAAGCGAACTCATGGACACGACCCTGTCGTTAATGTCCAAGGAGAAAACTGACGTGAGTGCGGAGACGTAGGAGGAGACTCTTCTCTAATTTTTCCACACGTTCTACACATTTACGACATCGTTTTGTCTAGTCCGATCTGTTGGAGCTGACGACGCAAGCTCTGGTTTCTTTACTTCAAGCGCAACCATCTCTGGCGGACCAAGTACCTTCTTTGGGCCATATTCCGAGATTGTGTCGACAGATGGCCACGTTAAATAGTCAGCCTCCCGTTTACAAAGCGGCGATTCTGATTATGCATCAGTTAGCTACCAGTGAGGTAATCTTGCTAATTCTCCGATAGCACAAAACTTCGATAACTGTATCAATAGAAATCGATGGAAGTTTACGTACATTTCTATCGATGTATGGCGAACTATCGTGGAAACTCTCTTTCAGATTTGTATCTCGTCGATATGTCAAACGGAGTGCATAAGTCCACTTAAACACGCCATGCAGTCGAGGAGAGACATGTTGGCGGTCGCTTGCGAAACTCTCAACAGGTTATTTTCTACAAACGAAGACAGGCTTATTAAACAGGTGAGATTTTTGCAAGTGTTCGATTGAGTTTGAGAAATATTAGAAAGAAGAGGGATTACACAATTTGTGTATAATTAGAGTTCCCCCAAATTACAAATATTAGGCGGGCTTGACGAATTTCGTCACGTACAAAATGCACGATATGCAAATAATTAGAACTTCCTATAATTTATGAAGGCCCTGGAAGCAGAAATGGTGCCCTATCTCCTGAATATTCTGGAAGGCCGATTGGATGTCATCGAGAATCCAGCGACTACGAAAGCTCAGATAGTGAAAGCCTTGAAAGCGATGTCGAGGAGCTTGTTACTAGGGGAAAAAGTCAGTGCCATTCTCGAGAAGTCATCGATCTGGGCGGAATACAAGGACCAGAGACACGATCTGTTCATATCGAATACAACGTCCTCTGGTTATTTAACCGGTAAGCTTTTTAGTATTTCTTCAATTGGCCTTTGGTAAATTCTTGTTAAATATTCAGCTGGAACTCCCATGTCCGCTGGATATCTAACTGCTGGCCCAAGTGCTACTCTTTCGACTGGTCCACCGCCAGTTGAGAAGAACGACAACATACTCAGCAGAAACGACAGTATTTGATACGGGTAGTATAGGAAGCGACATCGTGGAAACTGATAACAGGTTTGTCGTTGCTATTCGCACCGATCCACTGATCAGCGGTGAAGGGCTGGGGAAAGAATGCGAAGGATAAATTTTAGGAGCCCTGCGAAAGATCAGCTAACAAGTCAGGGCTAGGGAAGGAATGCGAAGGGTAAATTGAAACATAAGAAATTTCTCGAATCCCAAATCGCGGTTCTCCCTAACTCGGAATTCGAGTAATAACGTTTGTTTAACGAGTCGTTCGACGGTTTCGATGCTTTCAGTATTTTTTCCCTCGGTGTCCAGTGAGCGACAGGTTCGTCTTTTTTCGAGCGCGATGTTGTTGAATTTTGAGTCGTCTTTCAAAGTTTAAGATTAAACTAAAAGAATGTCTAACTATGTTATGTATAAAGTCGGGGAGCAGGGCGACGCGATGTTAGATCGGATTTCTATCTACGAATATTAATAAACGAGCTCCTCCTTCCAGGGAGTTACCTTCGCTTAAGGGAGGAGGGTGAAAGTGGCACCCGAGGAATCATCCGTTCATGGAACTTAACCGAAAAGTTCGGTACATCCCGCTCGGAGAAAAGTTTCACAAATGAGAGACCTCTTTGAATGCCATTTTCACATAACCTTAAACTTGGATGCAGGTTACCCCGACGCGTCGCAGGAGCTTATCCGTCATTGCCTGAAAGAACCATCGAGTACGGTACGGCTTTTCTATTCAAGAACCTCTCTATCTGGACCAATTTCTGCAAAAAATCTCGTAAGAATCGCTTACGTTTCCGATCAAGTCCAAAAATTTCGCCGATTCGCCACTGGGGGCTACTTGGCGCTGTTCCTCCACGGCTATTAACCTTCTCTTTAGCTTTCCCACATAGAGAGGTTCCACTAACTAAATCGAATCGACGTTTTACACGTGGTTCTTCATTCTCTGTATAAAGTCGATTTCACCACGTTAGCAGTAGAGAGGAAGGAGAGAGAAAAAAAAAAAAAGAATTCGTTGAACGAGTTTACAATCTCACACCGTGGCAGGGACTGTTCTATCGGCGAAGTACGAACGAATGTGCTCGAGGAGCTTTCCAACTTTGTAAATTCTAGACAGACGTTTTGCCGTTATTATTTAGAGTTAAGGTGATATGAAAGTAGCATTTTATTACCGTACAAATATTTATAAAACTTCTCCAAACTGGGTGCACCCAATTTGAAGGAAGGTTTTATATTTTGACGTTTTATATATAGAATGATCCTTTCGTATTGCCTTAATGAGAAGCAAATCGTTCGAAATTGACGAGTCGTCTCATCGCGAGGAGTAAAAACCAAGTTCCTGCTGTAATCAGAACGCATGTGCCTGGCCCGACAATTATTCTCTATACGGGATTTGCGCGACATAAAACGATTCGATGATCTATAGTCCCTTTGATCCTGAAGACCAAAGTTCCTCGAGAGCCACTTTCTGTCTAAATAATTGCATCACAGTGAATCACCTCCGATTAATCACGACTTGAGTCGACTCGTCGATTCGGACGCAAGGAATTTATTAATAAACTTATCGAGGGGAGATCGTTTAATAAGTAGATCGATGTTCTTCACCTGAAACCGGATAAATCCGTAAGGTCCACACGAGTCATTGTCATTAACGATTGCAAATACGAACGAATCGGTGGAAACCTCGTTCGTTACTTTCGATGTACTTTCACCTGGGTTTACGAGATTGAAAGTGAGAACTGTATATATACATATACATATGGAACCATACCACAGAATATGTACGTATAATGATAAAGAATAAATGATTTTGCACATGGTACACCGTTTAGAGATTCGACCGCGATATTCCGATAGGACCGTTGAGGAGAGATCAAGCAAAATCAAATAAATCTAATATGACGACCCGATTGCGGTTAAACATCTGTAAAACATTCTCTGGTTTTGCCAAATGGTTCCTCGCCGATGGAGAACATTTACTGCTCGTTGGCGTACAAGTGAGAGAGAAATCTCGATCTTTCGGAACCCTCCGCGCTGGAGCTATCCTCTTCGGGCAGCGGACTCGTTTGCGTCGTGTGCCCCGTCATGAGGTCGTTAACGTTCAAGTAACTATTTTCCACGGAGGTGTGAAGCATCTTCTCTAAGCTCTGTTTCAGCTCGGTAAAGGTCGGTCTGTCTTTCGGCCTGGAGCGCCAGCAAGCCAACATCATGTTGTACCTAAATCGTATAAAAAGTAACGATGAAGCAACGCGTACAAAAAAAAATTAATACCGCAAACCTGAATCCTGGTTATTGATACTGAATATTAATATTGAAACTGCGGATGGGAGCCGTACTTACAACTCAACTCCGCAGTTCTGCGGTCGTTCCATCCTGTATCCAGATTTTAACAATCTGAGAACTCTGCTCGTGGACGTTCCAGGATAAGGATTGCATCCCAGGGTAACGATCTCCCAGAGCAAAATACCAAAGGACCATCTAAAACGCCATTTGTTAATAGAAATGTCAATGTATAATCCTCCTTTTTATACGAATAATTATCATTTCTTGAAGTTGAACATACACGTCGCTGTGAGTCGTGTACACGTGATGAGTCAACGACTCGATTGCCATCCACTTGAGAGGCAGCATGCCGTTTCCTTGTTTCTTGTAGACATTTTCTTGATACACGTCACGGCTCAAACCAAAATCCGAAATCTTCACCGTCATGTCGCCGCACAGTAACACGTTTCGCGCAGCCAAATCGCGATGGACGATGCGATTGGATGATAGGAATTCCTGGAATGGAATGACATTGTCATTTTAATTATTAATCATGGTCTCGTGGGAAACTATCAGGTGGGTGCTTAATTAACGTTGTACTTTGCTATTTCTTATTCCCTATTCCTTGCAATGTAATATTAATTATGCACCCACCTAATAATCGTACTAACCATTCCCGTGGCGACTTGTCGAGCGAAATTCAACAAATCGGACGCAGTCACGCTTTCTATGGATGACAGTACGTCTGTTTGAAAATGGAAAAAAAAAAAAGGCTGTAAAACGATCGCGCTCCCGAAAGGCGCGATTTATATCAAACCCAACGCACCATGCTCGATGTCGTAAAGGCGATTGGAGATCTCCCTTATATGTCGCAAATCAGTCCCAGCGTCGTCTGTAAAACTACCGGCAATACTATTTACTGTCTACAAAAATGAACAGCGATCAGTTACGACCGTACGTACTCATTGAAAGATTCAAACACGTACGACAGGTATTGGTCAGGAAATCGTGACAGTCCTTTAGCTGTTCCTTGTGCTTGCCTGTCACCGTCATCGATGTCTTTCCATACCTGAAAAAAAAATAGAAAAAATTCAAGTATGGTCTCCCATATATTTTTGGTCAATGGAGAATGATTCTAAATTGAATTATCCACGTCTTACCGCCCTAAGATACGTTTGCAAATCTCCTCGACAGCAATATTCCACCACCAGGAAAGGGCTCGTGCTTTGGGTGCAGCATCCGATAAGGGAGACGATATTCGGATGCTGCCCAGCGGACTTCATTGTTAAAATTTCCTGCTGGAAATTCTTCAAATCGTCGCTACTTGGGTTGTCTGTAACGGAACCCTTTTGTCATTTCCATAGATTTAATAATTCCTGATAAGCGTATTTCGACGGGATAAAAATGAATGACCTTTCAGTGCCTTAACAGCTACGTCCATTATCCGTCCATGTTCGTTCCGGAAAGATCCAAGTCTTACGATTCCACTGGCTCCACGACCAAGAATGTCTTTGATCTTCAATTGATCTGGATGAATTTCAAACTTGTCTTTTGACTTGACACCTTCTTTCGCGTGGGCGTCGTTATCGGATTTCAGTTTGCCCTTCATCGAGTCGCACGCTGCGCCATTTTGAGTAAGAATCTGCAAAAGATGAGTTTCAAGATGGCCAAAATTGAATATGCATTTAATACTCACGTGGAAATGTTTGAATCGGCTGACGAAGCTCGTGCCTTTTCCAAACCGCCAACACACGAAAACGATACCAAACAAGCTGGATATCGTCATAGCCGTAAGGAGAGCTATGTGAACGTTGTTTAAAGCTACGTGGAAGGAACGTATAAATTACAGGGGGAATTAAAAATTCACGGGGTGTCTATTAATATTTCGAATACCTGGATTCGAGTCGATGGTTTTGTCGATCGAGGTCTTTGGACTGATCCCGCCTGGAGATTTCGCGACTATGCTAATCCTGTACTGCTGGGTGCTTATATTAACGTTTGCAAAGACTGCACTCGTTGCGTTCTGAAAAGGGTAACGGTGTTTCATGATCCGTTTCTTCGGCAATCGTTCAATTTATTTAACAGGGAAAAGATTGTATTTATTTCCGGGTCTGGTCCAGAAAAAAAAAATTTGATTCCATAATTGAAACTCTACTTACCCCTGAAAGTACCAATAGATCCGGAAGGGTTAAATGGTGCATCGGCAATAATTCAATGGTGTAGTTATCGGGCTGCAAAATTGGTTCCTTCCAGGACACTTTGATGTCAAAGGACGATCCATGTTTATGCCGATACTCAGCTCGTAGTCCTTCCACTTCACCCGGGGCTGTTATTAAAAGGTTAAATAAATCCATTGGAAGTATGCAGATATAATAATTGTATGTAGTAATTACCGCAAATATTTAAATCATGATGCACATCCAGGCAACTCGGCGTAGAGAACATTAGTAAATATCCATTCTTCAAATCTCCGCTGCTCGTTGGGGAAATTCGTACCTCGGCCTTTCGATCGTATTCCAGGCCTAGCAATTTTACGCGAAAATCAGTTGTCTAGAATGAATTCGTACGAGATTATTTTTCATTGGTAGATTACGTGATTTTAATATTTATTAGGTGGTTTAGTTTTAAATCCGCTGTGCTTGAGAAACACTCTTGAACGTCCGCTCCGATTCCAAAAGAAAATAACTTACCTTCCGTAACTGAATAATTTTCAAGCTAGTATCCATTAGCACCATAACTTCGTAGTCGCAACTCAGCTCTGAAACATTCGATACATTTTTCATTTAACGATGCAACTCGATGACTTTCAACGTCACGAGGCTGGAGGAAAAATTTCTAAGAGCAGCAAATCGAATTTACCTTCATCTGGCTCGAATGCTATTTGTGCTTGTAAACTGTTCGCATCGTTTTCATCTACTTCTATCTTCTCTAAAAAGATATTCCTTATTCTAGTTGACTCGTTGGTAACTATAAATATACATTATGTTAGTAATAAATTTTTAAGTAATAAATTATACCAAAGGGGAATAATTACATGACTTTGTACCGAACCATTGGGTAACTTCAGGTTTTAAGATGCCATTTTCTGTAACCCTGTGCATTCGGTATTGGAACTCTGTACCAGAAGTCAAATTAAGAAGTGTCGAAAATGTTCCATTACCCTGAAAACAATTATTAACGGTATAATATACATTTAGAAAATATGAATAGTTTAAACGAGAAGGAAAACTCTTACGACGATGGCATCGCTCCACGAGGTTTCTCTGGTTCTCTTCTCGATTATGTAAATCCCAGGATTGTGTCTTATCGTCATAAAATCTGTTTCCTTGCAGTGTAAGCTAACATTTGAATCAGTCTCCTCGAGCAGCAACTCGAAAGCTACGTGCCAAACGTGTGACAAACACAATCCCGTCAATTTATTTACATCGTCAATGCACGCAAAAAGATTTACAGATGTTCTACTACTTGGATTACTTCGTAAGCTTTACCTAAGTCAACTTACTTTTTGGACAGGACTTCTGAAAGAAAAGTAGTAGTAAATTCTCTTATTACTCGCAAATAAACATACATCTCTCCTCGATAGTCAATACTGCTGCAACTATTACCGATTTTATTTCTGATTCTTTCATTCACGCCAAGGTGCTAATTCCACATTGAAAGGCAAAGATCATAAGCATGTAATTTTTTCCCGGCTTTCGCATAATCTAAAATATCCCAGTGTACAGAATCTGGTTGAAATTATTCCCAAGGAGCAAATGGAGCGCATCATGCCAGACGTCACAAGGAGGAAACGTTTCCGATGAAAAATCCGAGACGTCTGCCACGAGTCTCTCGAGCCTATAAGTTAACAGTGATATGCATCGCGTATAAATCATTGTCCCCCCTCCAGTTAGTTGCGCATCGGATTATATACGTGAACGCGCGGAATGGAAACGCTCCGTATGGAACAGCTATTTCTGGGATCCTATTTTCGAGTTCGTACGAATAGATTCGCATTGCTGCAAAGTCGCGTCATCGATTGGTCAACGTTTGGAAGTTCTTTACGAAATTGTCAATTTTGCATGCGAAAGGTGATCGTTTGAGCTCGAAAATTGGCTCCCAAGATATCGAAAGCTTGCTGCTAGTTGCTGCTGATAGTAATTGAAATAATTGAATTAAAGGCGCGAAAATTACCGATTATTTCGATTCATTGTTTACATGGCACGGAACGCGTAAAAAGTCTCTTAATTTTTTGAGACAGCGTCTACGCAGGAGATACCGCAGAAATATTTCTGACTTTCCCAGATTTTCGTTGTATAGCGTATGTTATAACAGAGGGTAAATTTTCATATAATTAGTTATAATTAAATTATAAAAGGGCAATGGGATCTCTGAATAAAAAATGGCTACGAGTTTCGGGATGTTCGAGGTGGTCGTTAACGGAACACGTCGCCGTTTCCCAAATGTTCCCAACGTGTCATTAAATTTGAGCAACTGTGTCAACGAAAATCGAGGCGTTAGATAACAATTGGAATTTTATTTACCGCTTACTACCAAAGCTGCGCAATATAATTTCGACGCGAAAGAGTACTATGACGCCTCTTAAAGAAAGAACGGTTGTTCACACTCTTAAGAAATATCCAAAGAACGTGTACTAGAATATTTGACATCGCGTTTATTGTATTATTTTTAATTAAACGTTAAAGAAAATAAGAATATAAGATCTGTCCTTACATCGGTGAATTGTTGCGCGCACTTCACGTTTTGTAGCACCTCTTCCAGGAGAATCTCGGAGAGTGCAAAATGTGAAATTAGCAAGATCACACAAATCGGTGACGTCAAATCCGTCAAATTCTTCTTTTTTGACATCTCGATCAATTGACCCTGTCAATTTCAGTCAATTTGACGAGATCGACGAGATTCCCGGAGACAATTGTCGGGGATTAACGGGCTTTAGCTTAACCCGGCACAGCGTTCCCGACGTTCCCGACGGAATGGTGTCACGGTCGAGAAGCCGTCAAGTATTTTACGTAGATGGTGTGGACACGGAAAGTAATCTACGTTTTTATCGCCGTTCAGGAGAAACTCCGCCTCTGCTGTCCTTCCTTCGGAGGGGGACATTCAGGGAAATCTGTTTTGACAGGCGCTCCATGAAGGTTCTACGTACACACAAATTCGAAACACCTGAGCACCGTTAAACGTTAACACCTCGTAGGATAGTAGCGATTAAGCGTGGAACAGAATAAATTATTTTACCTGGCATTAGATATTCTCCACTCCAAAAAAAAACTCTTCCATTTAGTCCCTCCATTGTTTTTCAAGTGAATTTCATGAATAAACTTTAACGGTCTGCGAAGAAAGAAGAACTCGTTATTAAAGGTAAAGGGCAATTGATGAACGTTATATCTTAAGAAATAAATAACAGATTAGTAGACTTATCTCTCGTGTCAATGAATCGATTTAAAAGAGCTTACCGTTATCAGGAGGAGAAATAATCAGGATGTAATGGAATTACGCCAGACTGAGATGCGTAGTCTAACTTTGTCGGCATCGCTAGGTGCTTGTCAGCCTCTTTTACCTATTATAGGGATTACATCCTAATAAAAAATTAGAGTACACATTGCCGCAGATGCGATAGCTTAAATTATTTTTATTAATATTCCCTCATGTCAACAGAAGTGGTATATAAATTTATACCGAAAGGTACATTGGTCGGTGAAACACCTGGATTTGTTCATTTTGAATAATTTGCGTTTATATAATGGAAAAGAAACACCAGAAAGAACAGCGTCACACCGAGGACATTCGAAAACACCGCAAGTTGCATATCCGTGATCATCTGAAAACATAAAATTAATTGAAAAATGTAAAAACAGTTTCAGAACGCACTTCTACAAAACTGATTAAGCCAGTCCAAAAAATTAAAAACAATTGCGGTAACTACTCAAAGATCCTAAACGAAAAAACCTCGCTGAAAAATATGATGAAATAAAGAATGTTTTTCGTACGGAAAAACTCTGTATACGGCTTAATAGTTAGGTTAGGTATCCTACATTCGACAATCTGCACGCAAAATTGATGAAACTACGTATTTAAATATTCATGAAAAATTATGTACATTAAATCATTCACTTTGTAAGAAAGGTGCCTTTACCTTTGCTCCTGATTATTTTCTAAATTCGTGTTAAGATATAATCTTTACTTAACAAGTATTATTATTACTGTTATTGATGTCAAACGTGGCGATCAAGGTTGAAAAACGGAAGGTGGGCCCTTGAACTGCGCACAACACATCCTTCTAGAATCTTCTGCGCAGCACTTGTTTCCGCCACCTGTTAGTCATGTGGCGCCAATTTCAAATTATCAACACAAGTAACGTTTACAATATACATAAATCACAGGCAGAAGAATAGGTCGTAAAATCTCTATTTTCCTCTGTAAAATGATTGCATATAAAATGTTATCAGCAAGATAGTCAAAGACCAATGTAAGCCTGGAATAAAAACATCGTAGTCATTCAGGATACTCGGTACATCGAAAATATATCTTTTCCTCAGCCTTTGTACACTCGGTATAAACGTTTCACATATAAATCTTGTATTTGTTATCCACTAGACTATAAATAACTAGAGCAGGATGTAGCTTCTCGTTTCGAACTTCGCGCATCTCGTCACAGATCTGTTTAATGTACTTTTTATGCCTCGGATGCCTGCGAACAATAAAAAAAAAGTCATGAATTGCAATTAAGACGTGTAACACACTGCTCAAAATAACTAGCACCAAATATCCTCACTTACTTATCTATAATTAATTGTATACTCTTCTCGAAGAGCAGCTCCTCCTCATCGATATCAAGGAAGCCGATCACAGTGCGAACCACAGTCATGTCCAAGTACACGGCGAACACTTCGACAGAGACTTTATGAGAGATCCTCTGCAAGTAGGACATCATCTGCGCGAGCATGGTGTTCTTCAGGCTCCTCCTGCTGCTCGCAGAGAGTTTGTCTCTTTCCGATATGACAAAATTAACATTTACGTTTGCCGGATAGCTCGAGGAGGAGAGGTCGTTGTTCGTGCTGGCCTTGCTCTCCGACCTGGTGAGTATCGGCAACGAGTTGTTGTCGGGCTGTCGCTGAAAATAATCGGCGACGTCCTGAATACTGATTTTACGTTCCTGGAATCGGTCCTTCTCCCTCTCCCAGGACTGCACCCTGAGGCTGCCTCCCTTTTCCCCGCTCTGGAGCATCACCATGTGGTTTATGGCGTTCTCCCTGCAGTACTCGACAATTTCCTCGACGGTTGACAAATCCAGGGAGGTAACTCTCAGCCCTAGAGCCCAAAGCTCCCTCAGGACGTCCGCCATCTCCTTCTCCCTCTTCAGAGTCCCACCGACGCAGCAAACCGCCACGTCTACCTTGAAACTGCTATCCCCGTAAATGACGTCCGTCGACTCGCCGACCGCACAGACGAGTTTATCCAAGGACACGCTGATCCCGACACCGTACTGCTTCACCTCCTTGTTGGCCATCCCGGTGCGCTCCAGGACCTGGCGAAAGGACGTCAGCATCTTGTCGTATCTCCCTCCTGCTGCCATCACCTCCTGGCCGCCTCTCCTTCGCCTTCTCTTCAGCTCGCACGTTATCTGGAATATCACCCCGCTGTGCTGCTGGATGTTGTGCACCAGGAGAGGCACCACGGTCATGGGCCACTAAAATCAATAATTACAATAATAAACATTTAATTACATATCAGATCCTTGCAGCAGTAATTACGTTGTTCCATGAGCTCTTATTCTACTGATTAAAGGTTCAAATATTAATTTCTCGCCACAAGACGAACGTATGAATGGAACGAATGAACGGTGCGGAAGTGGCATCCAAGGTCTCGTTTATAAAAAGTTTACTTCAAACTGGGTGCACCAAATCGTTTTAAACGTCACCACTGTGAATATAGAGGTTATGATATTTTGCAAATGGAAGTCTAAGTTTCAGGGACTACCTTGACTCCCAGAGCTTCTGCATTAGCGATGACCACCTCCATTTCTCTCAGGGCGTCCCTGGCGAGGGCGGCGGCGTCGCCCTTTCTCCTGGTGATCGTCCTCAAGACGCTGGCGATCTTTTCTATCGAGCTCTCGGTGTCGAAGAGGTTGAAGAGCGCCTCCATCGCCTGGTCGGTCAGACAAAGGCTGATCAGGTGAGTTTGCACCTGGAACTTCGAGAACTTCCCATCGCGAGCGTCGCAGAGGATCGAGTAGATGTCTTGGTACTTTTCGCGTTCGATTCCACAGTACATCAAAATCGCCTGAAGCAGGGAAGTGTGATTTATTCGGACGGTGAAGTTCCGCTCGCGAAGCTGCGGAATCTCGTTGAAGATCTCCCAGGCGATGGAGATGAGTTCGGCCTCGGCCATCAGGTTGCTCGCCATGGGGCTTATGATGTCGAAAGCGCACTCGTACAACTCCCTCGGGTGGAATCCGTGTACCTGGAGTAATTCAGGTGTTTCTATAATATATAATAAGGACACTTAATAAACATAAATAAGTCTCAAAATCGCATCGTCCGGACCTTCTTCTCCCTGTAGACGCGTTCGATGGCGTATCTCCTAACGTGTGGAATATTATTCCAGGCGACGTATCTGGCGAACGGCGCCCTGAGGTCGTGGGGAATGGAGACGATGCTTCCCGTTCTCGTCATGAGCCTGACGCAGGAATCAGTGAGGCTGTAAACGTGGCCAGATTTCGGCATCAAAAGAGGCGTCGCGATGCAGACCCCTCCGTGTCTTCTAAAGACCTCGACGACTTTCAGCTTGACGCTTTCCTGAAGGAACTGCGACTTCAGGGAGACGGAACTCGCGATTCCTCGACCCGGTAGGCTCATGTCGTAGGTGATGTCCTCGGCCGGGGTGACTTCCTGGGCGAAGCAACAGGCTACCAAGTATTTATACGCTTTGCTCTGGCTGTTGGACAGGGTGTGACGGACCATCTCCTGGAGCTCAGCCTCCTCCAGCTGAGGTGGAGGTAAATATTCCGACGCCAGTAATTCCTGGGAGGTGGGTCGCTGGCTCGGGTCGTGATTCAACAGCCAGCTGTAAACGAATCGTGTGTTAAAAAGAGAGGTAAAGGAATAGATGCGCATAATAGAGATCGTCGCAGGCCGATGCAACAGACTCTTTCTCTTCTAGTGGAACTTTCCTGGGGAATTGTCCAGTTTGTTTAAAACTACCTTTCACCAGGAAAATATACCGTTTGACGTCGATTCTTCGCCGATTCTTCGCCGATTCTTCGCCAACACGTATCCAACAGAAATCTTTGTTCTCGCCAGGAATATGAATTTCGGGAGAAGGATCCCGTGCAAAGAATTGATAAAACTCGTCTCGATATAGAAATGCTTTTTACCGTAGAAGATGGATCTGATGCGGCATGTTAGTCTCGTCCATCTCTCGAGGTAGAACGATTTCCTTTGAGCGCAAGTTCAAAATGACTTTGACTCTCTCCATGCCAGTCGCGAGGGGCTTGTAGCACATTTCAAAGAGGATAATACCGAGACTGTAGATGTCAACTTTCTGGTTGTAGATAGCTTTGGCGGTTTTCGCGCTTAATTCGGGAGCAACGTAAAGCGCGGTCCCGACTTGGCCGGTTAACGAGCCTTTTTCCAAATCGTCCAGGTCGTAGCTTCCACCTAGAAGTAGATACCACCATTTAATTTTCCTAGTAATTCGACGAGACGAATCCCATAAGAAGACCCTTGTCTGGAAATAATTACCTTTATCGATCAGTTGAAACTCTTTATCGGTGTCCACAGTCTGTGCCAGGGTGGACAGAATGTTGGTGGTGGCCAGTCCAAAGTCTCCGATCTTGACGTGATCGTTACTGTCCAAGAATATATTAACTGGCTTTAAGTCCCTGTGTATCATTCCCTGTTGATGTATATGGGCTAGACCTTCAACCATTTCGCGAAACAACCGCCACATACGCTCTTCGTCTTCGTACAAACCATTGTCTATCGCAGTTCTCAGAGTGCTTTTCTCACAAAATTCCATTTGTATGTACATGAACTGTATCTCTTTAGTCCTCGAGTTTTCGGCATCGGTGCTGGGCTTGGCCAACACTTCTTTGGAGTCTCGAAGAGAGTCAGACGTCCGAGAGGTATCGTCCTTCTCGAACTCCACGCTATCCGACGAGTCGGCCCTTGTTCGCATTCTGCAAACCAGTGACCATTGTTAAACCATTCGAAGGATCATCATCCATCTCTTCGATCGGTGGTACATACTTGCCACTTTGTTAAATAACTATATCATTTACACAGAAAGGGAAATCCTTACATAAACGCCCAGTCTTCGTCGCTGTCCGTGTCACTGGAACCATCGCTATTGTCCTCTTCGCTGTCTGCAGACAAAACTGCACTGGCCCGAGACTCGTAGGAAATGTTCCACTCCACATCGTGGACCGGTGGGGCCAATCTTTCTATGTCGCCACTCTCCAACTGTTAAGAGAATCGATTAATGATCTACGATATAAGTATAACTTATAACATAAAAAGTACCCTAATATATATTTTATTATATTTAACTATTATTTTCCAAAATTTAATTGTGCATTTATTATAGCTTAAGTACTAAATAATAAAGTATGGATTCAATATTTACGTCAACATCTTCCAGTCTGTGTAGCTCAGTCTTACCGGAAGGAGTGACAGCTGGGGTCAGTCGATCGTACCTCCCAGAGTCATCCAGCATAGCACTCTCGATCCAGGAATTAAAGTAACGCACAACGTTCTCATGGTTTAATCTAGAGAGCAGTTTCACCTCCCGCGTTATCTTCCTGTTCAACTGCTTGTTCTTTGGGTTAAGCTCGATCCGCTTAATGGCGTATACCCCACCGTCAAGTTTATTTCTCACTTTCAGAACATCACCGAATGCCCCTTTACCAAGCCACTTAAGCACTTCAAATTCGTTCTGGATTCGCGAATGGCCACCTAAAGCCGGAAGATAAAACTGAATATCCGAAGCTGGCTCCTCCGGCTCAGAAATGCACTGCTCCATATCGTGGTTCAGTCTTGGAGGTGACACTCCGCACTCCAGTGGAGTACGAATGAAAAAGTGCTGTTGCAGCTGCTCCGCCGACCATCGCATACGTTCATCGTCGACGAGACACTTTGACAGGAAATCTCTCAAATCTGGCTAGAAATGTAACGCGTTAAAAGTTGTATTTTAAAGTGTCAGCGATAAAGTTATCACAGGGTGCGGAGGAGAATATTAAACATGAGCAAGTACCTGTTGGATCGCTCCCAAGTCCAAGTTTTGCTCCGAGACATTCGTACCCTTTATCAATGACAGTAGTAGCACTCCAAATTTATAGATGTCCATCTTTTTCCCACCTCTGCTATGGCTCGTTGAAATATCATGGTCTGCCTTGGCCGAACAATTAACGCGGTAAACGTCGGATAGTCTCTTATCTAACGAGTAATCCGAAAGTTTGACCATTCCGGAGTAATCAATGTGCACACTGGTGTCACGCAAATCTTTATGCACGACGTTGTTTTCGTGCAGGTATTGCAGAGCTACGAGAACTCCACTTGCCAGATGTCGCAACATGTCCACGTTAAGGGGGATATTCTCAGCGAGAAAATAGGAACACGTCGTCCCGATCTGCAGTCACAGAAATGCACACAATCCACTCGAGGGCTTAAAATTGAAAATCCACTTTACAGGAATCACTCACCACAAATTCCTGCAGTATGTAGATCAGTATATTACTCTTATCTTGGAAATACTTCATATTTAAATAGTGTACTAAATTTGGATGATGTAACTTATATAAATGATTAAGTTCCTGCTCGATGCTGGCAATCTGCTTCATGGAGTGCTGCAAATTGGTGGTTCCGGAGGTTCCACGAGAGTCACTGGAGGAACCGCACTTCAATGTCCACTCCGTTATTGCCAGAATCTCGCCAGTTGTCATGTCCAGGCCGGCGTAAACTACCGAGCCCTTTGTACTATGCCCTAAACACTTTCCCCGGTGCACCTGTCTTTCTCCCCTGCTGTTGTCAAAGTGTAGCAATTTCGTGCCTCTGTGTTCGCACAATGACCCTTCGGAGCTCTCGGATGTACTGACGCATCTACGTCTCGAATACAACCGTACACGTTCGTGAGGTGACGAGGGTATCGAATGAGGCAGAGCATCTGACTCCAGAGATAAGCGTGTCTGTTCTCTGCGATTTCGAATTTCTGCCTTAAGAGCTTCCTGACGTTTCAGGATCTCGTCTTGCAGTACCTGAAAATGGTGACATAAACCTTACACAAAATTACAAATTTTATTCTCCCACTTGTACAGAATTGACAAGCGCACAAACCTGTCGCTCTTTATCCTCTTTCAATTGTTTCTCTTGCATCTCAGAAAGGATTCGTTCTTGATGGCGAGAGACCATTTCCTCGTAGAAACTACTGTACCCTGGCTTATTATGCTCGTGTAAAAACTTCTGTATGTGTTGAGCTAATTCTAAAATCATTACTTCTCCTTTAAGCTGTTCGGCCAGGTGCTCAAGTTCCGAAAATAAGGTGGCTATCTGTTGATTCGACAGTCCTTGGCTGTTTTGAAGCTTTATGCCAGGTACTCTGATAAACGACAAAACAATCGTTAAGGTACTTCACAATATGCTCGCTTATAACTAAAAAACAAAAATTAGACCTACTCTTCCGGATATTTCTCTCCACACGTGATGTGTAAATCCAATTGTGCATAAACCTGTGCTGGGCCTGACATGCCTTGCTGAGGTGTCAAAGTTATAACAATGTCCAAGGGCTGCCATTTCTTTCGTTGCTTGGTTTTCCTTAAATCGCGCAACTCGTCTCCAAATATTGACTGAAATCGAGTACCGAAAAGAAATTAATGAATACAGGGAAAGGAATAGAAAGTGAATGATGTTCAAGTTAAATATAAGTACCTTCAATACTTCGATTTCGTTCTCTTGGCGGTCTTGGTACGATTCCACGAGAGACATCGTGCCAGGACTACTTCCCTATTCATCCATCTTCGACGATCGCGGTTACCTTATTTAATCTCTCGAAAATTCTTAAAATTATGAAATTCATATACAGGACTAATTCAAAAAAGACCTACAAGCGACACCGCGAACCTAACCTTACAGGCAGTGTTGAAACGGTAACGGTAGAACGGCCGTTATAACCCGGCACAAAAAGCTTGACATCTTCTGCCCGACATTCGATTACCACCCTACATTATGATGGAATACCTAATGCCGATCGGGTTTACGAAATTTAGAGAAAAAAATCATAACTACTCCATATTGTTTCCATCTGGCACTTTCGAGGGGCACGTTCTCATTTAACCTCCAATTTTTTTAAGGTTAGACATCATCCGACTGCAAGCCATGAACTTAAGGAGGTCTATTTCGTTCTTTCATATAGCAAGTACGTAATTCGGTGTATAAACCCATGTGAGATGAAAGTTCAAGAAGTGAGCGCTCTCATCAAAAATACGTAATAAACGCCAAGAATATATGGACGGAGCCCGGCTCCCGGATTGGTCCCGGCCTCGCCCAATCCGGGAGCTGGATCGCGGCCAGGGGTCGCAATTTATAGACATACTCGTCTTTATAAACGACGTTTTCATGAATATCAAGCGTTACGTAAGGAAAGGAACGATTAGGAAAGTGGCTGCGAATCATCGGTGAAGGACGAAATTCGACCTGATCGAATTAAAGCGAATCGGTAATGTTAAGAGCAAAAATAGTACAATTTATATTTACCTATTGAGGCTCAAAACTGGAAGTGATAAGAGTTTGCAAAAACGTTATAATAATTTGAGAATTCACCCATGCCACGATTATCCATTTTATTTGGCCTTCCACTATTGACTCCACATTGCTTGTTAATTTCTGTATTTAACAAGAATAGTGTAAAATAATAGCTGCAGTAACATTTAAAGGATAAGAAAGGGTAATTACATATTGAGAGTGGAATCTAACAGAATACATTGTTTCAGTCACCATGTTCGACGTCGAGTCAGTCAAAGCTGGGCGACCTATGAAGTATCCCTACACATATGCTGCAAAAATTGCACAATTTCCTTACCGGTACCACTTCAACAACTCTTGGCTGTTCAAGTACCACTTAATCGCATGTTTGGTCTGTTTTCCAATTTTCCTGAAGATTCAAAACATGTGTAAGTTTGACAGAAGATTAGAAGCTAAATTTTTTAAAAATAATACTAGATGCTAAGTTAACTCAATCGAACTCTGTTACAGCATATTCTCCAGAAAATGTGGCTAAATGGGATGAAATCAGAAGGAAGGAATTCGAAGGACATTAATTACGCAAAGTCAATGATGATTAGTAAAACCATGCAACATTTTCATAATAAAGACTGTATTGAACTTAATTGTACAGAGTGGCTGGATGTAAATTAAAGGCCATAAAGTCTTTACTTCATGGTTTAATAAATAATCACAAAGTGATCAGAAGATGTAACGCTTGAGTTTCAAAGACATTTATTACCAAATTAATTGTATAAAACGTATGTCATTACAAAGGACTATCTCGATTGCCTTGTACAGTACAACCAATTATGATTTTTGTACCCTGGATTTTGTGTAGGCCCAGCCTAGCTTTCCCAAACACTCATCCTAACAAGCCAATCCTGTTTACATAAAGGGAGAGCAAGTACTATCTTAATGTCATGAAGATGACCACTTCCAAAAGGGAATCTCGACATAATTACAAGAGACAATTGAAAAGTTTTAGGGTTACAGTGACATGTGCAAAATAAATACCATAAAGGGATGCTAATTTACTATAAAGTATTACAGTTCGGTATCGGGTTTATAAAGTCTGTTTATACTCCATTTTGATTCAAGATTTCTTTTCACCGGTAAGACTTTCCACGTTTAATGGAATACGCGTGAATGGATTCCTTCCTCCTTAATGTCCTTTTAAAACATTACCTTAACGACAACAAATACATAAAACATTGATCGAATATGATTATAGTTGAAATAATAAATAGTTGTTGATGCAAAAATACATGTCTTGTAACAACAAAAACTTCTTACAATATAACTAGTGTCAAGGAGGAATATGGATCCTCCAATTAAGACCTTACTTGTACTGATTCCGACGGAAACAACGAATCACTTTTGCTCTGGTGCATTTACCTTGAGTGTGCTCCGTCACGTTACGTCCTAACTAGATTGATTACAAGAGCGACCATCTTAGAAGGAAAAAGTTCAGCAAATAATACTGCGTGGACTTCTCATTTTAGCTCGCCTCACAGAAGAAGAATATCGTCAGCAGAGATTGAAAAAAGAAAAATGTAAGAATCGCCTAACCTACAATCTCTTCTGTTAGGAGGTACGTGAATTAAAATCCGGTGACACCTGAACCACCTGAAAACTCGTTTTTCACATAAGTGATAAATAGACTATTTCGTGTTGCGTAATCAGGCTCCACTACAAAGATTCAATATTAATGGTGTAAATTCATTTTGTCTCTCAGGAATTTAGATCAGCACATAATGTATCACTTTGTACTGCTTCTCGGAACACAGAGTTTTCCATCGTTCTTCGATGTTCAGTGCACTTCTCCCTCGTCGCTCTCCATCTTCGAGCCGTTACAACTGATTCCGTTGCTCGGCACGATTTTCGGCTTCTTGCTAACAGATTCTCTTACCTTTTCCTCATCGTAATCTAGATTTAATTCTTTGCATCGTTTCTCAAAGTACTTCTGCAGCCTCATCCCGGCTCTGTAAACAGAACTGTTTTTAGAAAGATATGACCGAATTCTTGACCGCGCAAAAAGTCAGTGTGTTCGGAAGCCACAGATCACCCTTACCAGCAGTTACCCAAGGGGTAAAAAAAGCACAAAGGCCATGATGACCTTTTTCTTCTCGACAGTAGTTAGAGTATTAACAGGAAAACAGGAAACTAACCAACGCGTTTTCCTTTTAGTAAGTATTAGTGCGTCAAAGATGTCAAGGCAGTTCCAGTGATGCAGCATTCAACATGCTCGTGTAACCGTTAAAAAATTCTTGCAAGTTGACAGCGTCGATATGACAAACCTTTCGAGTTTTAGCTTAGCAAGATTTAGCCAGATAACTCAACCGATGCTTTTTAAATCTCTGGCATCCGAACTGGACCATTCGATCATGCATCACTAACCTGTACACATGACTGTGCTCCTGATTATACGTCTGGCAATTGTCGAACACCAACAAGCAGTCCTGATAGAACTCGAGCAAGGTTTTGTAGTCTCCGTTGGTCAGTTTGTACTTCATGGTACCAAAATCCATGGGATTGGAAATGTAATCGTGATAATCCGGGACCTCGTCCGGAGTGACCGGTGACAGGAATGGCCACGAGTCTTTGTGATGTGTAATATCGGCCAATACTTCTTGCAGCGTCGCCACGCATCCTTTAACCGTCATTTTATTCTCCATTGGTTCCTCTTCGATACACAGTTGACGCTTCTTACCCCTTCTTGTTGTACGTGATTCTGCCTCGTCCGAGGTGCTATCTGCATTGACAAGTTAAAATATGTCTTAATAAAATTCCTCTGGGAGAGAAAAAATCGTGTGCAAAGCAGGGGTAACGAAAAGCAGTGCAACAAGCACGATTACTTTTAGCTACATGAACGATTTACAGAGAAAGGATATTTTATGTAACGATGCGATGTGAATCCTCACCGCCGTTAAACTTTAAATGGGTGACCCTATTAAATATTTGGCTAGCAATGCAGGATTTAATAATGCAAATGGGGACGATATACAGACCATCCCAGTCTGTGGATTCCCTAGTGAGGAGGCTCTTGGCGAAGCCGTGAATTCGGGAACGCGCAGCTGCTGCACAGAGCCTCTCCGTCTCTCTTTCCCTCTCCCTTTCTCTTGCCCTCACTAATAACACATCCAAAAGCTGAACCCGACTTTCCAAGATCACTCTCCAAATATTTTCTCTACAAAGTGGCTTAGCAAGTGTTCAATTTTATACATAATACTGGATACAACCCGCGTAAAATTGAAATCTTTAGTCAAAGGGTCGATAAAGAGACACTTTTCGTTACAGTAACTTCTCCAACAGAGAAATTAACAAGAACTTTAACGTACCATGTCTCGCTCCATTCCTCGTAGTCCTTCCCCTGCACGGTGAACAAATCCACTTTCCTCGTGGGGGTCTCAATAGTGGCGGTTCGATGCATTCTATGTGGTAACACTTTGGACAGGTATCACAGTGAATCACCTTGCCACCACTTCCGCACAACGCGCAGAGAGCGACGGATTTGTTTCTAAAACGAAGCAGATTTCATGCACTTTAGGTTCACCAACATGCCGTTACCTCAGATAGTATCGATTCGATCACTCACAGAGTTTCACTTTTATCTTCGCTGCTTTCGTCGTCTTCCCCCTCGCTCGCCATAGCTTCATCATTCGACGTGACACGTTTTGCACGGTTATGCCTGGTTTCTTTGGTAAGCGCTGTTTCCTCCTCGACCTCATCTTCGAATTTTCTTCTCTGCTTGATTTTCTTCTTCGGCTTTACTTCCCTTGGTCTGCACGTCGTACAGAACCAATCACCCTCAGGAACGGCCTGCGGAACGGCATTGCATTGTGAGATACAAAGTGTCAACACAGTGGACACCGGAGTTTCGAATAAATCAATCTGATTTACATTGAGTTTAGGCTTCAAGCAATACAAATGATGCCCTTTGTTGCAATTGTCACACAGTAACATCTTCTCAGCGTCCCTCCGCCTCCTGCAGATCCTACACTGGGCATTCAAGGCACTCCGACCCCATGCGACGCTGTTCTCCAAGGTGCTCAAATGCACGAACAATTGAGACCAGCTAGTCGAAAACATCAGAGAATGTTCCCAGCGTTCCTTGATCTCCTCGCTGGGCCACTTCTTGTCCTTCTCGTCTGGGCCAAGTGGCTTCTTCAGGTACTTCGGCTCGATTGCATGTAGCAATTGCAATATAGCGCAGGCCATCTGCTTGATGGCTGTCTGCTGCATAAGATCAGGCACAGATTCGCCCTCCGCTGGTGGGCCCAGATACATGCCTGGGTCCCGATAAGTTTTAATGGTGAGACTACCAACATCGGAGTCTGGCGTACCTGGTCTGCTACTCTTGGTCTCGTTCTTCAATTTGTCCACCGAAGCATTAGATGCGACATCTGCTTCGGTCTCGTTCACCCCGTAGACCAATTTCTCACACTGCTTGTCATAGGATCGACGGGAGATAGCAGACCTCCAGGAATCACGATTGATTACCTTCAGGGAGCCCAAACCTCCGACTTTGATCTTCTCCTCCAAGTCCAAAATGTAGTCCCTTAACGTCAACTCCAGCACGTCGTTGATGGGCACATCGGGTGGATAATTCATGTTCACGTTGTCGTACTTATTTTTCTTTACCGTCTTAATAACCGATTCTTCAGTGGTTTCTGAAAACTGTACAAAAGAAATGCAAATGAATCGAAGCACAAAGTAAGCTATTCGAAATGTTAGCCTATAAAACTGACAGTCAAGGGAGTGCTTACCACTTCAGAGTTCAATTTATTCCTTGGACAGTCATTGATAACTTCTACCAAGCTCGCCTTTTCCTGTAGAAGGTTATTTCGAAGCTCTCCCTCCCTGGTGCCTCTTTTATTCAGCGATTCGATTACTACATCTATGTCCTCTGCTCTTCCGTAGAAACTCCACATAGGTCCAAACTTCTTCCAGTGGACCGGACAGGTCTTGTCGCCGGTACATACCATCAAGTTCCTCCTATCTTCATTGAGATCATGCTTGTTGTCTTTTTTCGAGTTCAAGTCCTTCTTTGTAGACTTTATCTGGTTCTTCGAGAAGAATACCTTCTTCGGGGACTTCTTGTCCCTTTTAATACTATTCTCCTTGTCGTTAAACTCGTCCTCAAATTTGTTCACTATATAAGCATATATGCTGTTGCTGTCTCTCAGCTCTGGATTGTATGGCGTACCTCCCACCAAACAGTTGCCAGACCACTTTTCATCGTACTCCACGAATAAACCTGTGAAACGACCGATTAACAATTTATATTTGTATTAGAATGCCTTGAGAGAATATCTAAATGTCTTTAAAACTTACCTGGAATCGAGAGTAGTCTCCAATACCTACGGTATGCCCTGTCGGAGCCCAAATACAACATCATCGAGCTACGTTTCGATGCTTCCTTCAATTTCTTCAGTTTACTTTCGTATTTCACCTTTTTCGTATCCTCGTCCGGAGTGTTTCGCGTCACCTTCTTCAGTTTCTGCTCTTCTTCCTCGAGTTTACCCTCCTTGATACGTTCCCGGAGTTTCTCTTTCTCTTCTTTCTCTTTTTTTTGCTCGGCAATCATGAACGACTTCAACTCCTTTCTTGCCTGATGGAGTTTTTCATACCTCTCTTCGATAACGTCGCGCACAGAGGCAAAGGTCAGTAACTGACTGATCAGACACGTTATAACTTTCAACTTATCCTCAACATCAAATTCACAAACATTACGATGACCTAGAGTACGTAGAATTTGAGCTTCGTTCATCCTGAGAAGCAGAGCTGGGTCATCGTGATTTGTATATCCCCCTATGAGATTATAAATATAAAAGTTAATAAACAAAGAAGATAAACCTATTCATTTCTGTAAATGAATGTATACAAAAATTCCTAACCTCTCTGCGAGTATCTCCACTTCGAAGCGACTTCGCTTATCCGTCCACCAGAGCTCAAAAGATGTTGCCTTAAAATTTCACTGACAGTCACATGATCCAATGTAAGCTCTGACAATTGGCAGCCTTGATGTGTTTTACAAAACGTCAAAGCGATCGTGGCCATCTTGACAGCTTTCGCCATCGAAGATATTTCCTGATCAAATCCTACATCGTTCAAGTCAGCTTTGGTTGCATGAATTTCATCTTCTTCTTCCGCCTGGTATTTAAATATATTTGCCAAGAGAAGCTGAAGTAAATCATTCCACGGGCCGGATATCTCCTTCTCGATCAGTGCCTTTTCTAACAGATCGAAATTAAACCCACCAGGAAAGTAAGAATTGACTTCGAGCTCCTCATAAAAAAAGTGTAAGAATTCCAGAATCATCGCAAGGTCACCAAACTTCTCATTGGGTACACAGCACTTAATGGGAACAGGTTTTGGGATCGGAAGAGGATCTTCACATTCTAGATCGTCCCTTGGTTTGTTCCATTGTTTTATGTACGCCGTTAATGCTGCCGTTTTTAATTTTTGCGCTTTCTTGTGCTCCTTGTTTTCCTCCTTCAACTTCGCCTTTTCTTCTTTCGCTTTTGCCTTTAGCTCTTCCTTACCGTTCATCCTATAAACATCCTTGTTTAACATCACATTGAAAATATATAACATCGGAAATAGATATACAATATTAATGTTACAGAATATTTTATAATTTTCAAGCTCTACTACCTGGATCTGCGATACTTTTTCACCATCATCTCATCATCATTAACCTTTGCAAAAGCTCTGTGTTTTGACGTATCAGCAGTGAGATATTTAGTTATACTTTCTTGTTTCTGCCTTACAACCTTTTTAGCACGTGGCATGAAATCTGGCAATGGGCCCGCAAACAATGCATCAAAACGAACCTTGTGTATTCCGTATTTTTGCAAAACACTTTCCTATAGGACAGCAATGAATTGTATGAGGAAAATTAAGCGGTTAAACAGAATCATTGAATAATCTTACCTTAACTGTCCAAATTCCATTTGTATTTTGTTGACAGAGTTGCCGCAGAAACATCTTGTTCCTTTCTCTGCTGAAGTTTTGTTTTCGCCTGCGTACCTGCGTGGCCTCCACGATCATTAACTGACTGACATCTGAATCTCCGCTATCTAATTGTTCTACCTCATAACGGAATAACTTTGCTGGTGGATAATATTGTCTATCTTGCAGGCTTCTATAATTCATTGATAAATGAATTCTATTAGAAACTTCTTGTGAATAAAATGCCTCATGCATATTTAAACATCTTACTTGACAATCTCTGGTTTATAACTTGCAATCTGTTGCTCCGTCGGCGGGATAATTTGCAAAACGTGACACTCGCTCCATGAATTCTCTGTAAAACTGGCTTCAACCATTTCACCGACGAAATAACGATCTCTCACAAACTGGTAAACATCCTCGAGCATTTCAGTGAAGGACGTTCTAATGGTTTTGTTTGCGAGGTATATAATTGGAATCCGTAACTAAAAATGACACAGTAACAACAATTATAATTCTGTAATAACATTGAGCATCCCTATAGTAATATGATTTAAAAGAATCATACACAGCTGAAACATAAACGTGTCTTACTTCCATCGGAAACTCCTTGAGACTCCTTTTTGCATTCTCCTCGCACTGCAAGGCTTCCTCGAACGTCATGTTAGACTGTCCAGTGATACTGCACGACCAAACCATTGAACTACATAAGATGACCCTCTCGCAGAATTCACTGAAAGCCAGAAACAACGTTAACTCTGCAAGTGGCGTCCATGCGATAGAATTAATACCTCTTAAAACGGTATACAAAATGCACTCATCGGAGAATGAAAAATTGGAGATACACAGTTTCAACCCTCACTTGTAATCCTTGAAGATTTCATTGGTGACTTCGCAGTGGAACACCTCGTCGTCATCTCTGAAGTCGGAGGACACATAAAGAGGCTTGAAAGGCTCCTTACGCAGAAGCGGCATGATGTTCTGTAATGCCGTCAGTCTACAATTACTTAAAAATGCATGCATGAAAGTTTGAGAACTGCATGGCGTTGAAATGCGCCGTGGGAAGAGATCACTTCACCCATCGCGGCATAAAAGTTCGACGAACCTTGGAGAGTCCCTCGCGACCGTCCTGACGATTGTCTCAGAGGTTAGGTTTCTCCTTCCTGTCGGTCCTGTCTCCGGCCCGCCGAGAAATCAATCCCACGCTCACTGAGCCGGATTTACGCTCTTTCCGAGAGAGGAACGAGACTCGGCGCGATGCACGGCTACACTTGGCACGCACCACGGATTTAGATTCCCGGTAGTTGCTTCAAATTCCTTGACACCGCCGACGTTCGGGAACGACGGTCTTTGGACGTGCTCGTTAACGTACGGTGCACGCCGTGGCAACGGTGATGCTACGTGATTCTACGAGAAAATCCGCACGGACTCATGACAAAGCGCGACTTCAACGGTGTCGTGGAAAACGCGCATTCACACCTGGCACGCATGCGACCGGAAGTTAACAAGGAGACCGCGGTCTCCAGGGTGGCCAATCTAACCTCTACAAACTTACCGTAAATGACCTCCAAGGTGCGCGAGTTTTTCGAATTTCTCGCGATTTCGTTGCCCTTAACGATGTATTTTCGAATTCTATTTGAAAAATGACTTATTTCAGCGCGCGGAAGGTATACGCGGGATTGAAATTGCAGGCACCTGCAGGTTACTTCGCAAGATTTATGGGACGTCCAGAAAAGTCGAATTGTCATCGAAGGGTTATGTTTGCCACCCTGATACGATACGTCGTTGATATCGGCAGAGTGGGATTGTTGGCGGGAGCAGTAATGAGTCATTTTTCCGCCGGTACTTACGGTAATAAATACCCGGAAAAGTTCTCGATGACATTAGTTCACATTAGTTGTGTAATGGAAGAGGGCATTGGATCGTGGATGTCGTTCGAGAAGAACTCGATTTAATTGAATCTTTGGGAGGGGAATCTTTTGGATGAAAAAGTAATATTTATTGCACTCAAACTTAACAGTAAATATTACTTTCCGGTCCTGTATGTACAAACACGTAGGACATTAAATACTAAACAGATGTAATAAATTGGTACCGACAAAAGTAATAAGTAATGTAAGAATTTTTATATTATAAAGTGTATTAATTTAACCATTCGGTAATGTATTGGCACAGTGTTGGGGTCACATCTCCGATATCACAGCAATTTTTTCTTACCTGGAAGGAGAGTTCTGTTATAACGTGAAGAAAAAGCATTTAGAATAACTTACAGGACACATGCCGCATGGAGTCCGCACTAGTCCTGGAGGATCTAGTAAGGGTCGAATTGCTCTATACAGAATGCTCCCGTCGCTGGTTAAAGTTTTCTCCACTTTGCCGTCATAAACCAAAGTATTTAGAATCATTTCCAAATCCTCCACTGATAGCTTAATCTGAAAATAATTCAAACACTGTCACGGATTCTTCTCGAGTATACACTTGGAGTAATGCGAGAATATTTGTAAATCGCAACCTTGCTGATCCCTAAGTCGGAGATAAATTTCCAGACTTCCTTAGATGATGCATAGGTAGCATTTCTAGCTGCTATGGGTCCACCTTTCCCATCCTTTATCGTTTCCTTCTTTTGTTCCAAGAATCGATAGCATTGCTGATTTAGTACATCAACGAATTCAGCTTCAAAATCTTGATCCTGATACCATGCTCCACCTGTTACCGATCGATCTGGCTCCAAATTATAAAGCATATACACTTTTTTCTTACTAGCGGCTACAGACTTTACTGCCTTGATGAATTTCTTAGTTTCCAAACTTTTTAGAATCTTGTTCAGCTGCGTTGGCATTAAGTTAGATTTGAATCGTATGTCCCGTATCCATATGCCTTTGTTTCCCGCTTCTTCTATAATAGTATACACAATCTTTTCCTCATTGTCCGCTCCTTTGGCAGTCTTTGCTTTAGAGGGATCTTTTAAACGATAAATCAAAGCGTTCCCTTGCTTGAAAAGATCGATGTAACCTTGCGTTAAAAGTTTATTGATAGCCTCAGCTTTACGTTGTGGCAGTAGTTCTGGCATTTCGGCAGCAATATCCTTATCTGAAATGCCTTTCACTTTCGTCTGAGCTAGTGCAATTATTCTGGAAATAAATAATTAGTTTTATATGACTCGCATAGAAGGAATCTAACCTATAAGTATTAAACACGTGATCAAACATCATGGAAGGTCGAATTATACTTCTGTTCCACAGATTCCGGTGCAATCGCTTCCGCGGAACTAGTTCCCGCTTCTTCGCCAGCATTTTCTGTTTCTGTACTCATTTTAAATCAGAAGACTGACATTTCTTCACGGAAGAAACTAGCAGGTTATCACGAGAGGCTACCTAACTTATGAACGTCAACGCAGTTACAGGATTCATCGGTTCATACTCCAGTAAATTTTGATAAACAAATGGACGAAAGTGAAGATTTAAACACCGAAGATACATTGGACTTGGCGTCAAAAACATGGAGTCGTTCCGCAGACTCAGCCTTCAAAGTATCCACTTATATTTCGATACTTGCTTCATCTAGAAATAAATTGTTTATCTTTAATTTTGAACTGTGTCGTTATGCTTAGGCTGGTTATCGAGAAGGCATCGCCAAAGGAGAGGAATCTATTTTTCAAGATAGTTTTGACCAGGGTTACAAGGACGGTTTCCAAACAACTTTTGCGTTAGGAAAGTATAAAAGTCTTGCATTTGTTTTACCAAAGGACCATGTGTGCCCCAAGGAAGTCGAAGCGGTTCTTAATAATATAAAGAGAGGAGCGTGTTACATTTGCACAGAACAGGATAAGACATCAGGTTCCAACGTTAATGAAAAATCATTTTCAGAATGTCAAAAAAATCAAAAAGATCATGCTGAAAAAATAATTCAAATGTTGCATGAATATTATGAAACAGTTATGAGGAAACATGGCGTAGATCTAAATGAATTAGATTTAAACTGGTAATGAGATTATAAAATGTCTAACTACATCTTGCACATTTTTAAAGCATTATGAGAGTCATACATCCAGTATGAATACAACTTTATTTGTTGGAAACGTGTGTTCTTATAGTTGAATGACAAATACAGAATTTGAACGTGAATTGTTTTATAAATACAGTCCTTCGGGTGAACCTTCTTTCTTTCGGTATAAAACGCTCTCTTTTGACTTCTTGAAGTCATCGCTAGTAACTTTCATTCTTCGCTCTCGTAGTGCCATCAAACCAGCTTCCGTACAGATGGCCTAAAATGGACAGCACGTTAATAAAAGTTCAATTCACAAGACTAATTATTTCCTTTTCAAACCAGTTACCTTAATGTCAGCACCAGAAAGATCGTCCTTTGCCATAATGAGTTCGGAAAGATTAACATCAGGCGCCAGTGTCATTCTACTGGTATGGATGCTAAAAATCCTTCGTTTCGTCTTTTCATCCGGCAAAGGGAATTCAATTTTTCTGTCGATACGTCCGGGTCTAATTAATGCTGGATCCAAGGTTTCAATTCTATTGGTAGCCATAACAACTTTAACATCTCCTCGACTATCAAAACCTACAAGAAACATAAAATACTACTTCATATTGGCACAGTCGTTACATAATATCTAAACCTCATACTAACCGTCAAGTTGATTCAAAAGTTCTAACATTGTTCTCTGAATCTCACGCTCTCCTCCACTGTTACTGTCGTACCGTTTAGTTCCAACAGCATCTATTTCGTCTATGAAGACAATAGAGGGAGCATGTTCTTCCGCAACCCTGAACAGCTCTCTGACAAGTTTCGGACCATCTCCTAAATATTTCTGAATCAGCTCAGAACCAACAACTCTAAGAAACGTGGCTGAAGTCTGATTCGCAACTGCTTTGGCTAATAAAGTTTTCCCAGTTCCTGGCGGCCCGTAAAGAATGACACCTTTCGGTGGCTTGATGCCCATCTCCTCGTAATACTCAGGATGTGTCAGCGGTAACTCTACCGACTCCTTTATCTCTTGAATTTGAATATCCAAACCTATGCATTGTTATCAGTTATATATTAAATTGTATAAAATGTTATACTATTCACAACTTTATTCAAACAACATACCTCCAATATCGGCATACGTCTCTTGAGGAGCCTTTTCCAGCTTCATAACTGTTACCATAGGATCCGTATCGTCACCCAAGACACCAACGACTGCATGCACTTTGTGATTCAATAACACAGAGCAACCAGGCTCCAGTTGATCTTTATCGACAAAGGATAAGATCGAAACATAATGTTCGGAGCCAACCGAGGTAGACACAATGGCATGGTTATCATCTATTATCTCTTCCAAAGTGCCGACGGACATAGGGGTTCCTCGAAGATCGTCTACCTTAGACCTCTCCTCTTCGTTCTTCTCCTCTTGGGGCTTCAGCCTCTCTTGGTTCCTAATGAACTCTTCCTCCATAAGTAAATAATCTTTAATACGATCCAGTTTCAGTAATTTTAATCGACATCTCGTGTGGGGTGTGACTTGAGGTAACTTTAAAGCCGCATCAGGACCCTTTGTACGGCGTTTCTTCTTGCCAACCCTTGTAGGTATCGGAGGCTCGTACTTCTTCTTTTTGTCCTTGTCATCTTTCTTGTCTCCTCCAGACCCACCAGTACCAGACTGATTTTGACCCTGTACATGAATACTCATTTAATTCCTAATTACTCTCATTACAAAATCTCCCCAACTTGAAGACAAATGTGATACCAAAATCTATTAAAGACCTAGACTCTTGAACCTAACCTATAACCACAAAACTAGCATCACGAGTCATACACACGACATATTTAACTAACCCTAAAGTGACATAGAAAATAAACGTAGTTTTAAACATTTCAAGCAAGAAAGAACGTTAGAATCCACGAAAAATAACTCATTTCAAAATAACTTACCATCTCAACTCAGTTTGACACTCGGCTGAAACTTCACAGTCATTCACCGACGTCTACCATATTGCTTTTCACTCCTTCCGTTCGATTCGACCGACTTTGGCGACCTCTCCACTTCCGGAATTCAAAATCCGATTAAAAATGGTTAACAATCAAGAAACCCGAATAATTCGTATTCCAGAAAAAAAAAATTGAAAAACCAACGTTAATTAATAATTAGATTAGTGTAATTTATTATTTCAAAGTACATCTTTGCGTTAAGATGCTACCGTCAGCATTTGATGCCACAAAGACTCACCCATCATGGTCATCGGAATAAAATAAATAAGCTATTGAAGTGATTTTAATCCGACTACTGAAGAAATGTCGGCTCGAAGGTACGAGAGACCTTACTCGCTACGTGTACTTTCGACCCGGGTGTCGGGGGGTTACGGGTTTGATGAGGATCGTACATAATACGTGACGAATAAAACGAACCATTCGTTCTACGCACGGTGTAAATATAATGTAATATCGCAGCGATATACCGCGATTTCGCAGACAAATCACTGGCCTGCCAGCACAAAGCGAACGCTTGACTACCTTGCCTCGCAACCCTTCTCTTTAAACGGAGTTAATCACAGAGTACACCTTTATATTATTTACAATCGTTTACGTCAAGATACGGATTTCGCGTCGGCGTCTACCGATCGGTAAACGGTCGATTACAACTGAGCGAAACGATAATGGGAGATCGCTCGAATAAATAAGCGTTGTTCCTCGAGTAATTTATGAAAATTCGCAGTTCTGTGAGAATGACGAGGGGCTGCCAAGTAGAAACGAGGAAACGAAAGTTTCCACTTTGCGAGTCCCGTCCTCGGAACAACGAGGCGCTTCCATGGCTTCGAATCAGATGACGATAATACAGTATAAAAACATTGCTTGTCTGTTGTTTTTGGTCGCGAACCACGATGAACGAAATATAATACACAATAGGTAACTGTACAAATGACTCGGAAGGGATGAGAGGCGCGTTCCTTTCGAGGAGGCACGTGACCATGGTGTTCGCGACTAGTTTAGAGACCAGCTAACATTACTCTAGGATCCTCCACTGCGTCCTTAATTTTACGCAAGAACATCACAGCTTCACGCCCGTCGATCAATCGATGGTCGTAAGTAAGGGCTATGTACATCATGGGTCGGATCACCACCTAGAAGAAAAATTACTTGGTGAATAAAAAAATCCTCCATAAATAATGCTTCCTAGCTACCTTTGACAACTAAAAGTACTGCAAAGTGATGCACGAGTGGGAGTTTTTGCACTTCTTTGGGTTTAATAGCTGCCAGTGGAAGTTCTTACCTGTCCTTTAACAGCGATCGGTCTGTCGAACACACCGTGCATCCCGAGGATAGCACTCTGGGGCGGATTGATAATGGGAGTTCCCATGAGGGAACCGAAGACACCTCCGTTGCTTATCGTAAAGGTGCCACCATCCATGTCCTCGACGGTGATCTTCCCTTTCCTGGCCTTGTCTCCTATGGCTGCCAGTGCGATCTCGATTTCAGCGAAGTTCTTGTTCTCTACACTGCGGAGCACAGGAACAACGAGACCTTTCGGGGTGGCAACGGCCACACTGATGTCGACATAGTCTCTGTAGACGATGTCTCCCCCATCGATGACAGCATTGACGACTGGCTGATCCTTGAGAGCGTAGGCACTGGCTGCTATGAATGGACTCATGAAGCCCAACTTCAAACCGTATTTCTTGGTGAAGCTTTCTTGATTGGTCTTGCGGAACTCCATGATGCGACTGCAAGACAAGAAGTATTGTTACTAGCTGATTCCAAAATAGAAGAGACATGAAATTACAGTCAATTGACCTCATGTCGATCTCATTGAAGGTCGTCAGCATGGCATTCGTGTTTTGAGCCTCCTTCAATCTTTCAGCAATACGTAAACGCATCCTGTTCATCTTCACCCGCTGTTCCGTTCTAGTACCAAGGATCTCTCGAGTGTAGTCCGATGGAGGTAGCAGCACTTTGGCACCTTCCAAACTCTGGAACGATTAAATCCAATTAAATGGACGCTTCGAACTTTTCTAGTTCCATAAATTATAATTTACTCGTTCCATTACAAGTATTCTATATATATATAAAAATTACCTAGTACTTGAAACAGTTTCATTACCTGCGCATGTTTAATGGCAGCAACTGGCATTGACGCAGTTGGCGCCTGCGGTGGTGGAGGACGAGAAGCAGGAGGTGGAACGGGAGTTACCTGAGGGGCTGCAGCTGCTGGTTTGGGTGGAGGAGGTGCGGCAGCTGGAGGAGATGTGGCAGCCGTAGGTGGTGGTGGTGGAGGAGGAGGAGGAGGAGGAGGTGATGGAGCCGCAGCAGCAGATGCTGGCGTAGCCGCTGCTGGTGCAGCACCTCCGGTTGCACCAATGTCGATAGTGCATAACTTCTGCCCTGGCTTGACCGTCTGTCCATCCTTAGCAAAAATCTCTTTGATCACTCCGGGACCAGGAGCGGGAATCGGCACGGAAGTCTGCAAATAATAGTTTTAAATACAACTATATTTACCCAATTAATCATAATTAAGTGCACACCAAGCATACCTTATCCGTTTCAATTTCACACAATACATCATCCTCTTTAACTTGATCTCCAATTTTTTTATCCCACCTGACATCGCCTTCGCTTACACTTTCTGCGAAGGGTGGTACAGCAACCTCTTTTATTTCCCCTGTAAATATCAAATTAATACTTTCAACTTATTCCTCCTGTTATTTCTGAGGCATGATTTTATTTCTTACACTTACATAGTGCCGAGGTCGATCTTATTTGCCTTGTTTGCAGCTTCCAGTGGTACGCTTCTCTTTCCTTCGTTCGGCTGAGAGAAAGAGGATATTACAATGATCGCCAATTCGTTGGTACCATGAGAACAAACAAGTCGTACTATAACTATGGCACAAACATTTAATGAAAGATTTTTATACACTAGAGTCACCAAGAATAATATCCTGTCCTTGATGCTCAACTTACAGTAATGATATCGTATCGTTCGCACATTTGGATTGGATGAACACGAGGCGTCCTATAAAAAAAAATATCACCTCTATAGATCAAAAGACAATTCCGACTTATTATAAAATTTCTATTCCTACGACACCGAGGTAAAACCTCACCTTCACGATGCAAGGATCTCACGACCTGCGAAAAAGTAAATAAAAAGTAAGTAACCGGTCCATGCTTTATGACGCACTTTGTTCTAAAACTCATGACTTAAGTTACCAATATCACCGTTCGTTATCTCTATCAGTGTAGCTAAAAATAAATCTCTCAACAAAGTCAAGACTCTAAATGGAATCAGGGCAAGTGCGTGCATCGCATTCCTGTCACACCTGATGGCTCGATGAAAGCTGACCCATTTGTCAGGGAAATCCCACCCACGCTCATGTTTAATGACATAACAATGACGGTAACGCGAAGACAGATAGGTTTAGGCAAAGTGACGGAAATACTCAGCGCTTGACTCGGACAGAAGCGAGCCAAAAGTAACCGAATAGTGAAGGACAACTTTTAATCATCTAGTAGAATCTTTGGTATCGAACTACAATGAAAGGGATAGCATTTTCGGGCTGACGAAGCAGGTGCGAATGACTCGAGCCGCTCGTGAATGATTATATAACGAGCTCTCGAGGGACGAGGCGAGATTTCCACGTAGACGGCGCGGTGGGGCCTCGATTTCTTTATCGGAATTGAAGAACGATTTGAAACAGGCCGATAGCCGACGAAGGCCTCCCCAAGGTTCGGGAACTCGTACTTAATATAGCTGAATAGGTTTACCTGCGCCTGCAGCACGTTGAGACGTATCAAGGCCCGGGGCGCGATCCGCGAACAGTTAGACAGCATCGCGGACATCCTCGACTAAGGGAAATCGTACACGTCGCCCTGTCGCTCGTTTTCGTGACGGCAGACAAGCGCAAGGCCGCAAATCGGGGTTGCTAAAAGGAGAACGTAACGGTCGGTAACCCGGAGTCGTTCGGCCAGAAGGTTCGCCCGGCAATTCAAAGGTGGTGCCACCTGCGTAATCGTCCGTCGACCGTGGAGTCGAGAGAGATCAAGAGAGCTAACCTTGGTTCACGAATTGTAACGACCTTGGCAAACCCAAGCACACCATTTCAAACGACTGAACTTGAATTTAAAGATTTTGAGAAATAATATGCATCTCGGACGAAAAATCACAAAATCGAGGTTATGTGGTTACAAAATGGTGAGTTTTTGTCAGGGTTTTTGTACACGGTGCATAAATGATCGCGTCGCGTTGAAAGGGGTGCATAAAAGAACGCGACCCCTTTCTTCCTTCCTTTGCAGGAAATACCGCCATCTTTGTACTGGCCCGACGTCGAAGCCATGATGGGGGGTTGCTTTCGTGTGCTTTCGTGTGCTTCGTGTGTGCGTACAATATACTGTTATCCCAGCCGATGAACGCATACTTGCGCATACTACGTTCTAATGACATCGAAGTGCGTGTGCCTGGCTGTATAAAATGGTCGTCGCACCTTGAGTGTAATATATAGAGATTGGTGTCAAAATATCCCGCTTCTCCATGAGAAACTGGAGCGATATCGGGACGTGAACTTTAAAGGTATCCTCGCCATTGATATGTCACTCCCTGGCCAGCGTTGTAATTCGCAAATTACCCTGGCCAAACGTTACCTGTCAGTATGTCTTTCCCTGGCAACAATGTCGCTTTTACTTAAGAAACAATTCAAGAAGGGTGGGTTCTAAGAGCGTGTTTGGACATTTCTGAAGCTCGCGTTGTTTACTCGTGGCAAGCTCTTGTTCGGAGCCAAAAATTATACAAATGACACCGTGAAGTATTTGCTTTCGCAGTTTGAGCATATTTGAATTATCCGATGATGTAAAGAGACATATAATTTATTGTATCTTTTATAGGTTGGTGTTGTACCGTCGAGGGACTCCTGTTTGCACGTTCCCAGAAAGAGGAGAGGCATGGAAAAACGACACGAAGGGCCAGCTCTGTTTTCGTCCGGTAAGTTGCTTTTGATTCAGATTATAACTCCAGGGTTACTTATGAGGTCAGACCGATGCTCTTCTTTTTAACCTTAATAGGCTAAGGGTATCTATGAAGATCGAAAGGTTCAGGGTTATGCGAAAGTGGACATTTAAGGTAGTTTTAGAAAATGAAAACGTATGGTTTCTGCGGATATGACGTGTAAAGATGCATCCATGGCTTTTGTACATTAATAATTGTCTTATGTATTCCTTAGCATATGATGCTTTCACATTTAAAAATGTATTTACAGTAATCTTATATTTGGTACACATTTAGGAATACGTTATTCTTCTTGATTCTTATCCGTTTTCCTTTCTATCTTAATAAAACTGTCGCAAAAGAGTAAAGTTTATCGCTAATTGTTAACTAGTCCAAGAGTAAATTTTTGCTCCTCGATCCTCCCTATTATATATATATCCGTAATGTTCATCTTGGTTACGCTGCTCCGAGTCACGATCATTTGTCAGATAGTGCCTTATTTAGTTTAGTATCCGTCTAAATTTTAATGTCGACCAATCGTATACTTCTCTTGAAGGAAAAGAATAATTCAAAATCACTATTTTCATGATTTAGAAGATTTTTTTCTGTGGCTTGAATACAAATCCTGGACGTGTGCTTCTCAAATATTAAAACCGTGTAAATACCTTTCAAACACTCATCACCCATTTTATTCCTTTTTCTGTCCATATTTCTATCGCTCAATTTTCGCCCTTTCAACGATAACTTTCATTAGGTTATTTCAGATAAAGCCATAACTCATTAATTCTGTACAGGAATAGAATAGGTTGACGTTCAGAAGTGCGAGAGGTTTACATCAAACCGTAATCACTCGAACTAAACCGAAGGGACTAAATTTAGTATCGACTTAGAAGCTCGATACTGTAGAAATAGATTAATTAATGAGTGGATTAATCCCAGTTGAAGATAATATCCCGTATTAAATCCTTAGTTACCTTCCCAATTACGGAGTGAATAACAGCATTACCTTAATTACTAGACAAATGATGAAGTAGAACGCGTTATTAGCCAGACTATCAATTACGTGATATCTAACCACTCCGAATCTATCAGCTGAGACATCGGTTTAATCTCGTTGGATAAAATTATCGTATAAAATCCCGATAAAGAGAAATTCCTAAAACCATTTCCAGCGCTATCCTGCCATTCTTCGAAGATTCCCTATCTTTAAAATTCCGAGTACCAAGGTCGATGCCGGAAGTACTTGGTATTTAAAAAAAGAATGAAATTCGCATTTACTTGTATCGGTTCGTTCCTACGCGATTGAGATCGGCGAAATTCCCGGCGCAGTTGGCAGGGTGGCCAGGGGCGGGGCGACGGGGTGGCAGAGGGTGGCAGAGGGTGGCGCGGACGGCCGTGGATCAATTCGCGCTCGGGAGCCGCGGCAGGAGCAACAGTCTGTCCTCCGCCTCTCGGGTAACAGCACCTTCGACTCGGAGGTACGGGACTTTTTCGGTGACGGGAGGTTCTCCGTTCCCCGTTCACCCTCCTCGGGGAGAAGTTTAACGGTGGAGACGCTGGGCGAGATCGGAGTGTCGCGTCCTGGGACCAGGGACGATTGGAGGCCCTTTAAATTGGTTCCCCCCCTCTCTCTCTTTCCTTCTCTTTTTCAGTGTGGCTGAGAATTGCGAATTTTGGAACGGTCACGGATGTTTCCCAGGACGTGGTGGACGAGGACTCGCGAAATCCCCGGATCCCTTTACCCGTTTGGGACTTCCTGATGGTGGTTGCCGAATGTCGTGCGGGAAGATGAGGATACCCGAAGTTATTCTATAAGTGCGGGGGAATGTGCCGTACCTGTCCCGGGGAGCTCCGGTCGCGGCTTGGAGAGCTCTTTCAATTTAGGTTTTTTTACGACACGGGCGAAACCCGACGAAGCCTATTTTCGGGGGCAGGGCGAGAAAGCGTTTCCTAAGCACCGAGAGATGACGATCCTCTCGGAGACGGGCATTGGCTGATCGATTCTCCATCGCGAGAAGAACGATTGACTGGCGCTCACCGTCAGGCTCCTTAAATTCTGGTCGTAGTGCGGAGGATGTCCAGGAATAAACCAATTTCTCGTTTTCTTGGACAATATTTTTAGGGAGAGTAAGGGAGAGTGTATTGAAAAGTGAAACGCTTCGTTGATATATTTTTTTTCACCTTTTACTCCAGAACGTCTAATCGGAACGCCGGAATCTCCGCACGCGGAAAATACACGTGGCGCGAGTCGCCAAGGTGTCCACCTTCATCATTGCTCGTTTTTATTTAAGCGAAACATTACCCTAGAGTAAGTTAACGAAAAGTGAAACGTTGAAGAGATTTTTTTCTTTCATGAATTTTTATCTTTCACAGAATTCCCAAGATCGGATCCGTTTAACGCGGGACTCTGGGTAGCCTCGTCGGAAATAAAACGCAAATAATTTGACCTGATTTTCTGGTGAATGCAGTGCGACACGCCGAACTGTAACGCGCGATCCTGAGATTGTCTTCGAGACCGGGGCTGGCGCTCCCGTTTACATATTCCCGAGGAGCAGTCAATAGGCGTAAAGGGAGGACGCGCGATATCGGTTTTCTGATAAGTCGGCGACACCTGTGAAACGTCGGGCCATCAATCTTTGTAGACCGATATTTCCACTCGAGGCGAAAAACCCGAGTATGAGATTGAAATTACCGAGATGCAATTTGAAGGATATTTCAGACATTGGCACGGGAGGACTTTCAACACGGAACTCGCAGGCCGTGTTAATGGATCATTTGATTTCGTTAATGCGCCTGTTCGGGTATTTTTCTTGATATCGGAAGTTCCAGCCAAATGATCGGTAATTAATATTCAGTTATGTTCCTTGTTTCAGACGAGTGTCCTAACAGTGGAGAGGACAGCGACGAGGATGTAATTACGGATTACATAGCCTCCTCGCACACCGACTGCAGTCGCGTGCCCATCGTTAATGGAGATCTGACCGGCCTGGGAATACGAGGTGCGATTACGAACTCGAGTTACACCAAAGAGATCCGATCCGTCACGATGGCCGACGAGACCCAGGAAAGGCACCCTCCGCAGCACACTTTGGATCTAGGTCCGAATATCCAAACTCAGTCGAATCCTTTGGTGCCCATCATCAGCGTGACGCCACATTCACCGGGCCTGGCAAAGCACTATCCGATCCTCGGTAATGAGTTCCTCTCGATCACCGTTCAATACCTATCCTGGCTGTTAGAAGCATTTTAAGTATTTAAATTAACGCATCATTTGAGCCCCCATCATGTGAGGGTTTAAATCGGTATCAGATAGAGAAATACGTCGGATAGTTGAAATCGGAGCGGCACTCTGATGAACGTTTTGCCTCGTAGAAGACAACCTGCAGCAGCTGCACGAGATTCACGACAGCATCCAGAGGATGAGAGACCTGACCTTGATCACGCTGGGCCACAGCAGTCGAATCCCGAGGATGGACCATCCGCAGAGACTCAGCTCTTCTTGCCCCTCGTTGTGCCCTTTGATCGGGCAGGATGCCGGGGGCCGAACGGCCGACCAGGATGGCGGATCCGATCCCGATCTCCTCGTCAATTGCTCGACCAATAGCTCTCCCACGCACTTTCCCGCGATCGGCCATCACCATCCGCAGACCTCACAGGGCATCGACAGAAGACGAAGCTGGACCGACCTGGAGGACTCCAGACTCGGGAGACACAGGGGCTCCACTCATGATCATCTTCAAGCGCAAACCATAGTCAGTGTCCACGTTAACTGGTTCATGAATTCTATTACCAGGCTAAGCACTTTTGAGCGCCTAATTTGATGTTCTCTTCCAGCGACAGCGGAGCATCAGTCTGAATAGCCTGGACAGTGAAATGGAGCTAGAACTAGAAAGCAAATCGCGCTCAGGTTCCGCAGGCGTAAGCAATAGGGCCTGTAGATCACAAGCGAGCACTCACTCCCTGAACGAGGCGGACTTCATCCAGGTAACCGCGGGCCCCTTGATTTTAAGGTCTTGACATCCGTGAAATTTTTTTTTTTATTTTATATAATAAAAAATGAAATTTCATGGGTGTCGGGACTCTCCTTACAGTCTTCGTATTCAAGGTGTAGAGGTTGAAACGATTCGGTAACCCACGTTCGGAGAACAGTTTCATGCCACTTTGATAACACCTTAATTCTTAGTCCTAGAGAGTACGAAGAGTCCTTTTTAATAACTGATATACTGAATAACTCCTGCTATTTAAGCAGAGCGAGTTCCAGAAGAAGATAAAGAAGAGGGACAATCAGCGACTGAGGGAAGCTGTGAATCTTATACCTGGGGTCACCGGATCTCGCCTACCGCTCCAGAAGTCGATCTCGACCCCTTCCATTGTCACACCTCCGAATCATACGCATCTCGTTGACTCCGGGACGCGTACCACTCCTTCGCTTACAACGTAAGTGGAACAGATATCGACAGGTCGGATCGGAAAGCTAGATTGGAATCGCACGCGAGGGCTTTCGAGCCGTCGGAACGACTCGGACTCGACTGTTGCTCCCTTTTCCGGAAGCCAAAGTATTTCAACTCTGACGATCTAGCTTTCGATCTAATTAAGCCTCGGTTTATGTATTCGGATAAAGTCAGTGTGCATCCTCGAAGTGTGGGATGGAGTCACGGCCCGTTAATCGCCTGGCTACGAAACGGGCCTTGTCTGCATCCACTCCAAGTGCTTGCTCGCTATATACCTTTGTTGCACTTGTGTAGCTAGCTGAACTTAAAGCATGTCCGGAGTACCGTTCAAAACTGAACTTCCTTAGATCCCCTTCGACACGTAGAGCACATAATTAGACGCGAGACATGTCGTACACCCGAGACGCGAAAGTGAAGTCTAAATATCAGGAGTATCGCGACTTTGACCGTAATCTCGCCACAATGGCGATGCCTTGTTCAGCGAGAAACTTTAAGCGGCTCACGGTGTAATCCAGCCCGATTAAGGTAATGCTTTGGCAGGTTGAACGAGGCAAATTACGCGCTCGAGAATCGGTGTCTTTTCCCGGTCGGACTTCGCTTTTTACCCTTCCTCGTTGAGCACCATTCTCGGTAGAATAAGTCCTGGTATCGCACACTGGGTGGGAAATTTTGGTTGCGGCCCTCCTTAACCACAATAGTCGTATAGTTTGTGTTTGCACTTGACCGTTTGCCAACGTCCTACGCGGCAGCCGGCATGAAAGAAACGAAAAGGGTAGCGGAAGCGAGACCGAAACCGAGGACCTTCACACAACCCATGGCCGTGGGTTCCATGAAGATTTAATCCGTGACGGCACGCCGAATGCTCAGACTTCTCTGGATGAGCTCCTGACCGAGTGAGTAGAAACGTCGGTCCTCTCGTCAACGGCGAGGGATCGGTTTAGCGACATTTAGCCACGTTTAGCCACGGTTTTGCCACGGTTTTGCCACGGTTTTGCCACGGTTTTTTGCATCCTTATCACTAAGTCTAGCTATTCCGCAAGGCGGTTAGTCCGCAAGTAAGCAAGTAGTTCCGACATTGAGTAATTATTGCCACTGTACTTACTGCCTGGTCCTGCTTCGATGTATCCGGATGTTCCATGAGCTCAAGGATGAATAATTTTTTCCTTTTCTTCTCCTTTTTTTCTTTTTTTTTTTTACGGCGAATCCGGGGACAATCCCTCAAGGGGATGTGAAAGAAGGCTGATGCCACTTTGACGTCACCTTAAGATAAACTGTATAGATGATGAGAAATGGTAGAAGGATGTCATTGGTTAATACGCAGTTTGGGTCAAAAGAGAAGATTTTTTTAGACGTTCATAAATTTCTCCGAGAATTTCTGGAACATTCTGGTAGGTTGTGAGATCTTTAGGTAGATCCGTTCTTTTATATTTATATATTTGTTTGTCATAAATATTTCATGAGCGACAGTCTGCTCTGTAGACGTTTTTAATGCCTTTACTTTCGACCTGTATTTCCACTATTACCTGCATATTTAGTATGGTGATGTTTACGTGATAATTTTTAGTGGCACTACGTACGACGATCATCACTCGGAGAAGACAAGGAGAAAGCGTGGGTCGCTCTTTTTCCGGAAAAAGAAGGTACGTCCGTGTAATGGCCAAAGAGTTGGACTTGTGCATTTTTGATCTCGTTATCTTGCCGCAGGACAAGAGCGGGAAGAAGTCTAGTCAACAGCATCATCAATGGACAGCGGTCGTCGCGGGCACCCAGGGGAACCTCGTGTGTGACTTCTGCATGAAGCAGTTCTCCAATAAGTCGATTTTGCACTGCGAAAGTTAGTATCGGAAGTCTTAAAGTGGTTTGAAAATGGCGTCGAAGCGGCCCCAATTAATCAATTGTATATTGTGGAACGCAGATTGTGGAACGGTCGTTCACCAGAGTCAAGGATGCAAGGACCAGGTGCCAGGGGAGTGCACCAAGTCGAAGCAGCACTCCAACAAGACCACGTCGAAATCCATGTCCAGCGTCTCCTCGATATCGTCGAGCAGCAACGCGAAGAGGGGATCCACCTCGTCGTTGCCGTTGCCCTTGTCCTCTGGTAGCGGAAGGTAAGCCACCCGTACGAGGGGTCTTCGATTGCATTGGACTTTTCGTTTCTTTGGATGAAAATGCGCACGCTGCCAGCACTGCTGTACCAAAGCTCGGAGCTCGTCGAGTCGTTGCCAAGAGTAGAAGAGGAGCGTTTAAATTCACAGAAGCAAAAACGAAAAGTAGGAGAAACGATAGATTTAAATTGAGGCATCGCTCCGAGACTTTGGTCCAAGGAAGGCTTCTTCTTAACACTTGGTTTTGCAATTTAGCATTCCAACTGACACAGTGGCAGACATTTACCGGCATTATCCGTCCACGGGTCGTTGTGTCGTAGTGAGTAGCTCGATCGACGGTGCTTACAGCAGGGAATGCAAAACTTATAGATATATTATACATATATTTTTTTTTTTATACGAGACCGTCCTTTTGTCTCTAAGGTGCTCGAACGACGTCTACTTTTGCAGAACCGAACCTGACACGAATAGAGCAGTGACTTGAGTTCCTTAGCGATTGCGAGACTTACCGGAAACGTAGAACCCCGCTTTCCCTCTGGATTGAACGCATAAATAGTTGCCTTTAAATTAAACAGCCGTGATATCGTTACGTTGCTTATTTTGAGCGGCTGCAAGCGCAAACCATTCGCCGCGATTTGGTCCAAAATGTGCATTGTTAGGGCGAGAAAAATCGTATACGTGCTTGTGATCTTACATTTCAAGTTTTTATATGGATTTGCACGTTTTGATATTAATAAAGTGCAAGGTCTATGTGCCGTGAATGTCAGTACATATACAGAGAAAGAGAGGAAAAAAAACTTGAAACACAAATTCATTAAGCATATAAGTAATATTTTTATCGCTCAAAATATGCGCCTTTTGACCACTGCGCGCCAATATGTACTTTGCGGGCCGAAAGAGGGCATTCGTCGGAATCTATGGGAATAAATCGGATTCCCTTGACGAAAGACGATTTTAGGATTAGAGTCGAAATGATTACGGGGATTAGGAAATGGCGAAATGGTAATGAAAAGGGATGGCGAGGTGGAGGGGAATCGGCGCTAGGCAATTTCAAGTTGCGCTAATGCAGTGTGTGCTTTTTCCTTCCCCCGTGCATTCCCTCTCGTGCAACCACGACAAACCGATCGATCGTTCGACGATAAAAGGGAAATTAACAGCAAGAAAGCCGTGACGAGCTACAGCCCTTGGCGGCGAGTTGCCACCAAGCTCGGAGTCAAGTAAGTTTCAGATTGTGATGATCTGTGCCTCACACCTGTCCTTGTCGAGACGTTCGTTCGTTTCTGTTTTGCGTGTACGTTCTCCTATATCTCTCGGTTAAAGACGTATAACGGCTCGTTCTTCCTTCGGTTTCACTTACTTCAATCGCTGATCTCCATGTGACAGAGAGAGAGATGCCTCGGGATACGCGCGAGGTCGTTTTAAACTCGACTATGGGTCCCGTTGCACCGAGAGAAAATTTACTTTAGGAGCTGAGCTGGACATAAAATATTTTCCACGCTTTTCCAGTTTCTTTTAAACTCACGTTGATTGAAATTGCATTTTTGCAGAAATTTAAAATCAACTGGCTTTCAGTTTTTGTAAAAATGAAAAATATACACCCGTGTACGTCTCTCTCGGTGTCTCTCCTGCCTGTGCTTCCGATCCGCTTGCTTCTTCAAATCTCTCCGCTCGTCGCTGATTTTTCGTTATCCTGCCGAATACGTTCTCCAATTAGTCTTGCTATTACACGAAGCTGTACATTCACCGAGTCTTCCGGAAAGTCACAAGCGGCCCTTCAAGTTTTCGTCAGCAGAAACGGTGATTACCTGTCGAAGATGCGAAGGTAGATCACGCGGTTCTCCTCTAACTCTTTTCTCCCTTCTTCCTGATCTTGTCGATTCGTCCTTTACGTACATGTATAGATTTATAAATATAAATATGTGAACGTGCTCGTCTCTCGCTCCCATCCATCAAGCGTTCCTTTTTCTCCGGGGTTTGCTTCTTTTTTGGGTGTCTCCGATAAATTCGCAAGAGCCGTTTCCACAAACCGGAGCCGAAGTTTCGTTTTGGTTTTGCCACTCATCTAATCCATTCGTACAGTCGGTTCTTTCAGGATTTGGCATCGGCGGAGTAAAGGGCGCTACAGTTAGTAAAGAAACAGGCCAGTTTTTGCGCTCTGTCCCTCAGGGGGTCCCTGAAAACCGGTGCGGATTGGCCGGGGTCAAGTATTCTAATAGGAAGAGTATTCTCTCTTTCAGTCAAACCATCAACGAGGAAAAGGATGGGGACGGCAGCGGACAGCATCGCGACGTCGCCAGGTACTCAACGGTTATAAGATTGAATGAAAAATAAAAAATGTAAACCACTGATAATTATTTTTCCGTCCAATCGTTTCAGCGTTTGGGAGGAATTCGACTTCGGAGAAGACGCGCACCAGTTCACCGTGGGCGACCTGGAGGGCCTGGATCCTGCCCTGGGCCTCGGGAAAGAGGAGCCCGACTCCTGGAGCGCAGCGATCGGACGGAACGTCGCCCTGAGCCTCGTCGACAACTGCGAGCGCGAAGTCAAGCGACAGGAGCACATCTACGAGTTCGTGTTGACGGAGAAGCACCACTGCCTGGTGCTCCTGGCGATGGAGAGGATATTCGCGGAGGGTATTCGACGGCACTTCCGGTTCGGGTCGCAAGACCTGGAGCGTATGTTCCCCAGGCTCCGAGATCTCATCGACATCCACCTGCACTTTCTGCTGAAGCTGCGCCGGAGACAAAACGCGAACGCAGTGGTCTTCACCATAGCCGACATCCTGGTGGACCAGTTCTCCGGGGAGAACTCGTTGAGGATGAAGAGCGCCTACGGGGAATTCTGCAGTCGCCATCGGGACGCCGTCGACGCGTACAAGTATTATCTGCGACACGATCCGCGATTCGCGCGTTTCGTCAGGTACTGCCAGACGAACCCGCTGCTGAAGAAGAAGGGCATCCCGGAGTGCATTCTGTTCGTGACTCAGAGATTGACCAAGTATCCGCTTCTCGTGGAGCCGTTGATCAAGACTGGAATCCTGCCCGAGGAAGGGGAAAACCTGAGGAGGGCTCTCGCGCTGGTCAAAGAGATCCTGGCCGACGTGGACGCCTGCGTGGCCGATAAGGAACGCGAGGATCGCAAGCTGGAGATTTACAACAGGGTCGACGCCAAGTCATTCGCCATGTACCGCAGCGTGAAGTTCAAGAAGTCCGACATCCTGAGCTGCGGCAGGAACCTGAAGTTCGAGGGCACCGCGTATCTGATGCTGGGCCGTGGCAAGATGACGTCCGTCGTCGTGGTCGTCCTCTCGGATGTGCTCTTCTTCCTGGCCGAGACCAGGGACCAGAAGTACGCGTTCTTCGTGCCCGAGAACAAGACCGGCATCGTGTCGCTCCAGAAACTTCTGGTGCGGGAAAAAGCTGGCCAGGAGTCTAGAGGCATCTACCTATTGAGCAGCAACCCCGTCGAGCCGGAGATGTTCGAGCTTAAGGTCCAGAAGCCGAAGGACAAGCAGATCTGGATACAGGCGATTCGATCAGCCGTTGAGGCGTGTCCTCAGGAAACCGAAAGCGAGACCGATGCCGAAAGGGAGAGCCTCAACAGCAACGAACCGAGAGACGTGAGATCTTCCTCCATTTCGATGCTCTCCACCGACGAGAGACAACGCATCGCCAAGGCCAAAGAGTCGCATATTATCAGCATCGTGGGTGCGTGTCCATTTATCATAATTGCTCTGTAAGGGCGCAGTCGAGATGAAATGGAATTCTCGGCACCTTGATTGCATTCATTTCTCGTTTCTTCAGACGAGCTGCGCAAGAAGGACGCGGAGCAGGCGTTGCTGTTCGAGGAGAAGATGGGGCTGCAGATGAGGCTCTTAGAGACGGCCAGTATGTGGAGCGGTAACGAAAGCGACAGCGAAAAGGCAGAAAAAAGCGAAAAGGAGCTGCCGGATTACACGAGACTGGTTCGCGGTGACGGAGTCGTCTCCTCGCAGCAGTGGCAAGAGGTGAGTTTTTCCTCCTGTTTTACTGGACGCGTTCCAATTGGCAGTCTGCATTGGCTTGACTTAACGAGGGAGTTTGGTTTCCAGGTACTGTTGGCGGTGCAAGAAGCGACTCGCCTCACCAGCTCGTTGTCGTTTAGCACAGGAGGAGCGACTTTGTCGAGAAGTCTGAGTTCCGTTGGCGATAGGCACAGCGAGGCGTACGTTTCGCCGTCCCCCTGTATTCCTCGGCGAGCCGAGACATTCGCTGGCTTCGATCACAACAAGGTAGCCCTGGAACGCTAGTAGAGTCAAAGATGAAAATAAGTACGAGTATAAGCACGAGTAAATAAGATAACTTTCCCGATAATTAAATACGTTTTCAGGAACGATATCCGTGGCGCGACCCACCGGCCTTGCAGACGGTCGTCCCCCCACCGAAAACAGGCGAACGCCTGGAAGAGAGCTCGGAAGTGAGAGAGGAAGACGAGCTGGAGATGCAGAAGGACCAGCGATTGGCTGCCGTTCAGTTGTCGCACAACGTGTACACGTTGCTGTGCATCATCAGCAACCAGATGACGACCATCGACAGCTTGCAAGCGCACCTGGCAGCGTGCAAGGAAGGAGGAACGGGAAAGGCATCTGGCAACAGGTAAACTTGAGAATGACTAAAGTTACCAAAACGTGACCATTTTCAAGTTCCGATCCGATCTTATGCCAGGCCGAACACCAACCGCCAGCTGGAGGAGCTGAGGAACCTCCAGGACCAGCTCACCCGGGAGAAGGAGGCATTTCGTGCGGCCAGCCAGCAGGAGAGGAGCCAGCTGGACGAGGAGCGCGCCGACCTGGCGAGGCTCCGGGAACAGCTGGCCGCGGAGCAGAGGGACGTGACCCAGCAAAGGGACCAACTCTATCGACGCCTGGAGGCCCTGGAACGCCAAGGCGTTTCTTTGGTGGCATCTCCGGCGGTTGGTCCCGCCGCGACTCATCTGTCCCATCCCGTGCAAGGAGGGGCCGACGCGGTGCAATCTCGCAAGACGCAGACGGACGTGAAGAGAATCCCGTTGAATCTGATCAGCGCCACCAATCAGCAAAAGGTTCAGAGCAGTCTGCCCCCTGTGAAGCAGCAACTGCCCCTAAAGCTCGCCAGCGGCAGCAACAACAACAATTCCAGGTTCCGGAGTCGCTTCTATACTATCTAGATATTTATTTATTCGAGTCATTCGGTCGGTACAGTTTCTGTACGTAATTTGCGCTTGCGATGTGACGAATCGTGTACCTTATCGACTCGAGTTGCAATGAGAATTACCCGAGTTGGTTATATATTCAATTTTCATGCCAGTTTTATACATAGCAATTTATACTTTAGCCAAACTCGGTATCTTCATTTTTTATGGAGATTTGCTTTATCTTCGTGTCGTGTTCCCAGGTGTGGAAGTGCCGTGAGCAACAACAGTCCGGATCGTCATTCCAGAACCGGAAGTAGTCCCGCGATCGTGACGACGTCTACCGTTTCGTCGCCGGAACTCGGCAATGGACACAACCATAACAACGGAAATACGACCCACACGCATCCGCCGAACAGGTCGCTGAGAATCACACGGTCTCCTCCCGAGTCGTATCACCATCAGCAGCAGCAGCAGCAGCAGCAGCAGCAGCAGCAGCAGCAGCAGCAGCAGCAGCAGCAGCAGCAGCAGCAGCAGCAGCAGCAACAACAGCAACAGCAACAGCGAGCGGAACAGCCCCTGGAAGAGGAGGTAATTTTTTTCTGACGACTCTTTCGTTTCGGCCGAAAGCACTCTCGTCCTCCAAGACCCGCGGCCGTCGCGTCGACGTCGGCGTCGACGCCGACGCCGTCGCGTAGCCAGGCCAGGGACGCGCAGGTGCCCAGGAATCGAGTCAAGTCCTTTTGACTTCCGAATTTCGCCCGCCAGCAGAAGTAGGACCCTCGGAAGCCCTCCCCGATTTTCCGCGAGATCCTGCGAACGGAATTACTTTCGCTCGTCTCGCAAACGGGCCGGTCACGCTCGTCGAAATTGGAACGAAGTTAAAATGAAAGTGGACAAGTGGCGGCAAAACTTTTGCGCCCTGGTTTCCTGTCTGGACTCCTTGCACCCTCTATGGCTGCGAGTTTAAATTTCGAGTATCTCGCCGAAAGCCGGTTACGCCGACCGTGATTAGGGTGAGAACTTTTAACTGTGATTAATCTTGAATTAGTACAGTTCGCGTTGCACCGACGAAAGTTAAGTTAATCGGCGATTCAAATCCATTGTTTGGTAACTATCTGAAGGTGATCAACTCGGGTTAAGTAATCCTTGATTAAGAAGTTCTTATATCTATCGCGAGAAGAGAGAATATCTCACCGAGTGAGGGTGAATTCCTGGAAGTATGAGCATTCTAGAATCTTGAGATTAATGTTACGAATATTCATAAGTTAAAGTGGTATCTCGAGACTAGTGAACACCCTCGTACGACGCAAATCATGGTGATATAAAGAATGTAAAATGTGTTTCCGTTAGCGAGCGTGGCCGACCCCAAACGACGCTCCTGTACTCAGTATTTACTACACGCGAGACCATCGGTAATTCGCATAGTCGTGACGGAAACCCGTAAGGGAGACCGTAAGGGAGACCGTAAGGGAGATATTAGGCTGTTCGAGTTGAAAGCGTGGAGTTTATTATCGGAGAAGACGGTGAATTTCGCAATTCCATATCGGAATGGAGGCTGACTTAAGGTACTCGCGGTTCGACGTTAGGTCGTCGACTCGTCTTTTGCGGCAATAATAGATTCTATCGGTTGGTGTACAGAGTCGTACGAAATCGCGTTCAAGGTGTTAATATCGAGGTCTTGCGGTGAGATAAGTATTAATGATCGGCTCGGTGGTGGAAAACCGAGCGATCTTGTTGATTCTTCGTTCATTATATATTATCGTGCCGACTGAGAGTTCTAGGTATGCGGTTTTAGATGAGTCTTTTAAAGCAAACATGTTGTCGTTTGCTAGCGGTAGACAGAATAGACAAATATATCGTGACTGCGTGTATGCATACGTAGAGATCCGTACGTATGAATACATACTCTCGCCTCCTTTTTCCTGCGACGCGCGCGAGGGGGAGCGTGTCACCTCTGTATGTGTGTATACGCATCGCATCTTTTTAAGTATTTTATCACGTGTAACGGAGTGGCAAAGCAAGTATATATACATTTACCGTTGAAAGTCGAGACGCGACTTACGTGCCAACTCGTCGGATACGTTCGCACTGTCATTTTTAACGTTTCCCTCGTTTTTTTTTTATTCTCTAAATGAATGCCAAACTTTACAAGAAATGTCATCGAGTCTGCAACTTGTTTCTTTTTTTTTTCTTCCTCTTTTTTTTATGCTGCCGCGACTGAGTAGAGAGCGTGTAAGTACGTTTAGCATTTATTTCAAAGTCATCCACTGCCACAATTGTTATTCGATCTTGCTTTCCCCTATGGAGTACGGTCCAAAGTATTTATTGCATTTTTTAATATTAACAAGGCAACTCTAAGTTGCTCCCTTGCATCGTGTGATTTAAAGCATAAACGTCAACGAAAAAAAAAAAAAAAAGAATTCCTGTGCACTTGGTTGGGAGCGAAACTATTTCTTAGGTAAAGCGCTGTAGAATGTTAGATATCTTTATATATATATACTGTGCTCAAAGGTAATGAGTATCTGTTCCAAAAAAGGTCATAGGATATTTAAGAGATTCGAAACATGCCTTACTGGTTCGAGATCCAAGCATGGTTCGATTAAGGAATTTAGAAACAATCGAGGTTGTCTCTGCGTGCAATATCGAATAAATCTTCAGATAAGCTATTTGGTTTTCAAAACGATGAGAAAAAAGTAGAACGAATCACCGGGGAGTTACAATAAGAGCGGGAACTTAAGTAATACTAGCGAGTAATTCTTCTCAATCAATCGTGGTGACAATAGACCTTATCGTTATTCGTGTACGATGTTGGGTGTGACACTTATGAAACAAAAGAAAAAAAATTGTACGTCGTGAGTTGTTTCGAGTGAAACTCGTTGTTACTCCATTACTACTTGTGTACTGTACGTGCTGTGCGAAAGCGAGAACGAGAGAGCGAAAGAAAGCAAAAGGAAAGCAAAAGGAAAGCGAGAAAAAGCGAGCGAATGAATGGCAGAGGAAAGAGTGAGCTTAAGTGTACGCCTGAGGAATCGCAACTGCGTAAACGATAATGCATTTACTCGTTATTAGCCGTCGGTACGGTGGTCGTGGTTACGGTAACGTTACTTAACGTTGCATCTACTTGCTCGCGTATTATTATTAAGAAGGAAGAATTCAGGCTACAGGGAAAGAATGATCTAAATCACGTGTATGCGATCATAAGGTAACTGCGATTACCTGACGAGCAACTGTACAGTGACTTCAGTTACTACTTTAAAAGACACGGAATAACGTTTCAATAAATATATTTGGGCATGTAACGGTAGACATTATATACTAGATGGCTATAAATCTCAATTCGTATCTTTTTAGATTCAGATCATTTTCTCCGGGTAATCTTCAAACGATACTTTAAATCCGAATCGCAGTTCTTTCGAAGACTTCGCACCAGACAGTGTCGGGACCGTTTCTAACTTCTCGTTGCTCCAGAAGGAATAATTTTTTAATCATGTACATCCTTAACTGATTTCCCGCGCGCATTAATCTCACGTGCGGTTCGTTATACATAAATATATATCGTATACACTCTACGGTGCCACATGCCACCTTCGAAGTGACGTAGCATTTTAACCACTGTTAACGTTAGCTAAGGAGTAGTATGGCGGCCTACGATTATCATGTGACTTCTGACTTGTGATGTTGCACAATCGTATTATTATATATATATATATATATAATTTTTGAAAAGAGAGAAAGTGCGCGATATGTCAAAGTAGTGGCGCGGTGTTTCCACGTTTTAGTGAATTATCACGTTCCCATCTGCGGGAAGTATTTTTGTACGTTTACTCTGTACTAATTCCTTCAAAATCTATATCTACCATTATTATTGTGATATATCGATTGACTCCTTATATATATTGACAGGCGTTTTAAGTAATCTCCCTTCGTTTAACGGTACGTTTCTAAATGATTTTAAGGCGTTAGACGTTTTACGTGGAAATAATTTTATACGAGAATTACTTGTACGCTCGGTTAGTTCAAGCGAAGCCGAAATATCGTTTTTATTTTTAGACAATCGTTCTGAATGCGAGGGGTCGCTGTTTACTCGTTGCATGCGGAACTGTACGGATGCCTTTCCCCTTTTATATTCTACGTAGGTCGTTATGTTATTCGGGAGATAGATTTTTCAAGAACTTCTATTCCCGTTAAGACCATACACTCACGAGGTAGCTCAGGTTAAGTCAGAAATCCTGTTGAAAAATAATGAGAATACAGATTATGCTATCGAAGGCGAAGAGACAACCATATAATCTCTACGGATTTACCTGTCATTCTGGTCTTACGCAGTCGAAAAGGTCAAATCATTACTATAACTCGCGACTAATGAGAGAGTGAATTCCTAACGCGTTTCACTCTAATTCTACTAAAACGGTGAATGAAGAGAATGGCACCTTGTAATTAATATTCTCTAATAGTTATACTGTGAGCTTCTCTTTTCTTACAAGTCCGTATGTACGGTCATGTTCGATCAGCATTCCTAAACTATCAAAACGCGTGTCTGACGCTTTTTCATTGTCGGTTCATTCGCCTTTGAATAAATATCCACTATCCGAGGAAGTAACATCTATTTATTATAAATGTACATAAAACTGTTGTTGTAATAAAGAGAAACGTGCGGGTAATACAGAATTAAAAAAAGAAGAAAAGGAGGCCAAGATTTTGTACTCTTTATTTCACTTTATTACAATTAATCGTATGAACCATTTACATTTCGAGCTTCTTCGCTTATCATTATGATTACGTTTAATATGGCTTAGGTCTGTGTTGCTTCTCACGACTTTTTCCACCAATTTTAGCAAGGAGCTTGTGGCTAGGATTTTGTTGGAGCGTGGCCATTTCGGATTGCCTCCAAATGTTTATAATTCCATTTTCTCCTCCCGTAACCAAGGAACCACTCTGGATAGAAAGTACGGTAAAGTTTACTCGTAATTATTATCTGCGGTAGGATTAGCCTGTGTTACTTTATGAAACTTACTTTTTGATGTAACCAGCTGTCTCGCACAATTTGTTTGTTCTCGGCGATATCGTAGCAGGTTTTCAGTTGATCTTTCACAACATTTACACATCTCAGATTCTCTCTGTTAGCAAGTCAACTTTGGATTAATCGTTTAAATTGTTACTTGGTGACAGTAGTTAAAAGATAATCACCCTTTAATACTGCTCGATCCTGTTAGAACTAAAGGCTGTGCTCCTGTATCCGTGACGTGCATCCTCACTAAGTAGCAATTATCTGGGTCTTCGTTCTGTAAAATGTATCAGTGAAAACTTATGTACGAAGGAGATCCAAAGAAGTATTTAACCTTTCTGTTACCTGTAACATTGCAAGGCATTGCCGATCAAACTTGACATATGGAGTCGCACCGTCACATTCCCAAAGCTGCAGGGAATGCGTATGCGTTGTACACCACAGACTTTCATCGGTCAGCCAACCTAACCTGTCCTTTCATTTAAAGCCACTGGTTAAATATTTTTAATCGTTCATTATTGCGTTCGTTGCATCGAAGAACACAATGAATCGATGAAACTTGAATCTGTAAAAACTCACCACCGATGATTCAGTATTTAAGGAGTAGGTTAACGCCGAATCTTCGGATGTCTGTGTTAAATCGAATATGTTAATCAAACCATCGGTACTTCCAGACATCAGAACATCCTGTTTACTGGAATGAAATGCCAAGCAGGTCACGTCATCCATGTGCGATTCCCAGTATCCACCGAGGAGACTGTTCCTGCCATCCAATTTAGAATTAATATATCGTATGTCCCAGAATAGGATGAATGCATCACCTCCTATATGCTCTGTACCACCGGCTATAAGTCGTTCGTTGCTGCTGATATCAAAACTGGCTAAAGGCTTTAATTTCCCATCTTCGGTATTATCTACCAATGAAACAAAGATGAAGAAACTAGTTCAAACAAACTAGCAAACTGTACGGTATCTTCTTACCTTTAAATTCAGCAACTATTTTTCCTTTCGCTCTCATGTCACATGCTGAAACCTGCCCTTTGTTTGTTGCCGTATAGAGAATGTTCCTTGAAGTTGGACTGAACTTGATTCCAACAACCGGTGAATCCGCATGCGATAGAACAGCAGTTTTACTCAATGATTCGCCAATGGAATAAACTATGCAAGAGCAATCCGAGAGCGCCGCACCGATACGAAAATCTGGATCGCTGAAAAAGAGGTTAAAGATGTAATAACACTTCACTAGGGAGCGTAAAATCAGATAACTTGATAGATTGTGCCATTACCTTTGAGTGCCACAAACGGATAGGACATAATTTTCATCAAAGGACACGGTCTCTTCTAAGAAAAGCGTTAATTCGTTCATTTTCTTGATTATGTATTCACTATCTTGTTTTTGAATCCCGTTCACCGAATTTACTTTCTTATTGGTAGAACTCACTTACTTAATTTGATATGCTTTTTGTACGGACATTCTAACGGGGTGGGAAAACTTAACCTAACAACGCAAAAAACATGTGTACACTGGTGGTCATGAATGGCTTCCTCGTGTAGTACCGCAAGTACATAATAAGTCTTGAGCTCGTTTTTTGCGTAACGTTTACGTTACCACCACCAGGCTGCGCCATGTGCTCGAGGAAGCCATTCGTGACCGTCAGTATACACACAGCATACAGAATCGTAGGAGGTGTCCACTTTCGACATTTTTATTAGATATTAGATTCGAGTTACAGAATCGACTCCCTGAACGTCTCGATCGACACTTAAATTCAGATTTACTGGGTTTGGACCCTATAAATCCCGGATTTCGAGTACATTGGAGACGTAGTCATTGGCTTGATTCATTTTTGAATTTCATTGGATTTGATTACGGTCGAATTTGAGTGATTTTGAAGAATTGTTGAATTTTATAAAATCTAACCTATCTCTAACATCTGGAGATTAAAGAAAATCGCAGAAAAATTAGAAGCGATTATTAATGAATGTTAATTTTCACATTCAATCATGGTTATGTCAGCCCTGGGGTCGAGTGAGCGGAAACGTATTTCATCATTAACAACTCGAGGTAAGTTAAAGTGCTTCCAACCTATAAAACGAGACATTGAATAGATATATCAAATATTTTGCATTGTGGTATTTATATATACAAGTCATATCATTAAATGTTTATGTTGATGTACGTGGTATATCTGTAAGAGTTATACCACTATAAGTAATTATGATGCTTTTCTTTATTTATGTCGGTGCATTATTTAATGCTAATATTATATGTGCACGAATATTTATATAGGGAAACATGAGTAAATGTACTTGAAAATTGAAGTACTCGATGATGTACTTGGTGCCGAATGTGAAAAAATAATTTAATCATATTTTATTAATTTGGAGTAAATACCTGATCATGGAGATAATGGAAGATGATCTAGCCTTAAGTGAAAACGACGAAGACGCAACAATTAATACAGACGAGAGCTATGGAGACGAATTGAATCAGTTTCCTCATGTGGTGCAGTTTATATGTAAATTGCAGGGACATATAAAATGGCAGCATGAGAAAATTATTAAGTTACGGACTAAATTATTAAGAGAGGCAAGCATACTTTAATATTAGTTTATTGTCATACTTAATGGAATTATATAGTAACATGTAAATATGTATTTTCAGAGGAGAAAAAAAGTACAAGAATCAAAGAAACTATACGTTGATATTGAAGTGCAAACCGAACCTGAGCCAAAGGAAGTAAAACCAAAAGTTTTACATAACTGGAGCACAAATGATTCCGACACTCCCGGAAGTCTCGTCGAGCAAGTAAAGCAGGTAGCGGAATCAGCTGTGCAACAAACCGGCTTCGCATACGAAGAGACCTCTGGATTATATTACGATTATAATACTGGATATTATTATGACGCGGTTGGTGATTATTTTAATTATGCGTTAGCAAAAATTAAATCAAATTACATGAACGTTTAATTTATTTGGAATTTCTCTTACATTTTAGGCACAAAGTCTTTATTACGATGGAAATTCTGGAACCTACTATTCTTACGATGGAACGACTAAAACGTACATCTTTCACAGCCAAGTGCAGACTGCACCTCAAGAAGACGCAGAGAAGAAACAGAAAAAAAATAAAAGAAAGGAAGAAAGGCGATCCAAAAGGGCACAGAAGGTACTTCCTTCTTTGTTATTTATCATCATAAACTATATTTGAGAATCCTCTACCGAATTAAATTTCTACGAACGAATCCATTGATATGATCGATGGAAAGTGATGCATTAATAAATGGCGTGGCAGAAGTTTGAATCTACATAGAGGTTTTCTGTTTTCCTTTCAGGTTTCAGACGACATAAATGCGTTAATTGCCGGTGTCTCAAAGATATCGATACAAAGATACTGGCCGCAAGCAGCAGGTAATTAACCTTTGCCTTTAATATGCATACCTGTCTCTCTTGTAGGACGAGGCTAAAAAGATGAAATTGACGCTGCAAGGGGAAAACTCCGAAGGCGATGAGCCAGAAGAGGGCGAGTGCTCGGACAGTGATAACAACTCTAGTGCCCAGGAAATTTCTCCTGGCCCGTCTTCAAGCACCGAGAGCGAAAACGATGAAGAACAAGGTTCATTTATTTATAATTTTTTTTCCAGGAAGGGAAATATCCACCTCCTATTCATCCTTCTCTATAAACAATACACTCGCGATTCCAATTTTAGATGGCAACGAATTAGTCTTTTTATAAGACCAACTAATACAGGAAAGACTAGAATCATCGAGTGAAACGACTCTGCCCTATCTTTTCCAGACTTAGCGAAGACCTATCCTCCCTGTATGCGGATAATCGTGAAAGAGACCAGCCTTCCAAAATTAAAGGTGGGGTCCCTGTTCCTCGTCGCATACACCGGCGGTTCAATGGGCAGAGAAGGTGATCACTCCGTTCTTATCCCGGACATAAATATCAGCAAGGTAGGTCTTATGGGAGCGCTTTATTGGAACGCCATGCAAAGAGCCGTCCCTTTTTTAGCATCACGCCCAGTTTCGCTACGACGAGGACAAGAAACGGTACGAGATCATTGATTTGGGTTCACGAAATGGAACCTACCTCAACGGAACTAGACTTTCCGTGTCGAAACAAGAGTCGGAGCCTCGCGAAATAACGCATGGCTCCATAGTGCAAATCGGTAGTACAAAATTGTTGTGTCACATCCATGTCGGACACGAAACCTGCGGATATTGCGAGCCCGGTCTCCTGCAAAACTGTAGAAATACGGGAGAAAACGTCATTTCAAGCAAGAAGGAGCAACACAGGTCGGAGCTGAAGCGGTTGAAAAATAAATTTGGGGTCGACAAAGACAATACCGCCACTGCCAGCCAACCTGCCGTGGGTTATCAGGACAGAGCGCAGGCAAGGCGTGATTGCGTGGGATCCTCTAACCATCACGCTAAAACTCAACAGAGCTCCGTCGACGTGTAAGTCGATGCCCGATTTTATTTCGAAAACTCGAGAAACTCTTGCTTCGCGATACATTTATGATACGATCGTTACAGCTCGATAGCGAAAGACAACAAGGGCTTCAAGTTGCTGTCGAAGATGGGCTGGTCGGAAGGACAGTCCCTCGGGAAAGACGGAAGCGGTAGGACGGAACCCGTGAGTTTGCTATTTTCTTGATTTTTCCCCGTCGTCGTATTCGTATACATCGAACAGAGCGTAACACTAAATCGGGACATAAGAGAGGTCCGTCCAAGTTTCGCGCTAGCGGGTAACCGTTGGGTGGGAACGAAGGGACTCGGGGCTTGGAAAGCCGGAGAGTCAAACGAGTGCCTCGGTTTGTTGGCCTCGCCCTATGGGCAGCTGGAGACGGGCAGATAGATGGCCGCAGGTAGAGGGAGAGATCGGACCTCGATGTCTTGGTTTTTTCACTTTCGGCCTGATTAGACGCGATTGTCTGCGGCTGACTGCAGCTCGTTAGAGCTAACTCGCCGGGCGCAGGAGACCGACATTTGTTTCAGGGGCCCTTGGCTAATGGCTCGGTAAGCCCCGAGTATCCCACTTTATTCGCCGTTCTTCTCTCCAAACCCGGAGAAAAATTGCCATTCTTGCCGCTCAAGTTCCGGCCAGGTCTCGGACAAAGTCCGCCGAGTCGTTGCCCCGAAGGAAAATTTCCTGAACTCGCCCGCTTTCCCAGAAACGCGGGGAGATTCGCTCGGAGCGAAGGAAGCGAAGGAAGCGAGGCGCGGCCAGTTAGCGCGAATCCGGGTTGAGCGGTCGCTAGTCGGTAATGCCTGTAATCACGATTTCCCCGTGCCATCTGGCCGCGACCGGAACGCGGAATAATAATATCCGAGGGTCCCGGGGACCGCCGAGACGCGATCGGGTAAGTTTCGCTCCCTCCGCGTCTCCTTCGAGACGATTCGGAGTCGTCACATTATCACCGTCCCCGATCCGACGAATCCGTTGACATCGCGGATCTACAAATATGACTTTCTACTCCAGCCAGACGTAGGGTAAATCGTGGGAAATTTAAAAGTCGCTCGAAAGATCGGCCTGGATCGGCCAATCCGGGCACTCCGACCATTAGCCGAGAGCAGCACATTCGTATGACAACGAGCGCGAGTCGGGGCGGTCGGGGGTAAAAAAGAACGGAGGGCCGCACCGGCCGTCGACCGCTCCTGAGGTTAATTCATGCAAATGCTTTGAAATCCAAATCATTACTTCGTCTAGACGGCATCACGTGCCCTATCGCGCGCCCGGCTTTATTTCGCGACTCCTTTCCCGACTTTGCCGCCTTCGCCCTGTCGGAGAGACGCCCCGGTTTTCGCTCGTAAACCCGAACCTTCGAGCCCTCGGTCGAGCTCGGGGAAAGAGGAACGCGTCTTCTCCCGCCCCGCTATCCGTTTTCCGTGCGCTTCGCCCTCAGCGACTCGGCGGCCGTTTGCACTTTGCATCGCAATTACCCGCGATTTACCCGCAGCGACGGTGGCGAGCCGATTCGAGCCCCCGAGAGGAAGCTAATCTGCATTCTGACTGGCATCTGTAACGCTTACCGATGCCGGAACGCCGAAGCGGTCGTTAGAGCTCGTTTTGCTCCTTTTCCCGATTTTTCAGGGCCTCCTAGGCCTCGAGGCTCGCGGAAGCAAGCGAGCTCGAAAAAAGCTTCTCTCTTTTCCATCCTCGATATCGGCCTTAACGAAGCAAGGGATGGCGCGTCGTTTCCCGTGAATGCCCTTTACCATCGCGCTATCCATCCCTTTTATGGGGTGCGTTCGCCGGCTGCAACTGCATCTCCCGAGGCATGACCTATATCGTAAAACGGTATGGCGATTTCCCGGCGGGGAGACCGAGGGAAACGGCGCATCTAGGCGATCCTAGGTTATGCCGGGATTGCCTAGAAGGGCCGGCCATAAAACCAGACATTGTAAAAGGGCCCGCGAATGGCGATTGTAAACCGCCGAGACGGATAAACGGTTTGAGGAAGTCTTCGCTCCCTATGTGGAATAAAGTTCCGAGGGAACTTGATTTTCCTGAGTGCTCGGGGGCCGCTCGACGCCATAAAAAATGGAGACAGCGACCGGATGAACCATGAGAGGGAAAAGAGAAAAGGGCCATCGTAAAGTACCGATTGCATCAAATGAAGAAATGTAAAAACCGCAAGGCGCCGTTCGAGAGGAATTTTCGTCGGCCGCCCCGTGGTTTTAAAGAACGAGTCGGGGTGCGTTACTTCCCACGGGGATGGAAGGAGTTACGATTCGCTGGGTAGGTTTATTTATCGAGCCAATATTAAACCCAAAGTGGAAATACCGGACCTTGAGACTAGTTTAAGACGCGCGCTGGTCTTGGCGCTGGTCTTGGCGCTGGTCTTGGCGCTGGTCTTGCCGAGGAGAGGCTTTTAAATATGCCGGAGCTTGCATTCGGTATTTCCGATAAGCGTCGTCGGTGGTTATCCGGTCGATAAATTCAGAGTTCACCCGCCAAAGTAGCGGGTGAACCCTGATTTATAAGAGGTCGTATTTCCCGCGAGGTGTAGAGGGAATTAGCGGGAACGATAGCGTCGATGTTCGGTCCAGGCATTTCCTCCGCCCGTGAAGAATTTTCGAGCGAGCCGGAGCCGCTAACTCGCGTCCAACCTCGCCCCTTTCGAGACTCGCTTTGCATGCACGACTGCGGCAAAGGCGGCCAAGCCGGCCAAGCCGTGGAGTGACCGGGCAATTTCGCGTAAACGGCCGGGGGACGAGATTTCGGCGGGATGGCCCTTCCGTCTGGTTCGTTATGGGCCCCATTTGCGCTTCCAAGGGCTCCGATACGACCACTTCCGGCATCCTCGCGGAAACGCGTTATTCCCCCTTTGCGGTGCGCCCGACTCGCGGGATGCACCGCCGGGACGCCGCTCGGAGGTGCATCCGCGGGGCTGCAACTATTTCGTTTTATGGAGTTCCTCGGCCGAGCCGAGGTTTACGGGTGAGACAAGAACGCCGCCGCGTTTTACGATTTCGTCCGATTTCCATATTGCATCCCTTTCGGTCCTTTCGGCCCTTTCCGCCCTTTCCGCCCTTTCCGCTCTTTATAGGCCTTGGCGTCGGCTGCCGGCCGATCGACCGGGATCCGAGGACCGAAATGCCCTTTCCTTCCCTTTTCAAGCGAATCCTCTCCCTTTCGGAGGATCGATCGATCGAATTAGCCGAGGAGAAAAAAAGAAACGTCGGGGTCGTCGGGCCAGTCGAGGCTCCCGCTCCGCCTAAACCTGTTGCTCTCTCCCGCGTGTGCCCTTTTCTGCGTCTTCTTTGACGAAACCAAAAAGAGGCCGATAAAAAACGGGCTAGCGGAAGTGAGGTGCACGTGCAGGCCCGCCGCAGGCGGAGGAACGACGGAATGCAAGGTCGCCGATATTATGTAATGCGAGGCAGAGAGAGAGAGAGAGAGAGAGAGAGAGAGGGACGGGAGGAGCGAGGAGATGGGCGAGCCCCATCTTCCGAGGGTCCACAGGAAATCTCATTGTCTCGGGAATTGGGTCATCGGGACACCTCGGAGCCGTCTCATCCCTTGCCCGAATTTATTGGCGGTTTCCGCCGGAAGTCGGATTCACCCTCCGTCGAGGTGCCTCTTCGATGCGAACTCGTGGAAAAAAAAGTTTCAGGAATTCTTATCGACGACCGCGTCTCCATCGTCCTCGAAATCCGGGATTTATCACGTCCAAACTCGGTTAATCCGAATCACCATTTTCGGATCGAAGAAATGATTTCCCGCGGAAGAAGTACGAGAAATATCGTTGTTTTTCGGTGAGACAGGGCGGGGGAACCGATTTCTGGACGAGGCTTTCCCTCGCCGGGGGGTAGGGAAAAAGCGAGAAAGAGATCGGTTCGTCGAGCCTCCAGCCCGCGGCTACGTCCGAGGGAAGAATAATCGATAGTCCCGGCGGATCCCGGCGGATCCCGGCGGATCCGGGAATCGGCGGAGGAGTCCCTCGTTAATGAGTCCGTCGGTCACGGCCGAGCGCCGCGACGCTATGCGAAAAATCCCCTATCTCGCATCTCCGTTCCACGCGGATATGTCGATTTTTCCCCGCGAAGCCGCTTGGCCCATTCTCGAGGCGCGGCCAACCCTCGCCGCGTCGAGTTCCCCTCCCAGGGGATTTTCAATTGAATTTTCCAACGTGACAAAATGACGATACGACGCGAGCCGCGAATCGGTAGAGTCAGGAATTTCGCGGAACGGTTCAGGCGAAATGCATCGCGCGATGCAAGGCATTGTCCGTCCGGAGGGGAATTGCCGACCGCTAATTGCTCCATATGGCCGGGTCCAAAGTATCCGCGTATCGTAACGACCGACGAGGAAGTCGAAGTGGAAGGTTCCTCTTAAAAGAGCCGGCCAAGAAAAGGTCTCGCAAACAACTTTTGAGCGCATGCCCCGAAGGGTGGGCGCAAGAGAAGAGAGCGCGGCTTATCGTGGATCTTAGTGCTCGCAACGATATTTCAATTGGACATACAATATCCATATATTATGCCCACTGACAGCCTTGGCCTACTCTGTAAATCAAAATCAAATTAATTACGGAAAGAAGGGCCGGGGGGCGAGGAGCTCCCAGGATCCCTCTCGGGAAGAACCCGATCGCGACCGCGCTCAAAGGAACTTTCCTTCGTGAGCTTTTCTTTGCCCCCCTTTGTCTTCTCGGTAGCGACATCGTCCGGTTAAGCAAAACGCCCTGCCTGCAATAAACTCGACTTTATTAAGGTAAACGCCGAGACTCGACGTCCTCCTGAAGCGAAAAAAGAGGAATCGTGGTTACGTATCAAAACGCATCGCATACCTTGTCCGCGCTTCTCTCCGGGACGTTCGACGTCGGCCTCTTAACGACTGCTCCGACTTCTGGAGCGAAGGGTATTCATTTTAGTATCCGCTATTTTATACGATATCGAGGTTAGTTTTTTCTAATTCCCTCGCCCGATCTCGCCCGATCTCGCCCGATCTCGCCCGATCTCGCGATTTTCCGCGCCCGGGAGACGAGGGCGTCGCGGCGCGTCGCGACGCGTCAGGCAACAGGTGGGAACCCACAGTCGCAAACAAATCCAACGCGAATCTCTGCCGTCTAGACGCAGGTTCGCTGACTAACCGCGCGATCGGATTACGGGCTCTCCTGGTGCACGTGCACGTCCGCGGGGGTATAAACACCCGAGCGTTGCACTCGCTCGCTCGCTCGCACCTGCGGGCCGAATCTGCGCCGGGAGACGGCAGGTGCATCACCCTTCTCTCACGGGGTACGCCAACGTTTTAGAAAAATGGCGGCCCGCGAGGGCCGAGAAATCGCTTCACCGTGACCTCTCCTCCGACCGACGCCGCGCCGATTTTTCCGCGGAATTTCGCAAAAATCCTAACGCGACGTAATAAAATGATAAATTTCTTCCCGTCCCGTCGCGCCCCGTAATCGGGGCTCGTTAGCCGGGAAGGTTGTCGGGGGCATTTGTCGCCGGAGCGAGCGGGAAAATCGGGGAGTCACGAGGGACGCGTTAATCGAGGCCGTCGACGCCCATGCGCGCCTACGGGGGTCGCGGGGGTGCAGAGCGGTCGATCGGTCTAGACGCGAGGTACACGGGCCGAGGCCCGGCTAAATCGTCAGGCGCAAATATGTACGCCGATCCATTAATTGCAGCGCACCGGCCGTCTATTAGAAAGCGAGCGCTTACTTACGGGTCGCGCGAAAAAACCGAAAGCGGAAGTTATCCCGTCCCGGGGAGGAAGTTTCTCGCGAATCTGGCTCTCGTTATCGCTGTCCCGTCGTTACGGCGCTAAGGACCTCCTCGACTACTTTTATCCCCGAAATGCAGGTACTCGCGTCGTCGAGGCGAAATTCGTGATTCATTTGTCAAAGATCGGGGAACGAGGCGCCCGAAGCCCCCCCTATATTCTATCCTATCCGATCGGAATTCGCGGAGTCGATTTCCGGGCGATCGCGATCCTCTCCCTTGAAAATACGCGCAAGGGGAAAACGTCGACTATTAATGGAGAAAATCGGGGATCCAGAGGGGGATGGGAAGGCCGGTGCTTTAATGAAATTCAGCAAGGAGCACGTCCGGTCCGGGCCGCGTCTGGACGCGGTCTAGCCGACTGGTTCTTTATCTCCGGTGGATGCACTCATTGCAGTTCCACCCGAGCGATTTCTCTCGGTCTCTCCCCGCGCAGGTAATTGCGTTCATTACCGCCCAGCCGACCTAAAAGTTCATTGCACCTGGAGCGGATCTTGGGCCTCGTCACGGTCTCGCGACTTTCGATCATTTCTCAAACGTCTTCTATCCACCGTCTATCCGGGCAAAACCGTTTACGGGGCGCCGGGGCGCCGGGGCGCCGGGGCGCGGAATCGGTTCGTCCCATAGGGAAATTAATCTCCTCGATGTCGCGGGCCGAATCGGAGGGGAGATTCGGGGAAGCGCGGGTCCTCGGCACAGGTGCCGGACGGACGTGGCTGCCGTGTACCTTCGCATAGTCGAAGGAAGGTCCGCGCGTCGGTTGCCCTATCGCCGCCAGACGGCTTCCGTCTGGGTAAACAGCCGGCCTCGGAGTTACCGACTGGCTAGGGACATCCATCATAGGATTATCGCGCAACTATGTATACGCGTGCACGTAGTTATGCATGTACTTACATAGAGACAGGGGGTACATATATGCGAGGTGCGCGAGCCGCGACGGCGGAAGGGGTGGGCCGGGGCAGACTGCAACCTCGGTCTCGGTCTCGGTCTCGGTCTATCCAGTTCGGTCTAGAGAGAGTCTGGAGCGTCTAGACGGCCAAACTAATTAATGCCGAGCAAATACCGAGGCATTCTCATCCGGAAAAGGCCGATCCGCGCCCCTCCTTGGTCGGGCCTCGAAAGGGGTTCCTCTATTGGACCGACTCAGGATACCGGACGCTAATTGGCATTCGTTCGGGCGCCCCGGTCGCAACCGCCGCGGAGTCGCGATCTCGCGATCGTATTAGCTACTTCCCATGCCGCGTAACGCGGTCATAAATCGGCCCGAATCTTCGGTCGTCGCCCCCGAGATACGCTCTCTTCTCCGTGGTCGGCGAAGAGGATGGAAATCTCCGTCGAGGTCTTCCAGATCCTCCGAATGCGGCCGTCGAACGGCGAACGGCGAACTTTCGAACTGGCACAGCCCGTCTGGGACGAGTCCCACCGGCGACGGGGTCGTCGACGCCGGTCTCGGTAAACTCCCGATGCTCGTCCGAGTCGCGAGGAACATCCGAGGTTGGGTCTTCGCCGAGAAAGAATAGAGGCTACGTTTTGGGGAAGAATTCGATCGACCGGGCGTAGATATCGAATGATTTCAAACCTCCGTCCCCGACCGCAGTCGCCTACGAGGCTGGGTCGCGCTCGACGTGGCGCGCCGTCCGCGGCTAATTCGTCCAATCGGTAATCACGGCGCGGATCGCCGTCTAGCCGCCCTGGCCTATTTGCCTATTCCCCCCCCGTTCTCGACTCCCTCGAACCCGTCTGGGTCGGAGGTCACCAGCCGCCCCGGCCGCGGATCTGGGTCAGTTTTTTCCGAGGTCTGAAACAGTCATGGGCAAACGTCGCCTCGGCGACGTGAAATCTGCACGAGGCCAGACGAGTCCTCGTGCATTAGTAAGGACGACGTCGAGGTCTTCCTTCCTCCCTGCTCCCGCGAAGGTGCAGGGGCGGTGGTTCCCGAGGGACGTCGTCGAGTCCAGGAGGCATTTTGCCCGCGACTTTGGTCCGATCGCGCCGGTGGACGAGAGGGAGCCAAGTGGGCGTTGACTCTTTAAACTCGTCGTATACTTGTCAATCAAAACATCGTTACGGGGTCCGAAGGCGCGTGGGCAGACCGGGCGGCCGCTAAATGCTCTCGGAGTCGCCGGTTTCTTCGAACCGAGTCCGGCGAAAACTCGGGAGCTCTCCCCCTTCGTCTCGACGAGCCGGGACGCGCGCGCGGATCGAGTCAAGGGTCGGAAGAGGCTGCGGGGCCTCGTCTGGTGCGACCCTTGGCCCGAATACGAAGGAGGCCTCTCTCGGCCTCTCTCGGCCTCTCTCGGCCTCTCTCGGTCGAGAGTCGAGGCGAGGACCAGGAACCAGATTTCCCCGGTGACTGCCCGCCGCCGTCGTCCGGGGCATCTCTTCGGGGTTCCGAGGCCCCGTGAACGAAATCGGTCTCGTTTCCTTTGCAAGACCGAGACCGAGATTTTCCGAGTCCGGTGACTCGATCCTCTCCCGTTCCTCCGGATGTTCGACTCGAGGTCTCCGGGACCGCGAGATTTATCGAGCGAGACGCGTCGCGATGCTCCACCGGGAATCAGCCGGTGTAACGCGCTCGATGAAAATCGACCAAAATCGACCAAAATCGACCAAAGTCGACCCACTCGAAACCGCAACACGGAACGCGGACGACCGCTCGACCGTGCAGCCCCCGACGCTCTCGGGACTCGAATGTTCGCTTATCGCCACTTTTGCTATCTAAAGTCGCGACAGGGCGAGCGAGGACGAGCGAGGACGTGTTTACATCTCCGTTTCGCGGTGCCTTGTCGAATCGAACCGCTGGGGAGAAAGTTACGCGAGAATCGGTGATAGATTCCTCCGAGTTTCATGACTATCATTTTTTTTTTTTTTTTAATAGTTTTATTATCTCTATCCGAGTATACGATCGCGGTAAAGACTCGCGAGTCCATCCGGTTTTCTGTACGAGCTTTCTTGCATGACGTTGATCCTTATATACGCAAATCGCTTGATATCCGCGAATTCAATGATAAGCGGAAGTACCGAGGGGAATCGCGAATATTATCCCGCGCGACTCGATAAATAAGGATACCTCCCCGGGATAGAAGTGGAAACGCCCCGAACGAGCCAAGAGGGGAAGGAGGACTCGGTAAAGTTATGCAAATGCCCGTCTAAGACTCTCGGAAGACGAGATATCTCTAACTCGTGGACGGGGGGCAGGGGGCATTCCGAGGGAATAGCTCGGACCGAGGATGCTTTTGGAGAAAGAGAAACCGGAGGAGAGTGGAAAATCCGTGGGCAGCCAATCTGCGATCTGTAAGGCCCAAAATGGAAGTCGCCCGACCCTCGGAGATACGGCCGGGGTTTTGATTGCCTCGACGCGGACGCTCGGACACTTATCACGACTCGTCCGAGGGCCGAATTTGCATAGATACCTGCCAGCCTCCATTCCGTATTATGGCCGGCCCGTATTAGCGCCTCTTTCTTTTCTTTCCTCTTTCTCCACTTTCGCGGCCGTCTAGGGCCCCGTCTCCGGCGTCTCGCGGCGCCGCCATTTTGGTATCCGGTTTTTTCCCCGAGACGCGACGAATGGCGTCGATGTTGCTGCGATAAAATGTATATCAGGAGGTGTAACGATTTCGGGAAATTGCGTTCCGTTTTGTCTTTATGGACGCGATAACTGCAAACGGCGATAACAGTTGCCGCGTTGTTCGAATTTATTTTGTATTCGTTTAAAAGTCGCGAGACGCTCGTAATTAAAAATGGCCCTCGCTCGTGTCTCGAGTTTCATCCGCGAGATCCGTTTTTTAGATCTTTATGGCGACCCCTTCCATGCGGAAGCTTCGGGGATTTGAAATTTCAACGAGGATATTTTTTCGCGCATGAGACTCGTTGGGACGTCTTTGTTTATACTATGATTATCTCGGGCACGCTGGCGTCGGGTTCGGAGACAGAGGAACCGCGGATCCCGGCGACTCGTCTCCTCTCCGCCGAAAGAGAGGAAATGGACCGAGAGGCCCAAAGAGAGCAAACCCGTCGACGAATTTATTCACACTCGAGAACAATACGACAGCTGTGAGCCAGCGAAATGCAAATCTTCCCTCTCCCAAATAATCGGGCGCCGAGTGCACCCACGAGGAAGCCGCTCGAGGCGACGCCATCTTTGATTCTCGTCACACCCACGACGCGGACGAGAATGCTCGACATTCCCGGAAAAAGAAATAAGCGAGATCGTTCCGACCTCCGAAGGCATCGATTATCGACTGTAAAAGGACAATCGTGGCCTCTGATTTTCCTGTTGCAGGTTCAAGTGGTGAGCAACCGCACCAAGACTGGTTTGGGTGCATCGGACGCGGAGATTTCCACGATCGAGATTTCCCCGGGAACGGAGAAGAAGCAGGCGCTGTGGAGGAAGACTCAGCAGAGATACAAGGAGATTTCGGAATAGTTAATACGTATGTTTTCTTCTTCGGGAGAAGAGACGTCGATAGAAGTCGAATCATGGGCGTCGATTCCCCTTTGCTGGGATTTTTCTCTTCTTATTTATTTAAAGACTCTTCGAGGTGGACCGTGGATCACCTCGTACTTGCAATTATTGTTCACTTAGATCGTTCAACCGTGTACATACGTATAAAGGAAATACTCGGCTCGGGCATTGCAGGGCCCGGAAGTCGTTCGACTCGTTTGACGCGTTAAAAATCGTTGTCCGAGTTTGTAATTATTATTCGGACAATTTTATACCTGGTTCGGGTTGCTCTCGCGGTGACGCTGTAACGCAATAATATGCTCATGTTACAAATAATTTGCGACATTCCGTTTGATTTTATTCATTAAATCTAGATAGTTTCCGGCTGCGGTCGAATTTTGAAGCCGCGATCTGGATGATTCCTTGATGGCGAATTTAAAAGCTTCGTTTCGCGAATTCCATGGGTTCTAAGTGGATACGAGTCGAAGGAACTTTTCGGATATTAAAGATTTGGTCCGAAGAGCTTCCGACGTTCATAGGAATATTGTAAATATATTACTCCGCTGAAAGTCCCATTTGCAGAGGGTTCGACTAAAAAGGAACCTTTACGTCGGCGACGCCTCGACTGGTTCGCTCAACTAATTTCATTACCTAATTATGCATATTCAGTGTTCTAACGACCCTCGAAGATACTTTCTGTCTTTTTCGCGCGTTTCCGAGCTTTTCGCCCGACTCGACTTCTACTTGACCCCAACTCTCCATCCGGGTCACAGCCCTCGCTCTCCCATCTCGTTAATCAAGCTTATTTCCTTAAAGCTGATAACAGGCCATAGGAGGAACTCCCTTGGAATAACCTCCGTTTGATCCCCAGGATGTAGAAAAGTTTCTTTCTTTATTTTGCAATTTCCAAGTGCCCGGGAGACCGGGGACTGGGGACTCGTATGCATACCCGGCCATTGATCCTAATTCGTGTCGATTGGTGGCTCCGAAATCGGCAAAACTGGCAGCCCTCCGGAGGGGGCGGCGCATCAAGGCCAGACGGGGCCCAAAAACTGTCCGACAGAGGACAAATGAGGCCCATTTGTTAACGCCGACTTGGTCCACGTTAAGGCCCGCCGATTCCGAGCCCGGGAATCCTCTCGGCCTCCGAGGGGCTCCGAATAAATATACGCCCGCCTCCATCCGCGTCTACATAATGTTGCCGAGCAACGTGCACGCCCGTGCAACGAATTATTTCTTCACTCCGGCCTCTGCCCCAGCCCCGTCGTTTCTCGATAATAGTTTATTTCCTTTGCTTCTATTTCGGACCCGGCGAGATTCCCCGGGAACTCCCCGGGAACGAGAGCGCCGACTCGACCAGAAATCGAGATCGTCCCCGTTGGTCGTCCCAACGATCCCCAGGACCATCCGCGGTTTTCGCTCACGCTCGAGTGGACTCGTACCTTTTCCGTGCTGCGCAGGCTTCGCTTCCGCGTGCGGAAACGCGTAATTGAACGCCGTGGAGGATCGTAAATAACGGCGCTAATTATTCCTAGCGTCCAATTTCCTGGCTGCGCATAAACGGGCGCTCTCAGGGGTTGCGAGATCGTTACTCCCGGAAAAATGACCCGCGAGCCGAACGAATTTTCCTTTTTCCTTCTTCCATGTACGAGATAAATCCCGCGTCCCGAATCCGACGAAGAAATTCGTCCCAAAAAGATCTCGCCGGCTGTTCTCGTTGGCTGTGCAGTTTTTCGTCCTTTTTTGTTTTCCTTTTTTTAATATGCAATATCATCAGGATACGATCGCGGTCTTTCTTCTCGTCTGGCGACACGTGTCCCTCGTGGCTGGCACCGGGTTTCGCTAATAGACAAGGACTCGTAATTGAAGGCTAGGAATGCGGACGTATTTGACGGCCAGACGGCGGACGAACGGAGCACGAACGGAGCACGAACGATGGAGGATGAAAGATGAGTTCGAGTGAGAGAGCGCGTGGACGCGCCGTCGTCTCTTTCGTGGTCTCCGGTTTGTATGGGGATGCATACACGGGTTCCGGATGATATTCGCTAGACGAGACGGCGAATAGTTGTTAGTTTCTCGCGTGTACGTTGTCTGGGACAAGTGGTCCTTCCTGTGCTCTCCTACGCTCATGCCATCACCTGATGCGTGCTCGCCCCGCGTTAACGCGGCGACTTGGAAATTACATTTTTTATACAAAATTAAATATACCTTTACGAATAAGTTAAAAAAAAAAAGAAACGTGGAAATGTTGCTTTTTCTTAGGACCAAAATATTCGAGTAAAGTTTTGCTTCTACGCCCCCAGTTAAAAATGAAACTTTATCCACATCAACTACTTACTTAACCTCGAGATTGGGTTACATTGGGATCGGGATATCACGGCAGATGGACTTATCCGTTAGCGTTCTACGCGGTCATGTCGGGGGAAACGCGTGAACGAAGAGGCGCCCTTAACACGAGCGCCGATAAGCGGTCGAGCTTTATAATATTTGATCTCAATTGCTGAGTAACCGGGCACTTAAGATGGACAAGTAGTTTCACCGAGATAGATAAGCAGTTCCTTCGCCCGTCCTCAAGTGCTCCTTCCTGTTTGCTCGTCGGACTTGGAAAAATTGTCCACCGACAAGGGCGGGCGAGGTACACGCGTTGACCCGCGTAAGTCATCGTCACGGGATAAGGCCTTCGCGGATACCCCGTGTCACGGTACCGCGACCGTAACCGGGATGGAATTAGCTAATCGGATTGTAGAAAATTGAACGCGATACGTTAGAGGCATCCGAGGGGTCGATCCCTTGGGAAAGATTTTCCGAACCCAGAGACCGGACACGAGTAAACGAATTTGACGCACATTCTACTACCGTGCGAATTAACGCCTGGAATTTTCATGGGTTATCGTTGCGGCTGCCGATACGGATTAATAGACGAATTCTATGCAGGTTCGGCCGGTACGCTCCGCGCTATTCGAGATGGCTGCCGAGCCGCGCAAGCACGATGTTTATGCACGGGGTTCAAGCACCTCCGATTAAGCGCACACGCACGGCATAGGTAAGCAATTATTGCGGGCATTCCGGGCAGCGGCAGACGCTTGTCGAGACGCACAAGGCCATCGGGGTTCTGCACTTACCTCCAGCACCGTGCAATAAGACCCTCGAAAGCGCAATCCTCGTCTGCTCGAATAATTAAGTACGCTCCGGAGAAATCGACGAATCGCCTCGGGAATCGGGCCGACGTTTGCGCTTCTCCGGTTAAACAGCGATTCCGCTCGATCACCGCTACCCGTCCATTAAGCTCCGAGCGATCCTGGAAACGTGCAGAAATACCCAAAACGTCGGTTTTTTGTCTCCCATTCGGGAATACTTTATGACAGTAAGGGTGTAGCGTCGCGTTTTCGAAGTCTTCGGTCCGTAGGAAGAGGAAGTTGTCTCCACCATTGATCGGCCACTTCCGGAAGAGGAACTCGATCGAACGCAATCGCGTTGCGGAGGCGCTTATCGGCGGGTTGAGTCTCCGTCGATCGGTCGAAGACACAACAGGCATTCGTAGAGATAATGCGAATCCGGATGTGCAAGGAGAGCTGCACGGCACGAGACACCTACATCGGTTAACCGTGCTCCTCTCCGCTATCGGTTCTTATCGGCACTTAAGTATACGCAACGCCCAGGGAAGGTGATTAGTCCGCAGGTATAAACGTCGAAATACACGAGTCCTCGTAGATAAGTAAATACGGTGGAGGCACGATGGAGGCACCGGCGCCATCGTAGAAACGTAAAAAAGGACTATTCGGCTCCGAGGAGCGGTAAAGTCACTTCTGCGAAGCAATCATTATTGCATTAAGCCGGACCGGGGTGCATCCCGGTAGTTTCGAGTTTCTTATGCGAGATTTGCGAAATATGCAATTAAGGGATCGCCCCTGCGTTCGGCGATAATAGACTCTGCCTTTTGTATTTCTCCGCGTCAGTCCTCGCGATCCACCCGAATATGGAAGTCCTGGAAAAGGTCTTACCACGGGGGAGATTTAATCGATTAAAAATGTTTAAAGTGTCCGTAAACGAATTTGAAGACAAAGGTTAAATTCCATGGGGATCGAGACCTTCCTCGGGGCCAGTCGGAAAAAAAAACAAAGGAGCCCCCCCGAACGTCGGTTTCGCATCACCTTAAGGCCTGCAATAATCGTTTAATAATTTCCGTCCACTCGGCGGGGCCGTCGTAAAATCTCAAATATGAACGTATTTTTCCACAAACTGCCTCTTAATTTTCCATAAATTAAAGTCCCCGAACCGGTTGTCGTGCCTTACGGTGTCTCGTTCACCTGAGGCCGGCTAGGGGGTAATTTATAGAAAAGCAGGGGGCAACGTATCGCCGTGACACCGATCGGTGGATCGGCTATCCGACGCAATCTCGCCGATCGATGTCGGACCGAACGCGCAGTCGCGTCCCTCCGGCAAATTTAGAACATTTCGAATTTGCAATTAAATTGCATTTCCGCCGCGCACGCGAAACTCGCTCGCTACCCTCGCGTACTTTGAGATATTCGTTCTTCGATAGAGAATCAAATAGCGAACGTTTCGCTCTACGGCCCCGTAAAAGGGCACACGAATTTGTACCGGCGCGTATCGTTGACGCGATGGCGTCGGGTCTTTGCCGGGCGGAAAGCTCGTTTCTTCCTCGCAAGGAACGAAGGATATACCGAGGGACTTCCACGCGATTCGCGCGCGCCTATATACCCGGGCCGGGGAGGCCGGGCCGGGGAGGCCGGGACGGGGAGGCCGGGACGATCTAGCGTTCCCGGCGCGCCGACCGGTAATTAGTGGTGGTTATGTCAGCTGAAACGCACCGGAGCCAACGTACATGACACCCGGGTGTAATGTACCCTATATAGCGCATTATGCGAACCCAATACGTCTGACGGCAGTCTAGACAGCCGGCGCGCCAGGGTGCGCGTCGCGTGACGCGCCGTGATTGAAATACGCGCGCGGCGAGTCACGTGTGCGCGCGTGCGCTCCACTCCGCTCCTTCCAGGGGTTTCTTCTCCCCATTCGGAGATTATATTATATGCCGTAAGTACCGACCTAACTGCCGATACCAATTTCTTCCCAATTTCTTCCCAATTTCTTCCATACGCAGGGGTGCGGGACGAATGTAAGGCACGCGGACTCCACGGCTGATACCGAACACGGGATAAAAAGTAATGATATTTTTAATTATTCTCCAGGTCGATGCGGTCTTGGAAGTCTCTCGGACGGAGAACCGGATGGCACTCGAGACGGAGATGGCGCTTTTTTCAAGGTGGAGAAAGAGTCGGCATTTACCGGGATTCGGGGAGGAGACCGCTCCGAGG